GCTCTGCAGAGCCTGCCAAGCTCTTTCTAGTAAGCCTCCTCCATTTACACACGTCTCTCACTGACAGAGACTGACAATGTCTTCTCATAAATATAACTGCAAACTGGAATATAGCCACATCATAACACTGAGCAACTGTGTTATTAACAACAGTGAGTCTATTTAAAAAGTTACAGCTGAAAACATAGTTTTTCATATTGTTGTGGTAGGACTGACATTTCAGGTTACTTCGAAGTTAATACAGTCTAAATTTAGTCTCATGATTTTACAGTAAGGCTGTCCAAATAAAATGTTTATTTTTACGTAATGTTGCCCTGTGCATATTATTAAAAACCCTATGTATCACATGAATTCATGTTTAATGCTGCAACCGTTTGCAACATCTCCTTCTACTTAACTGACAAGTGGACTGTTTTTCACATTGGTTTTTATTTTTACAGTTACAACTTGCACAATTACACACTGACACTGACATTCACAGTGGCAAAACTCAATTGTAGCCATTGTTGAAATAGTTTCAGTTTGTCTCTAAAAACACTAATTAATTATACAACACTAATTCTTGACAAGTACAGCCAGAACTCACATTTATCATTGGGATTATTTTTATAAGAAATAAATATTCTAAGATAACATATTTTACATATGTTTTTAATATATATATATATAATATAAAATATAACATAATCAGATTATAGTCTCCCTGTTACTCATAAATGTAATCTGAGCATATGCAAGTGACTTCATTAGCCTTTGTCATGTTCATCATCATAACCCTCACACCACACATAAAATACAAGCCTACACACAAATGCATGCCGACACGAACACTCCTTCAGATATGCATAAACATGGCTGCATAAACAAGCAGCTGAATAGATGAAGGAAGAGCTCAGGTTGACTGAAACAGACACGCAGTACTTGGAGAGAGTTACTTTAAAAAATAAAGTGAAACTCAAGCACAGAAAAACATACAATTAAGGATGCAACTTCAATTCAAAGAAACACACAAGCACCAGTGCATCAATTATAATTTATTTCATGTAGAAGAGTGCTAATGATTGTTTGGTTAATGTGAAGGCATCAATCATGTGCCACTGATGGTACAGCGGTTCACTTCATAAAAACCCTCTTACAGAGACATGAAAGTTAAACAAATGAAAGCAGTCCAGTGTTTTGCCGCTCAAAGAACGTGATGAAAAATACGTGGCCATGCGGCAGATATTGGAGGCCAGGAATAACAGCATGAGGTTTAAAAACAAAACTCTCAGATTCATGTATTAACACATCTCCTTGGCCTCGGTTACTGACTGCTATAAGTTTCCCCCAAAAAAGCCAAATTCAGAGAGAGCAACGGCCTGGCTGACATCCTGACAGCCTCAGTAGCCCTGTTGGTCAGGCCTCAGTCCAGCCCTGTGGTTCTGAGAATGATTCAACCTGTCACAATTAAGAAATAAATGACGGCTGAATTGATTTGAGGATTTGTTCATGTCTAACTCTTGGATACAAATAAAATACTAATACATAATGTTTGTCATCATGTGGAAAAAGGATGGGCAGGGTTACCACATCAGGACAGATGAGAAGTACAAAGAAACTATGGTAAATAAACTTTAAATGCTCTGCATTCTCCAGAAGTGGACATGAATATAAAGAAAAAACCCAAAGTATACATTATCTCTTTGCCAATTATGTGTCCATACCAAAATAACTCTTCTTCTTTTGTGGTTGGGTACAACAAAATGTTTAACCCTGCTTCCCGCAGAAAGACGCTGTCAAGTGTTTGGGGTTTAGTTAAACCGAGCCTGTGTGTCTCCCCAGTAATCTTCAGGCTGCAGAGGACTATGGAAGGTAAAGAGTAGCCTACCCTGCTGCAGCCCGAGGGCTCAGGGCAGATCTGGGATTGAGGTTGATAATGAGCAGGGGGATAAAGTAGAGTTATGAAGGTCTTATCACCCTGAGCCCCCAGGTCACACGGCACTGCTGGTGGCCACAGGCTCCTTAATCATTACAAAACCTCACAGCTCTAATCCGTAAACAGGTATTAGATGTATATGAAGAGATAAGTGTGCTGGAAAACTACATTTTTGGGAAACCAACAACTAGAAATATATTCTTTATAGGCTGCAGTTTTAGCGCAGCATTCCGACACATTATAGATTTTATTCATCATCATTTAACATCGGCAAATGGACTGCGCTTCCTAATGCAGCTGCGGGTAGTCTTAAGGACAGGGAGGTTTGACTCCTGGTCAGTTGAGCTTTAAAAAAAATTGCCCCTGGGTAATATCTGTGTTGGGTGCTGTCCCCAGTCAGAGTGAGCTGTGTGGGGGTCAGAAAGGGAGACAGAGATGAGTGAGTGTGGTGTGGGGTCAGCCAGACCTCAGGCTGTGATTTGTTGAAGTGCATCAGACGGGAGTCGACCAGAATCTGAATAAATCACCTCAGTGGCACCAGTGACAAAACCTTGATAATGCCCGTATTTTAAGTGCATTAGTGCGCCTCTAAACAGGAATCACTTAATGATAGCCAGTAAGTGGGTCAATTGTTTTACTGCTTTTACGTTTTTTAAGACAAGAGCTTTTATTTTTAAAGATCCCCACTAGACATGTTTTAAGACACATTAATACTCTGCTTGGAATAATAGTACAAAAATGTTCAATTAGCAGTTTGAAATCATTTGAAATCATTTCTACTTCTCCTCCCTCATTTTATGAATATGCAAATTAATATAATATCCAAAGTTTAACTACTAGACACCAGATCTCTCCCACTTCACTGACTCCTTTCTCAATATGCATATTGGAGGCTTCTAGTTTTCATATCACACTTCAGTGAGTTGCATACTGGATGATGATGGATAATGGTCACAGAATCATGCTTATACTGAGATTTAAGGTTCCCCCTTCAGCAGATGCATTTAAAAACTGCTTCCTACCATAATGATCACACATCTGTACAGTGAAGGTTTAATAACAACCAAGTGATGTAACAATAAGCAAAACGTAATTTTCGAGTGGAGTGGAACTTTAAGCCAGCCTCCTCAACAAGAAGATGCAGAGAAAATTGGAAAAGCTTCCCAGCAAACGTACAACGTTGCACAATACGAAGTTGAATTTGCGCTGGCACAGCGGGGAACAGGAGGTCAGTGTAACTTGTAGGAGTATCATGCATAATCCCGGCCAGGATGAGACAAGCCAGTATTGTCTTACAATTACTATTCTTACTCCAGGCCAACCGCAGACGCAGCAGCTGATGAAAAGATTGATTGGAGGAGGTTAAAAAGCCATTTGATACTGCTGAGTTTGATTAAATTACATGTTTTAGGATTAAAACCCTATCAGCAGCAGTGGGCCAGCAAGCAGAGAGGGTGACAAGGAACAGAGCTGCTAATCTCTATTATTCTCCTTGTGAGGTAACTTTCTATTACCCTTTGAAATAAAAAGAAAGAAATCCGTATATTTTTCACAACAAACGTCAACACAGATATTCGGGACTAGCAGCAGTAGTTCATCAGCGTTTCCATGGCAACGGTGGTGAAAACAGGAGCAGGCCTCCACTTCTTCCCTCATGTCAGTATGTATCCCATTATGGTTGTGCTGTGCGGACAGAAGAGCTCTGCCTGCTCGCCACAGCTTTATTTATTTTACTGTCTTTCATCTGCAAACCACTACCAATCTGCATCAGAGGGAAATCCACTCTGTGTATCCCATAGGTGTCATTTAGGATTGATTCCCTGGAATTAGCAGACGTCAAAGTGGAACCATGTGGCTGTCTGTCTGTCCATCTGTCTGTCCTTACCAACACCTGTGATAAGGCTCTTTTGACACTGTCTTTGGTTATCCACAGATTAATTATGGCCTCCAGGATCCACTGAGAGTTCACCTTTTGAGTATCCGTTAAATACTAAGGGCAGAAGTGATAATAAGCAAGAAGTGAAATCCACTACTATCCAAATCCGAGATAAATGCTTCAGAGGCTGCTGTGTTAATGCCAGATTAACTATTTTTCCCCTTGCTAAAACATTTTCTAATGAAGCTTATCCACTTACCTAAAAAAGACACAAGGTTTAAGATCGCTGCTGAATTGCCTTGATTCAGTTTTAATTTTTTTTCCATCTCTGTGGTACAAAACCAATAAAATGTCCAAATCCTGCCATAAGACACAGCAGCAACACTGATCAGCTCTATTTTTTCTAGATGGGAAATGTTAAAAGGAGATTTTTTTTAAGCATGCCGTAGCTCCTATGGTTCACATGACCTCTTCAGAAATACTGATAAAACAGTGTGAGTCCACTTTCAAGACAAACAGAGATAACTGGGCTCCGGCATATAAGACCATCAGACGCGGTTCATTATTGATTATCATTTTTGAGTAGTAGTGGCCACTTATTTAGATTCATAGTCAGTACGAACAGTGATCCATAACCCTTTAGTTGTTGGAGAAATCGTATAACAGAGAAGTAAACAACAGGACCACCAACAGCTCCAATATTGCTGATTTATCCTCACTGTGTTTATCATACGAGTCTCAGCACCACCACCACCACAGAAAAATGGGGAATTCATCATAAGGTCCTTAAGTGGTTCTTTACTTGAATTTGGCAAAGCGCAAGACTTTGAGGCTAAATTCAACAAAGTAGTTTCACACGTAAAAAAAGAAGAATTTGTAGGAAGAATGTTAATTACATAAAAAGAGACTTTAATTCAGTTCTTTGCCTGGCCTTTCACATATATTTAGTCTGCTTGTTTAGCATCATCTTCACTTATAATCAAAGAAACTCTATTCACAACAAAAGCTGTTGTTGACAGAGTCCAATTTAAGAGTCCTTTCATTTCTCTCTTTATTTTTTATTTTTTGTCTTCACACATTGATTTCTGACTTTTTTATTAGATTAGTAAGACTTTAACAAACATGGAAAAAGTTGGAAAAGCAAAGCAAGTATACAGAGAAAAACCTGCTCAAATAAGACCAGAAAAAATATGAATAACTCATTCCAACTTGCGTTAAGTGAAATTTATTACTGTAATTAAAATTGAAAACAAAAACTCATTCCAATATTAACAGTGTTCAAAAGACTGTAGCACCAGAACATATGAACAAACAACAACAATGTGAAAAACATTATAAATTAAGTATTTTAAAAGAAAAAAATACAAAGAGTATGCAACAGATAATGATGAAAGGGACACAGTAAAACGAAATATGGCAACAATTATGGCACAAAACATCCTCATAATTAAAATATTTGCATGGACTATGCTTTTGATGTATTTCACTTTGCCGATAGAAAATGTACAGGACACACACATTTAGCATTTAGGTAATTGTATTACTGGATATCTATTTTGTGGACAATCATTTCTCCAGTGTGTAGAAATGTGTACTACAGGTTCTCATTGATAAGTACAGTAAAATCCTCGCTGGCTAGCAGTCTGTTGAGCCTAAAGTCTACAGTTTTCACAGTAAGAAAAAAATAGCATTGCATTTTTCTACTTCTTCTACTTACTATTTAAGGATCTAACAGTTTATGCATACAGTTCCAAAAATTGGCCCTAATTGTTTTTGTCCAAGATAAAAAATAAATATACATACATACATACATACATACATACATACATACATACATATATGGCATCACTGGTGTTTTTGACTGCCTGAATTTACATTTACATTTGATTTCTACATGCAGTCACTCAAGCATTTCTTCCTTCATTTGGTTGAAAGAAAGAGAGCAAGACAGAGTTGACTGATCCAACATGAAACATCTGCCACCTGATTGATTCCTGAATCAAATTGCCCATAGCAACGGCTCGAGCTTGGGCTTTTAAAAGAGCTATTTCACTCTAATACATGGCCCATTACCAAATGGCAATTCATCACATTAACCCTACCTCTAGAGAGCTGACAGTGTCTCAGTCAGTACAGTGCCACAGTGCTCTCTGTCTCCAGTCAGGACACACTCAGCAGCATGTCCACTTTGCCATGACTGTGTTTACCTCAGGAATACACAAACGCAGCCTGCCGCAGGCTCTATTAACGAAGCGAGAGGAAACCTCTGCTGATACACAGAACATAGACTAAATGACCCTCTTATGTTATATACAGATATACTGTACTGTGTGCACGTTATTTGTCATTGTGCAGCAATTTAAAACAGTATATTATTATGTAATGGAAAAGCATAATGAAGATGCAACACTAAAGGTTGCTACTAAATGTTCCAGAGAGGACACAAATGCAACAATCAGCGCACTCTCATAAAAACACAGACAACTATATTTTAAAAATTCACAAAAATAAACACTTTCGCCAAACCTTTAATTAGCATGAAGCCGTGTGCTTTAGCTGGAATTAAGGAGCTTCAGGCCCAGCTGTGGTGAGCCTGATTACTTAATAATATGGTGATAAACACAACTATCAATCAAAGCCCCTGACAGGACTTACAATTCAGGGGAGATCAGCCAAAATAAGAGCTGCTGACTCTCTCATTGTGGCGGTGTATATGGGGGTGTGTAACAGGATATTCGCTACAGTCAGCGATGAAGTTACTTGCACCAATGTAATGATGGAAAGAAATAAAGTGTCACTTTTATTTACAGAGCACAACTGCAGTAACTACAGCTGTCTCTTGAAAACAACAGTTGTGCAATCTAAAGTCACTCAGTGTGGAGGACGACAATGACACTATGTTTGAAACACTGGTCTTAGCCACAGTAAACACACCTCACAGTACATTGAACATGAAGTCCTCCAGAGCACAATGCAATACGTGTCCAGTGTGGTTCATACAGCAGTGATATGGTAAGATCACTCATTAGCATTGATCATAAACACATCTTATGATGCAGTGAGCATATTGTCATTCTAGTATTGTATTTTTCAGGTCATAAAGTATATAGTAAACTGTAAGGCATATCAGTTATTGTCAATATAATCTCATGCACAGACTGTAGTATGATGTGTAAGCTGCTGTGTCAAGACAGTTTTAGGGATGAGTGTAAAGACTAAGCACCATGTCTAACTCCTCACTTAAAAATATAACTTGTCTGTTTTATTACAATCCAAGCCATTCGTTTTTTTTAACTAATTAAATCTTGTTCAATCATTAGAGATTGCTAACTATGCTTTTATTTTTTGGGATGTACCTGACACAATGGCAGACATAATCAAATAGGCAGATATAATATCAAACTGGCTTTTAACTATAAAAAATAAAGTGCTGTATAATAAATCTTAGGTAGGTCTAAAGGGCTTTCAGTTGTTTGATTACAAGTTTTCTTTTGCAGAAAATCATAACCAGAAATTTGAATAGTGGATGAAATTACAACTGTTAAGTTCATCTTGATATCAATACAGTATATGCAATATTATTTCTGTTGAACTCATAATAGCATATAATTACTGTTACTGATCCTTGTAACTCTAACTAACTTTTAGTGACTTTCATTTTTAAATTAAATTGAGCGATCATGCTCCCCTTGTAGCTGAGAACAAATGTTTTCTGAAAATGTTTCAAGCTGTATTACACATTGAAAACTGTTTTTGTTAGTTGAAGAAACATGTAATGCGTGGAGATACAGGTTTTCATTCTATGACTGCCTTCATAAGAAAGCTACTGGATGTGCTCAACATTCTGTATCTAATAAGACTTAAAATAAGATTCTAAAATTCAATTTACTTCAATTTATGATTTATCCCGCTTATTATATTTTTTATCTCTTAAAATAATCAGTATGGTAGCAGTGGACTAGACGCACATACAGTATATATACATGCAGTTTATCCTCATTGACTCACTACCTCTTGTTTTGGCCCTCGCCGCAATCAGAGTTACCTTCTCCTCGACTACTACTACTGCGCCGCTAATGTTGCTGGGTTCTGTTGGTCGAAGGTCTTTACAGCCGACGTGACGTGAAATAAATTCTGGCTCTGAGAGGTAAATCACTGCAGCTCTGGGGGACTGCAGCTATTCTCTCTCACCTCGCCACTTTTAGCAGACCGTGGCTGATTTCCTTCCTTGCGTGACTCTGGAGTGTAAACACACAGCCAGAGTGACTCATCACTATTTCTCACTTCCATGGTCTGATATAAACACATGAAGGGGTCAGGTGTCATTTTAGGGTGGCGAGTGGGTGGGGTGGGGGGCCAGTATGTCTCCCCATAAGACATCTTCCATTCTCCAAAGAATTCACAGCTTCCTGTGGCGAAAGCCGCACGCCTGCCCACTCCAGCCTGGTGGAAGGAGAAAGAGAAACAGTTAGAAATAGGGAGAGAGAGAGATGGACGGACAATTTGGATGATAGATTAGCTTCTCTGCCACACTGCTCTTCAGCAAAATGGAAAGAATGTAGTTGTGATGAGCCTGTATCTCTTTTCACCCCAGACAGGACAAGAAAAAGGGTGATGGTTGGAGACAAGATGGAGGGGATGAAGTTAGGTTTAATTGTGTGGCATAAATGAACTTCATTCTGTTTCTTCTGGTGGCGATTTGATTTATAAGTCATGAAACCTTGTTTATATGCGCCTGCCAACTTGTGTCTTTTGGACCGATTGGCACTTTGTTAAAATGGGATGTCTACAAAAGTCCGATCAGCACTTTGCCTTTTTGAGCCCTGCGTTATTGCAGGGTAGTCGGGGTGGAAGGGAGGGATGGCCACTTCCTTTCAGGCCCCAATCTAAAGAAGGGCCAAATACAGTCCAACATCAATCACTTTGCTCTGCACAGCTTTCCCAGTACCATTGTTATAGAGCAGACCAACGGAAAGAGGCCGGTAGCAGGTGGAAATAAAAAGCCCTTTGACAACTATAGGCTGAGATTCCTCCCAAGATCGTCACAACATTTACAGCAGCCAAAGAGAGCAACGTCTGGCTGCCAGCATCAGTCTGGACACACACACACACACACACACACACACACACACACACACACACACACACACACACACACACACACACACACACACACACACACGCACACACACACACACACACAAATATTTAGTCAGCATTCTTATGTACACTGATACATATATACATAGATGCAGCCATAGACAGCCATTACAGGTGTACAAAAATAAAATCAGAAACGCAGTCAATCATATTTTAATGTGTGTGTACACATGACGCAGGCCTGGACATACAGTATGCACATGTATGCAGAAATACAGACACAAAGAGGGACAGAAGATAACCCCTACATCTATTATCACAAACATTAAAAAAAACAGTATTTTTCATAATATTATTTGCTGGATTATTTTGTTGAAATTACATTCAAATTCTGGTTTATAGAAATCAAGTGCAATGAACATCCGTTTGCAGATGGAAACCTTATTATATTTTTATCAGGGATGTAAATTAGTATGAACAGGAGCAGATAATGTGCTCTGAACAGGTACAAACAGCATGCTAAATTTAAATTCATGCAGTAATCTGTTTGTTTTTCCTCTCAACTGATTGACACATTTTCCACAAACATCACACCACTTCATCTCACAGTTGCAAATCACGCAGAGGATTAAGATCCTTTTATTACTTCTAATCTTGGCTCATAATCATCAGGTTAAGATTATTTTGTTCAGTATTAAGTAATCCAGGTGTTTTTGTGTCTGTAAAGTCCAAACAGAAACTGCTTGCTAACCCAAGCAGCATCACCTCTCATGATGTAGATTTGACAAAAATAAACAAATAGGCTACATCCTAAAAACACAGAGTAGTTTAAATAGTTTTAAGTTTGACAGTCAACACGAGTCATCCTGATGTTGCACAGGTGTTATTTTTACCTCATGATCTGATGTGGAAGCCTGGCACCTTGTGCAAGTTGACATCAGATGGGAAACTGCAAAGTTGACGTTGGGGAAATTAAAGGTCCATGCACATTGGCTGAGAGATTCTCATTTCATTTTCTATGATTATAAACATTTTAGACCAACTTTATTTTAATCTGGGTTTCCTCCCATTATGTAAACATCTAGCTTTAAAAGAAAAAAACATGCAATATTACCCAGTGTAACTATGGTTGTATTTTCCTGCTGTTAAAGCCTCCTGTTGAATTTGAAAAAAATTATTTTCACCCAGATTATTACTCAGTTTGCACATTTCTTTTTTGAAGGTGGGGTTCTTATACAAATCATCATATTATTCACGTTTTTTTTTAGCATGCTTAAAACATTTGTTGTTTTACACATTTTATGAAGTTAAATATATGCAGACTATAAATGGCAAGAAAAAAAATGAAGCAGCATAGCACAGCTAATTTTATACAATAAATAGATACAGACACAGACAGTGAGCTTTGCACCACAACAGAAATTTTTACTTCCTCCTCTTCTTCACCTTTAGACAAGCCCTTCCTTCACAGGTTGCATTATAAAAGCAGTATTCGTTCCTCTCTTGTCTTCATTCCAGTCTGTCCCTGGCACTGCCCATTGCACCCACCACACCTCCCCCGCATCTGTACTGCTCTCTTCACTTGGGATCATAGGCTAAAACCTGGCAGGATCACTGTCACATGATGCCCATGCATGTGATGCTTCACTGGGACCCCCCTCCACTCAGGATATGCTCTCGGCCTTTTTCCCACCCTAGTGTTCCGCTGTGGAGAGCTGGGCATTACAACCGATTCCAGTTACCATCCCAAAGCATTCCTGACTGATTCCAACCACTGCTTGGCTATGGGTTCCCACAGACAATGAGGATATGCTATAATTTCAAACTGGCTGGAGCACTGGGTATCAAGTTGTGAACTACCAAAGCTGTTTATGGCAGAACAGAGGAGTTTGAGCTCCACAATAGGCAATTACCATGCCTACTCACCCCCCTCCCCTTCATTCAATTTGTGGTTTGTCTGTAGGTGGGTTCGGTTGTGCGCAGATTAAAAATAGCCAACCCTTTCCAGACAAAAACTGCGAGAGACATGGAACACACATTGCACAAATGATATCTCCCATTGTGGTGTACTGTTTGGGAATTCTTAATTGCTTTTTCCGAAGCAGCTTGCCACAGGAAAATCCCCCTTCAGAGTAAAGAAAAAAAGAGTTGGTGGGCTGTGCGTAAACACCATAGATATTATGTAAACGTGCATGTAAACACGTATGTATAAACCCATGTCGCCCCATGTGCACCCATCAAACTGCCATCAGAGCAAGTATCAAAGGAGCTAACCTGCAGCAGAGCTAGTTGTGGCCTGTGTCTGCCCTCCCTCTCTCTTTTGTGTTCTCCACTGTGGTTTCTGCTTCAACTCTTATTATTGATGTCTCTCCCTGCATCAGACAGACCATGATGGACCGGCCCTGGGAGGTGTGCATGGCTGCAGGGTGGGGCACCAAACAGGCTCCCACTCACTGTGTGGGACTGAATCTTCACAGAAAGGCCACAGTAGAGGAGCGGTAAAGCGTCTAAAGGAAAATTTGAATGTGTTCTCTCTGGACTTTTTTACAGGAATTAAGAACTGATAGCAATGCACAATATGTTTTTATCAAAATGCTGCTTTAACTCAAGATATATTCAAAAAATGAAATAATAAATACATTTAATATAGTAACTGAATCTGTATGTTTTTTGTAATTGTATGTTTATTTAATAATATGTTATCGGGGAATTCTAAAAAAAATTATGAACAGCTATCCCAAATTACTGCTTAAAACATAATGCAATTAATTTAACAGTGTCCTAGTTTAAATAAAATTAAAGATAAAATTAAACTAAAATGTCCAATCTTTTATTTATACACATTCTTCACTTGAGCAGAGTTGAAGACCACACACAAACACAAAAGTGGAACCGAGGCAAACCTAAATATTTATGGGATTACAAATTGTCGTCGTTCAATTTTTAGCTAAAATGACTCGATGTCAGTAACTTAAATTAACTCTGATTAACAAACACAATGGACAACAATGGGAATAAGCTGGACTTTATCAGTCTATCACAGACAACGTCTGCTATGTTGTACTTTTTGTTATGTGTTTCAATAAGCCAAACCCCAAGTATCCTAAAAATCCCCATTTCATTGTCAAACTTGAAAATATTCAGGAATATTGGTCAATAATTTCTAATCTATCTTCTATCTTTTAATTTTGCTGCATAAATTGAGAATGAATCCAAAGACAAACCGTCTATCAACCAGACATATAACAGTGAACCCACAGTCACATTTTTAAGTCATGCTTAACCTTGAAGTCAAAGCCTGAAGTGAGTAAAGTATGTTCATATTTTTGTTGTTTTTACTTTTTTCTTTATGCTTTGGGTGTTTTTTTTTTTTCTTGTTTTACACAGAAAACAGTTTGCCAACTTGCTGAAATACCAATTTGCTTTGAACAGGTATTTAAAATTATGGAACATTTTCCCTGCAAGTGCTAACCACATTTGGACAGTTTGGAATTTGTAAAACCTCTGGACCTGCCAAATCCTCCCCACTGCTGTCCTTCATGTCAAATTATGTGGTACTGCCTATGATCACAAAATAAACCAGAAAGAATTTTACATATGCCTTTATTCTTTTTTCATTGTCTGAAAGGCACATTTTCTTTTCAACATGCAGCTGTCAAAAACAGAACCAACTCTGCCTCTAACACGTGACAAAGTAGTGAATAGTGAAATAAGCAAATGGCAATCTGACGATGTGAGTGGGCTATCTTTAATTTGACAATATAGCACACCAGGGACTGTTGCGGGAAGTCCTGCCGAGGAGGCTGGAGTTCTCACAATAACGTTTGTACCAGTGACTCATGTATTTTGGCATGATAAGCTCCCTATCTGCAGAGCGATGGCTGTTTTTAACAAAAAATAAATACTTAGTGTCGAATGCTCCGTTATCCGAGATGCAAACGTCAGAAGACCATTTCACCTGAAGCTTAGATATTTTTATCATCTCTACTGTGGAAAATCCTAATGAGGTTCGAGACCTTTAAATTATTTTCTGCCCCAATATTCAATTAAATCATTAATATTTAAGTTAACGTAAACGTAAATATTATTTTAATTGAAGGTCTGAAAAATCCCAACATCATCGACGACTGTCAGGGATCAGGTACAGCTGGATGGACGATTGCGTGCTTTGCTGCAGGTGTGCAGCGCAGGCAGACAGGTGGGCGTATGCGTAACATGTGACACGTGCATTCTATCAACCAATGAGAAATAACAACGAGAACACAGCAAAACTTTAGTTATTACACGGACAGTGAGAAGTTTAAAATGTTACCTGTGTTAAAATATTAACACAGGTATCAAGTATTACTAATGAACATACGGTGATATGTGTGGTAAATATAAAGGCCTGCAGCAAGGCAATATATTTTTTAGAAAAAGATAATATACTAATGAAAAACTCGATTTTTATGTAACTTCCATCACTATGGCACGTTTTTATCAGCTCTATATTGTGATGCCTGTTATTTAACTTGATTGAATTTAAGAATCTTACATTGCAAGGACGTATCTAGGATTATCCTCTGCGACGAAAGATAAGAGCACTGAACTAAATGAGTCTGAGATCAGATTAAACTTCCCATCACACTCTCAACACCTGCAGCCCGACGCACGGCAAGGAAAATACGAACTGATGATATACTGAGTCAGAGAGTAGGGTCTGTAATGCCCATATAACTGCTTTAGGCTCACTGTAAAGGACACTTCAGCAGGGCGGGTGTCCATAAGCCTGTTCCCATATAGCGAACATGGGATGTGAAATTTTTTTTTGGTAGAAGTAACACTGACACAAACATGTAATTAGTCAGTCGATTCTGTAAGGGATGCTGAGCCCGGGGGACTACTTTCTTTTGCGCATTCACACACAAGAGGGCGCGGAGTAGATATCTCGCCAAGAAAATTAAAAAGTCATCGGGCGCACTTCTGCTGCAGCTGATTACTGAGAGGGTGGTGCCCATCAAATACACTTCAAATCCATGTAGAGACCCAATGCGCGCAATCAGAGGTCTGCTAGCAATCCCGTCCTTTCTCGTTCACATAAACACCACTTAAACGAAAATATACACGGCCACCTACAGCGTAGGGAAAGTGATGAAGGGGTACCCACCTCGACATTACACTGTTTTCAATTAAAGCGACAATGAGTGAAAAAGAGGCGACACTGCAGAGACAAAGAGCCAGGAAACCAATTAGGATGCATCTTAAAATCAAAAAGTCGGAGAGAGTAAAAAGTCTGGTGTGCACTTAAAATGTGTAATTCAAATCATTTTATATAATAGTTTCATCATAGACATTTTTATTTATATGATTAATGTAAATAAAAACAAGAGTAAAAAAAAAATATATAAACAGAACCTTTGTTTATTTAACAGATTTTGTAATATAACGACGAGATGCTGCAGCACAAGTTTATTTTCTAAAGCGCAAGAATATCTTCAGTAATTCTGCGTAAAGCTGACAGCATGCCACTTGTATTTGTGCAACAACGAGTTACAATATTTACAGGCTTGTCTTTTACACATTTATTCCCACATGACCTGAGAAAATAAAATAAATCAAATCAAAGAAATCTGTATGTTAGCAGAAATTCAGCTGTCAAACCATTTTCAGGCCCTCAGACTAATAGGTAAATGTTATTCTTTGTAAAATCCGCTATGTTCATGTATTTCAGCTTTTGAACTTTTATGGGATTTTGAAACTGTATGGATCTATTTATTGATTTGAAATAATGTTATCGTTTTTTAAAAGCTCCAGATGTTTAAGTTGTTTGCTCTATACTATAACAGACTGTGTGATTCCCGCATGTAGTCCTAAGTACTGCTTCAAAACCTGATTCAAGTTCAAGGCGGATGAACTTACGGCCAGTAGATCGATCACTCTGTCTCAATGTCCTCCAAACAAAGTCCCTGCGGCCTCTCGGTGACCCTCTGCGGCCCTCTTTCACCGCCGGTGAGAGAAACTGGTTTATTTCTCAAAGATAATCGTTTGTGAAGAACAATTAATTCGTACGTTGTAACACTTAATCATTCTCTGAGTCTCATTGATCTGAGCCTCATCTCCCCAAGAGTTTAATCTGTGTCCGTGGAGCCAAATCAAATTATCTTGCTGACCGCTGCAGCTGTTGGATCTAATCCGCCGGGTCTATTTGCCTAATTGGTATGAATACTCATTAATTTTATAGTTAGCCATATCGTGACTTGCTCAGATGATGTAGCACAATGTGGCCTTTAGTGCCTGGATCTGGGAGAACACAGAAAATCTAAAAGCGTCACAACTAAACTGAACTTACTGTCAATATTACAATATTATGTCTGACAATAAAGTCTAGGTTGTAGAAAAGAAAGGCCCAAATTATATATTCTAGGTCTGTGGATGAGGTAATGTGCCATCGTACAAGAGTTTAAGTTGACTAAAGTGGGACTCTAACCAGTGAGAAACCATTTTTATGTACATTTGGGCAGAGCGTTGCAACAACCCGATTTTTAAAAGGGTGCATAATTGGTTTCAGTGCACTAAATAACGGTAAGACAGTCCGGAAAGCCTGTCAGGACTGTGCACTCTGCGGTGTACCTCCACCTAAGTGGCCGAGCATTCCTGAGGATGCAGCGCTGTCAAATATTTCATGATGGGACGTCATGGAAAAGTGCATGACTTCGTCTGCGATGGAGCAACAGGGAAGCTCTGACCTATAGGGACTCCAGCCTCAGTAATGACGAACATAACCTGCCACCGACGTTGTTATAGCAGCTATTTCCTCTGAGGGAGTAAAATATTCTTAAATTGTGGATTTATTAATTTTTTTTTATTGATTTCTGATGATGTACATTATTATATTATGATGATACTTTTTTATTTCCGATTGATTACCGTAATGTCACTATTGAATATTAAACTTCCATAATATCCCCAAAAATATATATTTTGTGGCTTTTTACTGGTGAAAGAAGTAGAAGAAGAAGAATGCAATGGGGAGTAGCGCATCACCATCCAACACTGATGGGTTGAGTAAACATTTAACCACGGACTGGCTTTGGATAGACATGCAAGTTAAAAATATATATATATGTAGGCCTATATATAACAAAGAAAGAATAACATGACATGGGGCGAATGAGCGTCTGAGAAAAAAAGCGCCCTAATGGAATGAAGTCATCAGCGGTAATTAAATGCAGTGGGCAGAGAGAGGACGGGAGCGCGCCTGCCCCTGGTGCGCGCTGGGTGGTCCGCTATGCTGATAAATGTGTGGCCCTCACTCCAGGCGAGTGGCCGAGCAGGCATCGGTTAAAACAATACTTACATTCATTTATCCATGGGTTTAAATCTCCTCTGCAACAGCGAATACTAACAGTGGCACGCCGGTCACCTTTGGGTTGACAATGAAAATTTGACAATGAATTGTTTTCTCGCTTTCTCATGTGGCAAACCGCCTGGAACAACAAAAAAAAAGGTAGCGGCTCCGGGACTGGGCAGTTCCGTTATACATCAATTAAAACATTTCATAGTTCTGCTATACAAAGAAAATTCATTTAAATATGTTTCCTAAAATTAGACTTCTAAACATGCTGGAACATTTAATAGGAAAAAAAGGAGCTGTTGGTGACATTTACGCACAGGCAACAAAGTCTCCAAACAATGTCTGCTTTTTACGCACATGCAGGGCAAAAATTGCAAATATGTTCATCCACTATTTTCCCCGGTGTTATTTTCCATTGTCTCAAAACCAACAGTCGTCATAAGCATCCACGAGAAACAGTAAAGCCAGGCAGAGACCAGAAGCACAGCGAGCTCAACTAACAGAACCCACGGAGAGGCAAAAGGTTGTAGGCTGCAGCTATCGAGATCTCCAGGGAACAATAAGCAACCTACTGTCAACAGTTTTAGGTTATAGACTGATCGTCTTTCAGTAGCTCTCGCTCACAGCTGCATAAAAGGCAGTAAAATTAAGCTTCTCGACTTTGGAAACACAAAGAGATAAACAAACTGTTGCGCGTCTTCTGAGTGAATTACAATTCGGTTAAAGCAAAAACATTCTGCAGAGCTTAAGGCATAATTTAGGCTCCGTTGTTCTAATTATCCTATAAGATATTGTGTCACATAAAATAAACTCATCTTTTCCACTGTGGCACCACATTTAAGGCGGCCACAGTTCTGCTGGGGTAAAGCGTTAAATCCACTTTACCTTAATTCCTGGATCATTCGATGGTAAACTGACTGCAGGAGTCGATCTTCAAGTCCCCGTCCGAGTTTCTGTGCTCATAGTTCGGCAGAGCTTCCACCTCACTCCTCCCGCGTCCCTGCGTAAATATTATGACTGCATTACACAAACAATATTCATGTGTAAAAACGTCCAACATCACAAGACGCTGCGAACAGACGGGCCTATCGCATCAGATTGAGTATTAGCTGATCTAAAAGGGGCTTTTGCTTGATTTTTTATTTAAAGAAGGCCAGGGAAAATGTTTACATTTTGCTGTATAAACATCCTGCCCATGTTCCTGTCTATCTTTTACAGAAATCAGGAGGGTGGTTTTGAATATGAGGGGCACGTTCTCTGGTAAATGCTTTTTATATAGTAAAAATGTTTTATTAAATATTTCAGAAGTTTAATAAGAATAGAGGCATGACCTATTTGCCGTGCTGGTGCATCAGTCATGTGGTCTGGAATGGAGAGGTGCTGTTTCTTCAACAGGTTTATGATGTAAACTATCACAATATTCAGTGTTAAAAATAAGAATCAAAATAAAATAAAGTCATATTAGTTAACGAGGCAAGCAAAATATGTATCTAAAGGCCATATTCAGTGTAGTAACTATCACTATGTGGTCATGTTATATAGGTCTAGAGTATTATAAGCCATTTGAAGCCATTTCAGCATATAACAGCATATAGGTTATTACAGGCTGTATGGGAGATACATTCCCTATTTCAGTGTAAGGAAGGGGAAAAAAACATTTCGCTGAAAATGAACGCACACAGATGTGCATGCTTGCAGCCCACCACTGGAGTAGGAGGGAACTGGGCGGGTCCCAACATTAGGATGGCCAAGACATCCAGCTTCCAATGCGCTGATGGCAACAGATAAGTAAAAAGTGAGCTCCTCGGACGCACGACAACACACCAACTGAAGTGGAAAGCGGCTCCTGTTCTGCTCCTCATCCTATTCGGACATTGCGTACAAGGCGGTTCGGCTTCAGACTGCTGCAGGACTGAATCGAAAGGAAGAAGACAGTCTCGTCTTTGGCTCGTGCGTTAAGTTTGTCTCCAGTTTGCCTACTTTTTTTTTTTTTTTTTTTTTGCTTTTTTTATGTCAGCGAATTCGTATTCAGCTTTGTAGTGTTTATAGGCGGAAAGGTGGAAATCGACCTTCGTTTTGTCATCTCGAAGATTAAATTTAACTCATGACGGCAGAGGTCCAGCAGCCCCCAGCGCAGACTCCTGCTCAGAGCAGCCCGATGTCTGCTCCGGAGAAGCCGCACGGACAGACGGCGGTGATGGAAACCGCCTCCTCCACAACGAAAACCAAAAAGACAAACGCAGGGATCCGCAGACCAGAGAAACCCCCGTATTCATACATAGCTTTAATAGTCATGGCTATCCAGAGCTCTCCAACGAAGCGCCTGACTCTCAGTGAAATATACCAGTTCTTACAGAGCCGCTTCCCGTTTTTCAGGGGCTCATACCAGGGATGGAAGAACTCCGTGCGTCACAACTTGTCCCTGAACGAGTGCTTCATAAAGCTGCCCAAGGGCCTCGGCCGGCCAGGGAAGGGCCACTACTGGACTATCGACCCGGCTAGTGAGTTTATGTTCGAGGAAGGCTCCTTCAGAAGGAGACCCAGGGGTTTTAGGCGCAAATGCCAGGCGCTGAAGCCCATGTACAGCATGATGAACGGCCTGGGATTCAACCACATCCCCGAGTCCTACAACTTCCAGGGGAGCGGCGGGGGCCTATCCTGTCCGCCCAACAGCTTGTCTCTGGACAGCGGGATTGGGATGATGAATGGACACTTGGCAGGTAACATGGAGGGGATGGGTCTGTCCGGGCACACCATGTCACACTTGTCGACCAACAGTGGACATTCCTACATGGGAAGTTGTACAGGATCCACTGGGAGTGATTATCCCCACCACGACAATTCCGCCTCTCCTCTGCTCACCAGCGGGGGAGTCATGGAGCCTCACCCCGTCTACTCGAGCTCAGCCTCGGCGTGGGCTCCTGCACCCTCGGCCTCGCTCAATAACGGGGCCTCCTACATAAAGCAGCAGCCTCTGTCTCCCTGTAATCCAGGGGCAAACCCGCTGCAGCCAAGCTTGCCCACACATTCACTAGACCAATCTTACCTGCACCAGAATGGGCACAGTACTACAGATTTACAAGGTAAGCTCAATGGTAATATTTCACCTTTAACTTCATCTAAAAACTGCAGCGGATTTTGTGGAGGGAAAAAAAAGTTAAATTATAGGATGATACAGGAATACAAAGAACAAACCATTTCATTTCTACATGGTGTAAATAATATTTTCTACACAGGGTCAAGCCTGGTGGTTCACAGATGTGTGTGGTTTTATGCCAAACGTGGACCTCATGGAAATATTGAGCAGCCTCACATTACCTCATTTGAATATCGCTGTATTTATTTCTCAGTAACTAAACACAAGCGTATCTCCATTGCACATAGTGGAAGAAATCAAATCAAGGCCATTGAGGAAAATGATGCAACAAAAAAAAGAAAAAAACACGCATATTCTCCCACGCAAATTACGCTTGCTCACTGTCCTGCTGCTCTCAATTAAACAGAATACAAAATAAAGCCCAGATATAGTTTCTGGAAATGATAAAAAAAAATACAAAAAGTAAGGAGAGTCAGTTTAGAGCCGTGCCAATCACCGGGCAAGAAAAAATAAGCGCGGTTAGGACCAGCCTGCCTTGCCCTGAGGCCCCGAGTCCTCCGGGACTGGCGTGCGAGAGGGCCACTGTCAATTAGCCCTGCAAGCCCGCCTCTCCCTCCTGACAATCTTAATCGTGCTTGCTAAATGGACTGCGGGTCTATGAGGAATATACACACGCAGCCTTTTCCGAGTTAATAAAACTCCACATCCGGACTGTACAAATTAAATACATCATTTATTTCTAAAATAGGCGTATAATTATTAATTTTAGAGAAAATGTTCTATATAGGGCGTCCTTTCACAATAAAATATGGCTGGAGAGGTGTGGAAAAACACTAGTATCGGTTAGGGTCTCCCACTTAATTTAACATAGTTGTCAAGTTACTACAACAAATATTAGGCCTATTATAAATTATATTATTATTATTATTATTATTTATTTTAACGTGTTTTATTACTAATGGATCCAAAATTCCAAAGTCAAGGCTCCAATAGGAGATGTCTATTATGGATTACAGTGGTAACAATTAATTAAAAGTTAAAGCCTGAGCTTCAAACAACATTCTTAGAAACTGTCAAAGTCTCATTAAACCTCCTTGTGGCATTCCAGGTCTTCCCTGTTTTTAATCCTTCTTTAAAATCACCTTTACGCAGGTATTCCTCGGTACCATTCCCAGTCTCCAAGCATGTGTGACCGAAAGGAGTTCGTCTTCTCGTTCAACGCCATGACGTCCTCGGCGATGCACTCACCGAGCAGCGGCTCGTACTACCACCACCAACAGGTCGCCTACCAGGACATCAAGCCCTGCGTCATGTGATGCCTCCACACGGACAATCTGCAGACCAGAGGGACGGTGTCACAGACTTGAGCCACGCAGCAGAGTGAAGTGAAAGGAGAACAACCGAGTAAATAACCACTGAGAGACAGAGAAGGCCTGCCCCGGCCCTGATGAGTGCTCACTGCTTCAAGTAGACCGGACTACTTTTCTGTACTGTTTTTTTTTTTTTACACATCAGCGACAAAGACACGGAGACAGGCCAATCACAAAAGCAACCACATAATAATAATATATAATAATACAAACTTTTTCATGCCATCAACATCGACCAGCGGGGTAAAGACTGGCTGTATGAAACCCTGCTGCTGTTTGGTACTTAGTCCTGCAGAGCGGATGACTACCACTTCACACTTTTGTTCATGTTTATTCTTCTTGTTAAAGTAGGCCAATGTAAAAAATGCACACGTCTAAGTTTCTAAATTTTTACTTTTCTTTTCTTTGACAAATTAGACTGACGCTCTTTTTTTTTTATTTGGACTTTCATACCAGCGTTGAATTTCAAAATGAACAATTATGGACATTGTATATATATGTCCATATATACTGTGTAAAAATGATGAAGGCACTTTTTGAATAGCCTATAAGCGCAGCTTTTTATTTATTCTGTAGGCCTACATATTTTAATTTCAGGCGAATTGGCCAAGGAGGTATATGCTTTATTGGCAATATTTGTCAGAACGCTTGTTATTTGTTTTAAAATGAAAATTGAGGATATAATGTAAGCACTGTTATGTCGTTTGTGTTAGATATATGTAGACCATTACTTTCAGCACTGTATACTTATATATTGTTAGGAAAATTAGCAAGGGTCCATCAATGAGGGCTGATCTTTAGGCTATATTATAACAAATCATTTGTAAGAAATAAAATATATCTGTTGGGCTAGTTAAGCCTAAATCCACACAAAAAAACCAAGACATATTTCGATTTCATGACACACCCATAATTGATGGGACATTTTTTGGGACACTGCAAACATATACCTGTGTAGATCTGAAGTCGGTGAGCATTATTACACAATCAACCAAAATTAGCAGTCGCCTACACAACGAGTGAGGCAAGTTCTGCTTTTTCCTGAAATACCACAATATTGAAAAATAATTAATTAATGCATTAAACTAATAAGGAGGGTAAACTGACTTCCTGTGGGTACAACATACAATACATAATATTTGGTGATAGTGAAGCCAACAATTTAAAAGCACAGTACGCATAATATCCACACTATAGTACTACAGCAGTACGTATGGTTATAGAAATATCCAAACTGCTCCAGTGTCCTCCTGGCAGCAGCAGCAGCTCATGCGTGTTATTGCAAACTGACGTTAAATGAACAAATCTGATTTTCCACGAAACAACAACTAACTGATTATAGATTTAAATAAATGGTTTTAAAAGTCAACGGTATTATGCCCTCTATGTAAGGAGAGTGTTCGCAGCAATTAAGGCGTAACAAATAAGAGGCAGAGATCTCACCCGCGTTTGGTTACAGGGTGAAAACCTGCAGCTCCAAAAAATGCATTTTCTCCAAAAGATGTGTCTGCCGAATAACACAGGGGTCAAAGATACATAAACTTTTTGAAAACCTACACAAATAATGGACTTTAAGAAAATTAAAATCCCAAACTAACAATTTACAAAAGAGGAAAAAATGTGTCATTGGGTTTTACATTAAATGTGAGCTGATGTGCAAAAGGCAAAAGCAAAAGTTTGTCCTCTTAAAAACACTTGTTACATCCAAAATATTACAGAAAAATGTATTGCAGAGGCACAGGAATAAGATGCAATGAAAAATGCACAAATAATTAATATGTGAATGTCTTCTCACACCATGAAAATACTACAGCCACTCCTTATGTTACAAAAGGCACATGCTCTTCATCGGACTCATTATTTGTTTAGTAGCAGTTGCAAAATTCATAACTGCTAGTATTACCAGCTACTAAGAATATGAAATTCTTTTAGTTTCAGTTTCAGATAATTATGTGATGTTGAAAATAAGAACAGGTGCTACTAATGTCCAAAAACATGGTGGACAGCAATCTCCATAATGCACACCTCTCCTGAGTGAATTGTAACTTAAGATGTCTTCTAGTTCAGTTATGGTGTTGAGGCGTGTGCGCACACATAGATCTGTAATTCAGACCGTAAACACGCTGTGTTTTAATACTTGTGTAGCTTTGAAATCTCACAACATGACCACCAACTGAACCCAAGTAAAATGCCACTGAGCACAGGGATAAGAACAGCACATTAATAAACTGATGACATTTTGTGAGGTTCAGTGCTCTAGCAGGACTGAGGGAGTGAGATGGGGCTCCACAGCTGTTCCCTCGCCAGGCCTGGATGACAGCTCCATAAAAAGCCAGAGGCCTGCTCTGTGCAGACAGACATGCTGTGTGCTTGTGTCTCAATACAATAAAGACTTCAGTGAAAACAGGACACTTGTCTGGTAGTGCACACTGACACACAGAGTAATCAGTTACCAGGTAATAGTCGGTGCAGAAACACAGAACATTATCGGGCACAAGATGCAGGTTATTGGGTGCTTAAATCTGGATGAGTGGTGTATGAATCTATTTCAGTGTGGGTCAATCTCTTGTTTGCTTTGAAAACTAACCGGTATTACAACAGACAGATTTGTCTGATCTATAAGCTCTTCAAGTTTTGTAAAATATGAAGTATGAAGTATAACTTTTGTCCTTTAATTACTGTCTCTTCAGCAGAACAATCTGTTTTATTAGTGAGGATAGTTTGAGGGGTATCAGGCTTTGCCACAACTAGACTACAACAGTATGAGTTGGACTTTTTTCCAAAGTTTGCAGTTTCCAAAAAGCTAAATCAGGGTAATTTTTTAAATGCTGAAAAATGGTGTGAAGATCCCTCATATATTTGTTCAATTCAGTTTTGTTTAAAAATAATAATAATAATACACTACGCCATAACCAGTACAGTCAAACGTTTTAGTAGAGAACATTATAACATTTTACAAACAGATGCTTTAACACTGCAAGACTTTTTTCAGGCACGGTAGCAAATCTTATCCGTTAAATAGTGAGGCTGGCCTCATATCACCTGACTCAACCAGACAGAATACATGGTTTCATCAATAAGGAGGTACAATGTCTATTTTCAAAATATTCTGAAAAAAAATGAACCTAAGAAATCAAAAAGCAAAGCTCCAATGAGGTTGCACAAACCTATAAATATGTTGTTTTTAAATAAATAAATATAAATAAAATAAATCCAGATCTTAGTCAAAACACACTGATAATCAATCGCGTTAATTTTTAGAAAATACCTTCCTGGGTTATGTGCAAGGACGTATTGTGCAAATTTTCAACTGAGTCAGGATCATCACGACGTCGTCTGTATTCAAAATAGCCTAACAATTGGGAATATGTTCACGTCTTCCAAATTTGGTTGAAACTGCTCATAATTTATGTCGTATCTTTTTCACAATTTGGCAATGGAATAGACTAATAATGTTTTTAAGGGTAAATTTTTTTTTAATATTTTTTGTGAAGTGATGAAAAATGTTTTGTAAAAAAAAAAAAAAAAAAAAGGGTCTGTTTGGCCTAGGTTATGTGGATACATAAATGTTAGAGCAAGGAATTTATAATTTATATAATATTATTTATTGTTCTACTAGGCTTAATGGCTCAGGACTCATCAGGATTGTACGAGCTGATTAAATGACCACATGGTGGTGCTATCTGTAACAAAAACAGCTCTTTGGCCCATGGCCTTAGTTTTTGATGTTTTTGAGATAACTGACAAGCAGACACACAGGTCTAAAAAAATGAGTTTCTTGGTGGAGTACTGAACACTTATTTTTTAAATTTACTCAACACTTATATTTTAATAAAAGTCTACATTTTTCTCAAAGAAGTTCTCAAAAAATGCCTTCAAAGAATGAAGGCTCTCAGGACACACAGACCAGCAGGTGTGTGTGAATAAACAAGGCACATAGATGTGGTTAAGTATAGAGAAATGATATGTACAAATCACTTTTCCAGTGAAATGTTTTATGATGCTGGGATTCAGCCATTGCATATTTGCAATATTTTGTTAAGCTCATTAGCCTTAGCAGTCACTTTAGAGGTAATATATATTAAAAACAAACAAACAAAACTCTCCTTAAGGAATTTAACGTCATTTAGCGTATTGCCTGTTGCTATTACTGCTCAGTCATTTCATTGCTGTCACTCTTAGTTTCTGGTGGTGGTTTAGTTTTTGGAGCTGCTGATGGTCCTCCTGGTCTCCTATTGGAGTCTCCGGACCTCCTCCCTCCCCGCTGGCTCTTGGCCAGCTCAGCCTGCAGACTGTGACCATTCAGACTGAGATCCTGCAGAGCCTCCAAGGCCTGCTCCGCAGCCTGAGGGTCGATGTAGTCCAGGAAGGCCCTGTGTTGAGCTCCCTGCCAGGTGAGCCTCAGCGGAGCAGCCTCCCTCTCTCTGAGGGCAGTTTTCAGCTCACTAACACGCAGCCCAGCAGGGATACCCCCCAGGTAAACTGTGGTCACACTGAGAGGGAGCTTACGTTGAGACATGACTTCACTCAGAGCCTCCTCTGGGCCCTTCTCCTTCATGTTCCGTCCTCGTCTTCCCTTTCCTCTCTCATTGATTTCCCCCTCTTTACCTCCCCCGCCATCTCCCCTGCTTTCTTTCCTCACTCGAGCTGGGCGCTGTCTGGCTTTCTGTTCTGACTCTGCTCTTTTCTCCTGTTTGGATTCCCCCTCAGCATCCTGCTGCGTGTTTTGCCTTGGCCTCCGTCTGGTTTGCCTTCTGGGTTGACCACTCTGCAGACCGGGCTCTGCTGGAACAGGCACCGCCCCCAGTGTTACATCCTTTCCAGCCTGTTCCTCCAGAGCACGCAGCTTCTTCAGGATGGGGATCCTCTCCAGCTTTTCTGTGTCCAGCTGAAGACACAAAACCGGACAGGCTCAGTGAGGCTGAAAGGGGAGGGACTGTCACACACAGCAAACAAATAGTCCTGCTCTGAGCCAGTGCACCATACCTACGGATGACGAGTTCAATTAATAACAAAGTGAATGTGGACAAATTAATTAGTATTATACCATCCTGCTTACAGTCCCTGCTATAGCATTAATTATCTTTATAGGAGCAGGACATTTCACTTCCCAAGCAGTTAAAAATAAAGAATCCTCTCTTGATTTGTTGGGCCTTTAAGTGTCTTGGCAGCCTTTGATGCTGACCAGTCCTGTAAAGGATATACAGGGCTATTGTTTTTACACTGGCCTGTTTGACCCGTCATTCCCCTGCCCCTGCAGAGCCAAGCTGGCTGGGCAGAGGAGCCTTTGATGATCAGACATGGCCTTCCTGCCAGTGAGGTCACTGGGTCCTGTTTACTTACAAGTGTGTCTTAAGGAACCCAGAGGTTACACACAAACCCTCCACACGTTAAGAATAATGTCCTCATCATGTCTAATTAAAGACAAATTATCAGATGGAAAAACACACCACATCTCTCTGCCAGTGTCAGTAAATCAGGGGCAGTTTAAGGTCTCAGTTAAGACTCACATTAAAACACAGATAATGTGTTTTTTTTTTTTAATTTACAAATTTATTTAATTCTTTTGTTTTGTCTGCTGTCTTTTCCCCAATATTTGGGATCTTGTGTTTACAGCTGGTAGTTATTTGTCATTTATTTGTATACTGTACTGTATATAAAAAACTGCTTAATACAAAATCATTTTATTATTACTTATTAACAGAAATTAACTGAAAATAAGACAAAAAGACTAATACTGTGACAATTACAGCAGAAGCAGAATGAATGTCCTCTGATGAGGTGCGGTGTCATTAAAAGTCCACTAGAGGGCAGTGTCACTAAGCAGAGAGGCTAAACATTTTGTTGGGGGCTCAGGAGAGACCCTCTGTACAGTAAGTTTATACCTGTTCCAGTTAAACTGCCATAAAGATTTGTAGTCAGATTAAGTGTGCAAGAACCAGGCTACAGCTAAAATGTTACAGCACAGCTATTCCTACAGCTGTACACAGACTTTATAAATAATACACACTTTAAAAAAAAGTTATTTTATTTTACCTTAGTCCAGATGATTCCCTGTGGTTTAGGGTGCTTGCAGTCTGTTTTAATAACTCTGGTGGGTGTGAGGATGTAGTCCACAGTCACATCATGACTTTCTATTAACTCCTCTGGAATGTCCACCACCTGAAAAGACAAAATACCACAATTAGCACCCAAACAACAAGTCATTAATCATGTTTGATCAACAGGATTTTTAAAAAACAATTTTGAGATGACCCAGTGTGTAACATTTAGGAATATAATATTCATAGGTATGTTTTCATTACTGTATAATCGAATTAATATAGGAATCGTTATGTTTTCATAACCTTATGAGCTGTTTTTAATCTAATGATTTTAGCTTACCACTGGATATAGCAAGTAACCCTTGGTAAGACATAATGCTATGGTGTTAATCTAGTGAATCAAAGTGCACATAGCTTCAGTGAAAGTTCACTCACACATTCTCTGAGAACAGGATGATAGGATAGGTAAACTAACCTGGCAGTCGTGCACAACAGTAACCACCACAGTAGAGTCATTCACAGCTCCCATTGAGGCCATCATGCCATACTCCATGTCAGCAAAGCCCTCTCCTTTTCCAATCCGAAAGCCTACGTGAGAAAAGAGGAGCCATGAGAACTTTTAAAGGCAGGTTATGCATCATGTGACACAGAAAATAACTCTCAATCTCTGATGCAGCATTTTCTTACTCGGACGGTGTCACAGATCCCAGGAATAACCAGCATCTGCATCACATTCAGCATTTTAAAATATACCCCAAAAAACAGAGGATCTCAATCTAAAAACTGCACTGAATTATAACACACCGACATATACGTTGAGGGCAGCTATAACAATTCATAAAAATAACTTAATTAAATGTAAACTAGTGGGAACATGGACGAGCCCAGAGCAACAAACTCTTTATGAGAACCATGTGGCGCTGTACACTTAGAGCCATTTGGAAATGTATGCATTATGGTAAACATGTCTGTTTCACCGCAGCACTGCATCACTTATCACAGGCATTTTGAAAATGAGGATCAAAATGCATTGTGAGTGATGGGACACTTTACATGGAGGGCAGAACACAGCAGAACCCACAAAGAGCGAAATGGATCTGATTATGCACATCTGCCCCCGCTCTCATTTCTGTTCTTCATCAGATCTCCCTAACAGAGTGTCTTGGTGCCTCCGTGGGCTGGAAACCCACGCATTGATCACAACACAATATTTAATATGACCTTTGTCACATGACAAGTCATTTTAGTCTCCTGTCATTTTCCACAGTGTAATTAACAACCCTCATAGGATGTAATTTCTAAAAAGTACTGGTTTAGCAGAGTCCGTATCTAATGACAGACTTTGAGTCTTTGGTCCCGGAGTCACTTTTTGCTACACAATGTGATGTTCATTATAATGCACAATACAGTAGGATCGAGTAACTTACTGATGATTTTGTTGCTCATAGTGTCTTACCAGTTGTTTTCTAAATAAGCAAAAACACAGGCCACACACGTGACTAACTACTGTTTATTTATGGGTGAGAAGTGTGTTTTAATCTGTTTTTTGTTAGATTTGATATATCTTACTGTCCGTACAGTGAAATTGGTCCTTGGCTCACAGCACTCTTAATGTAACACTATAAAGCTACATAAATAAATAGATCCATTTTTTAGGCATATTTTATTTACCAATTAATCATCTGTTCAAGGGGAAAATTCGCAATGTTTTTGGGCCCCCAATATTTAGTTTAATTGGTATGGCAACACAGTGAATCACTGGTGGATTCGCCAACTAACAGTTACCTTTCTCTGACACCGCCACAGAGCCAACCACCACCAGGTCTACCTTCACCTTCGCATCCAGGCCAACTGGCACACTGAAATCTTTCACACCCTGAAGGAAGAAAAAATAGGAATAAGTTAAATGTTTGGAGGTTTATGAAAAATAATGAAATTCTGGGCAAAACTGAGTAAAATCAGCAAGTTGAAACCTGAGAGGAGGAGCAGATGCGTAGCTGTTCCTTGCTGGCTCCCGGGGGAGGAGTAATATTATTGAAAAGACCAGTACGAAGACGAGGAGTTGGGACCAATAAAGTTTTCTGCGCCTGTGAAGACATTTAGTGACTTAACATGATTGCAGATTAACACTGGATTGGAAGAAACGATGATGAGAATAGCAAATATATTACATAAATCAAAAAGCACTGATGTGCCTTAAAATGAAGATGTAATAAAGAAACTTATAATCTTATTTAAGAAGTTCGGGGGTCTAATAGAGGATGTGTTATCTTCTGAAATAATTTGCCTAAAATTTCTATCACAATTTCTAATTAAAATCGTAAATGTAGTCTCAGATTTACATGGTTACACAGCAGATAAAACAGTAAATGCATTTCTGTATTACAGCCTGAGGCACTCTCTCCCACTGTTCAGTGCTACCTGTAGCACTGCCAGCCGGGCACCCTCCAGGGGTTTATCAGGATCCACCTTCACCTCAGCTGTCTGGGTGAACACCTGCAGCTCAGACACCCTGGCACAGGCTGTGAAAGCACCCTGCTTGAAAGGAGAGGAAGGCATTAGGGCTGATCATTGTTTTTGGGGGGGGTTCCCCAACTTACTTCCAGAGTGACAAAGCGTGCCTGCTGCTGGGGTCTGTCTGGGTTTACTTTGACTGTCTGGCTGGACTTGAACTCCTGCAGGTCTACAAGCCTGTTGCATGCTTGAATTGCACCCTGTCCATTAAGTAAAAAGCAGCAAAAGCAAAAAAACGCACAGACAGGACAACCATTAGTCATTCAAAATCCAAGAACATCGGTCAAGAGCTGTCGTGCAAACCTGAAACGTGTGTGTAGTTTGTCATCTCTGTTAATTAGTAGAAACAGTTTAGTTTACTGTGATAATTTACATACCCGTAAATATTATATAAGGTTTATAATTATAGCTTTAATTATAAAAGTTAGCTTTTGCTTAATGGAAAATGGAAATATTAAATATTAAAGTCGATCGTCTGACTTCTGCTGATTTAAAAGTATGAATCAAGTCCTCCATTAACTGTACTTTTCTAGTTTGCCTTATTATAAATATAAATAGATCGGTGTGTCAAATGTGTGTTTTATTGTCTTGTTTGTACTCATGTCTGTCTGTGAACATGCCAGAGCCAGTAGACCACCCTGTATGAATACGACGTAATGAATGAAAAGAGCGGACAACTCAGGAACCTTACTACAATGTCGACAGTGTAAATATTCGTGTACAGTTGAACTGAGTGTTTAATGTAGGTCAACAACTACATAGCAACACTGTGCTGCTCACTCAGGTAAAATTGCTTTAACCTGCCTTGAAGTTTGGGATTCTGTTGTGAACAGGCCTTGGGAAGTTGGCCAGATTATTGTCCTCGATGTAGTCCCAAACTTTCTGACGAATGTCCCATTTCGACGCCCCTGGACAGAAAACAGAAAAAAGGGATTTGAGGCGCAGCGAGGCGCAGCGACATTAGCCAAACATTTACAAACGCACATTCATCGACATTCATTTTTAACAACAAAACAAGCGTCGCGAACATTTAACCTACCAGGTTTTATCACTATAACGGACTCCATTGTGTTATTGGTGGTGGAAATTAGTCTCTGCTTCAAAACTCGGTTACTACACGCAGTCAAATCTCACACGTGAGCTCTGTAACATAACACTAACGGAACAGCTGTTTGTCAGTGTTTATCAGTGCTACGGCGGCACAGGAAGGTCAATCTTAACCAAACGAGAAACCGGAAGCGTCACATTGTATAAGGCCTAAAACTGCCAGGGAACCAAAGTAAAGGGAAATATCTTCAACTAAACGCTGCAGTTTTCAAAATACTTGTACTTTAGGTGAGTATTTATTATATATATTGGATATAAGCACCTTTTTAAAAACAAGGCAATCCAAATTGTTTTAGATCAGACATGAAAAAGCGATAAGACAATACAAAAAGACACACATGATTATTGTGATTAAAAAAAAAAGATCCATGCGAGTAAATGTATCATCATCTTCAGGTAATTTGCTGCTAACACAATCATACTAAGGTACATTTGTGAATGCAGGACCAATTACTTGCAGCATGTTTGAACCTTGCTATTTCTACTTAAACAAAGGATTTGAATGCTTTTTCTGAAACCTGATAAATTCCCATTACCAACATAAGTCACACAGAAATTTTAAATGCACACGTTAAACACAAGCAGATGTTTTTATTTTTCAAAGCAGCTACCAATTTATGATAGTCTTTTGAAGCTGCTCTGTAACAATCATATCTGGCACTGTGCAGGTCAAACTGGTTTAAAACTAAGATTAAGTAGGCATGTGTCATGTATCATGTGCAAGGTTTTGTGTTCAATTCAGGCAGCCCCAACCAGCTAGTGATTGGGTTATAGGGGATGACATGGGAACGTTGAAGACGGTTTTATGAAGCATTCTTGAGAGGGTTAATGCAAATACTTCCGGTGCCCAACTACATATATTTGCACTGTCCAGAATGAAGATGAACTGGTGAGGAAGGGACCAATTTTAGTATCTACTGTGGAGTACAAACCAGCAGGATGATACTGTGGTTCTATGTTGGTCTTGCATGACAGCTGCTGATATTGAATGACACTATAATTGTAGGTAGGTGCAGTGGCAGACTCAGACTGTTTAAGGGACAGGGGCGAAAAAAATAGAAAGGGCACCAGTATGCAGAAAGTTGTATGGTGAAACAGCGTTGTCAGTATTAGAATTAGCATCCACCCTGTTTTTCAAACATAGGAGCACCCGAGGGGGCGGCTGCAATGAAAAGAAAGCAATTATAATATATTTGTAAATGTGTGTGCAGAAAAATCAGGCGATCAGCCTTTGAAAGACAATGTAATTGACCAAATCATGCAATAAGGTGAAGATGCTCAGCATGACTTTTGATGAAGAGAGAATTTGTGTGATATAATTACAGCCAAGTGATCTAATGTTTAGATGAAGGGCAACAGGACTGGGCTCTGAGGAGCCCCAGGGGAGAGGATACAGTCTCCATACATGGTAGCATGTAAAATGGGGTCTGAAAATGTAATAAAGAGGTGGTGCTGCGCATAAGCTTTTAAAATCTGGCCCCCAGCCATTGTGCGTCCTTTGTTATTTACTCATCATGTGAAGTTATTGTTCTTCAGGCTTGTCAGTGGCAACTTTACAGTGAAAGCAAAGAAAATGTTACAGTACAGCTGCACTTGTAGTCATTATAAATGATTTGATATTGAGGTATATCACCTCCAAGCACACAACATCAATTACCAGTATAAACATATTAATTTATTACATTTAGAAACTACATTTTAAAAATTCCTTCACCAGATGTGTTCAGTACCTCACTTGTGTGGTCCTTTTGTTTAAAAGTGTCAGTTAGACAAATGAAACTGACGGGGAAAGGAGGAGCACAGTGGTTGGAAACATAGCAATGCCACTCAAGGCCCATAACAGCTGCACAGCGCCTCTGCTGAAACTCTGTTATGTCAATACTGTTTTTTTGCTGAGTTTTTATTAGATTCAAGATAGTTTCTATTTATCAGGGTCACCAAGATCTTACATATGCACATACACACATTTCTGTCTCTTCTTGGAGCACCAGCTGCAGGCTTTTAGGTGTCATGTGCTGTTTAGTTATTGAACTGCACAGAATTATTATACGTGTCCACCCACTCTGTATATTTTCAGCCATCTTGGACTGAGGCCTTAGGCCGTATTAGCTATCCATATTTACACCACTATGTTTGTATAATCTGGACACTGCATCCCCAAAGTCCCATAAAAGAAACCAATATCTACACAGTGTACTTTGCCTCCCTGAACTCACCACATTAAACCTCTGCATATGAGACCTCATGGTGCTTGAGTCATGTTTCCTGCAACCATACTGGTCAGGACTTTGCAGTGAAACTTTAGTGGATGGTTGTGTTTGTGGCAGTTTTGAAGTAGTTGCAGATGGTCTGAAATATTTAGTTAATTACAGAACTTGGAGAACAAGAACGAGTATTTACCTAGTAGAGTGCTCGTTTACTTAATATTCTTCTATACAAGCAGCTATAAGGGAAGAGGGGAAAAAAAACATTATTCTTATTTATGAGGATTTTTGTAACAATAACACCAAATAACTGTCACACAACTGGATAAAAAAATTAATTTAACTAATTTACACAGTACAATCTAGAACTTACTAAAACATGTGATAATATTACTTTATTTGGATCGCACTTAAGACAAACTACAACAAAAAGCAGGTAGGTTTACATTTAGGTACAGTATAACAAAAAAAATGTTTTTTCAAAAAGACAACAAAGCTGAAATTGTAACATGTCTTGCTGCATATGTCACAGCAGACATTTTAACTTGCTTTAGCAGGAAAAGTACAGGTTTTAATAACATTAATGATGAAAACTGAAGCAACTAAATGCAATTTAACCATCATGAATCTTATCATTTACACCTGTGCTTTTCCTACTATGTCAAAATGTTTTGTAAAAAAGGCCTATTAGTTTAGTCCACATTTAAATTCTAAAAAGGAAAGGACAGCCTATGAAGGACAAACATTGCTATAGTGTTGTGGTTTTATTAAAAGGGAATGCAGTATTGTTCTGCAGTATTCTGTACAATATCCACTGTGACACATGGATAATGATTTACATTTACAGCCTGTACATTTACAGTAGCCTAATGATATGTATATTGTGAATTTTCTGGAACTTTAATTGAGAAAACATTTACAACAACAAGACTACAGCCATACTAGCATCTCTGTGAGGCATACATCTACCAAATTGGCTAAAAGTTGTTGACACATTAAAACCGAAAATGTTAACTTATGGTGGTGCTAAAGGAAAAGACATAGAATCACTGGATTCATGGATTCATCCTCTCGGCACAATTTATATTATATTATATATATAATTTTTTTTTTAAAAAGTATCAAAAGTCTGTAAAGCTAAGAGATCCATCATACTAGTTTGTTGAAGTAAACTGAGTCAAACTGAAAATGTTAACTGTGGATCATTCCTAATCCCATGCCAATACTTTATAATGGTCCACATACTGTACACAGCTTTGACTGTCGGCAAAAGATCCAAAAGTGATTTTGTATTGTAAATGTAAAATAACAAAATAAAAAGACAAAATTTGATAATGCATGTGTTTGTTGTCTGCTGTGACCTGTGTGACTGGTTTCTATTTGTTAATTCTGTATGGGCGACCAAACTTGTTTCCCCTCTTGTTGTTTATAAAGATTGCTGAATCTATATCTATATACTCTATAGAATATATTTCAGAGCCAATTAGTAATGTTTTCTAACTATAAAATAGCCTAAAATACTCTTTGTTTTCTTGGTCTGTGTCTTGTCATAGACTCTAACCACGGAAGCAGACGGAGGGTATGAGCCCACCCTGTTGATGCTGGTTTCTGGTGGTTTTCTGGCACAATATAATCACATGATTACCTGAAGGTGTCAGATCCCACCACTAGAGGGCAAGCTCTACCAACAGATTCCCCTCAGCAGAAAGGAGCATCACTTCCTGCTTTTCTAGGTATGGGAGGTATGTGAATCAGATTTCCATCAAGTATCACAAGTGAGACAAGTAATGTCATGACGTTTCAGAATTCCACACTGAAATGTAAGTTGATTGCCATGTATATCTTTTCATCATCTGTCTGAGCTGTGTATATTTGACATGAACTGACCCATCCTCAGGTTTAACTTTAAGTGTATCCACAAATTGTTATGCAGCAATCATGCATATACACACAGAGATAGTCATTCACACACATACACACGCACACACGCACACACACACACACACACACACACACACACACACACACACACACACACACACACACAACACACCCACACAGAGTCCCCCCCTCTCCAGTGGTCCATAAACCTCCCTGACACCCCATTCTCTCTCCGTCCGTCTGGGCAGGCTGCCAGCTCAACCCTCCCTCCCTTTCTCTTTCTCTCTCTCTCTCTCTCTCTCTCCCTCTCTCCCTCTCTCTTTCTGCCTGGATCTCTCTCTCTCTCTCTTTCTCTTTCTCTTTCTCTCTCTCTCTCTCTCTCTCTCTCTCTCTCTCTCTCTCTCTCTGTATATTCTGTACTTACCAAGCCAAGCCTCACAGTGCTGCATTTACTAAACCAAGTGGCTTAGAAATTTGCAGTGATGTCGCTGTTCCCAGACCTCCCTCTCTGTGGTGGACTCGCTCAGTGAGGCAGTGCAGCACTCAGACAAGCGCTGATGGCAGAGTGGGGCAGGTGGACTGTGAGAGAGGAGAAACCAGCATCACCTGTTTGGGAAATCTAGAACAAGGGAGGACAAAAAAAGAAGGAGGAGCAGAGTCTTCGGAGAGCTGAGGTCTCTCTGTGTCTGCCCATCCCGCCCTACTCTCTCATGTGCACACACACAGACACACACACACAGACACACTCTCCCGTTGCCTCTCCCTTCTTCCCTCCGTTTGTCTGCGATGCTGGTGTGGTGAACAGCAGGACACTCTCGGCTGAGCTGCATGGAGGCACAGGGAGGGGCAGGGAGCCCAGGTAAGAGCCATTTTCTATTCTTTCTTTTCTCTTTGCCTTTTGTCACATTACACAAGCATGGTTGTTGCAGAGTGTCTATGTCTTTTGAATGACTTGTGCTTTGAATAGCAAGTGTCTTTGTTAAAACAGCATGTTCAATGGGTTTATAATTGTATGGACACCTTCTAAATGGTAGGAATGATTCATATTTCTGAACATTTTTCTGATTGTCTAGTAAAGAGTTAGTCTCTGATTGGTTTAAATATAGCACTGCACTGGTACCTCCTATCATTTATCATTTTCCTTACCTAGGATCCAGTTGTGGTGGGTTCAATTCCACATTCAAGCTGTTTAATGTTTAATGTATTGCCGAGCAGTTCAGGTCTTTTTATATCCACACAAAGTCAACCACACAAAAGCTGGACTAATGAAATACAGTACAATAGTGGACGCATATGGCCTTTGTTTAAAGGCCACCCAGATAAGCCTGCACTGTGTGGTAGCATTGTACAGTGCCACTATTGCACTGTAGTATCTAAACATTCAAAGGGCTGATAATATAACTGTGTTTATATACAGTTGAGGTAAAGTATTTTAGGAGATCCAAGTCTTAATTGAATACACATGTAGGTGCGCTTATAACATTAGCTTTGATTTTAAAAATATTTTAAAATATATGCATCTCAAGTGAAGCAAAACAGCAGAAAAGTAGTTTATTTGTCAGTATATTACATCAGCTGCCTCTGAACTACAGTGTGCATTCAAGCAGTGTGCTTTATTACTCTATTGTACCTTGGGCTAAAACAATATCTCTGCAGCCATTTTCAGTTGCCATTTCAGCAGGTACTCAGAGTAATAGTATTTTCTTGACAAGAGATGTTTGTTTTTTTTACATACAGTATCTACTGCATGTTCATGCTGACGGCAGGAATTAAATGCCCATGACAAATTATGGTATTATTTGTTCATTATGATGAGACTGAATTAGAGGGAACATCATTATTATGATGTTTCACAGGGCAGGACCAATAGCCTCTCTGAATTAAGAAATTAGCAGGTGATTATACATTACCAGCCCTGCTTGTGAGGATTAGAATTAATATTGGTAGAGAGTGCACTAAAACACTATAAAGTAATTGCTCATTGCAGAGTGTATTGTAAAATCAAAAAGCATTACTATGAAGTTCAGAAGATATAGAGTCTCAGCAAGCAAAATGACCTGGCGAAAAAGGTGTTTGGGTGTTAACTCCTCCTGCCTGTGTTACAAACAACAATTGATTTATTGAACCAAGACACTGGGTTTGATTCAACTTTTGGCAAACGTACAGTATATCATTCTCCTCCTCCCTCTCTCGTTCTCTCTCCATCTGTCTGCCTGTCTGCCTCGGGTTAGCTGATTCACAGACAGTCACGGTTGGCAGCTCGAGATAGGGTCAGCCACAGCCTGAAAAGACCATATTTCTGATGGCTGACTGCCTTTTACCAGCAGTAACTTATATTCTTGTTATTTACTCTGGTTTCTTCACAGCCGGTCTGGCAGGTGGTGGCTAGATCAGGCCATCTGTGTAAACATGTCCTCTTTTACACACGGATAAAACTGTGACTTTCTTGAGAGCTCCTGTTTTTCTGTCACCGATTAACATCCTGACTGAGAGCCGGATCATCTTCTACCAAAATCCACAACATTGGGGCACAAAACATGAGAATACCGTATAGTTAGGACAGCAAGTGTAGCTACACAGGTGGTCCTGAGATATTAATCCTGGATTTCTGTCTTGGACAGAACGTGTATCTCTGGTCTAAAACAACAGTGACAGAAGATGGTTTTAGGGTTTTGGATAAGATTGGAACTTGAATAAACTGGCTCAAAGCAAAGGTCAGTAGTGTTTGCTGAAGAAGGTGATGGTAAAGGAAACCAAAGCTGCTGGTAGTTACTCTAAACATTGAACAAACATTTCATTATAACAGCAGAGGTAAGACTATAGTCTTCTACAGTTTGTGTGGCTCCTCGCTGGGGAAAACAATCAATAGCAGAGCAGTGGGCACTTGGCTTCTCGGGGTGAAAACAGAATCCGTCATTTTCTGTCTTAACTCCAACACACTTTTCGATCTGAAATTCAACTGTCTAGGAACATACTGCATCAGCCATCTGGGCAGGCCCATCAGGAAGCTGCTGTACTCCCACAGACTTTCCATCCATTCTGCACGTTATCATATAAAAAGCCATACTGCTGTCATTTTTGCTAAATGTTGCTCCATATACGCAGATGAGTCTTTCTTCTGTTTAATTTCCCTTTAAATGTCAATTGTTTTGATATAGTAAAATGTACTTTGTTGATAAATCTGCTATATGATTTTTTCCAGCATGCTTGATTTGTAGTGAGAGGTTAACTTTCAACCTCCTGCAGTTCGGAAATTGAAGTTACAATTATGGTTTTCTGTATTCTTTCAGTTAGTTAAGTGCATAGCACTTCTGTAGTCGTGTCCTCACCTCACTCAGCCTCATCACACGCTCCACTGTGTTTTCAGCTGTGTTGAACAGGTGAACAGAGTTTGTGCATGCTCTTGCATTTGAAGGTATGCTATTTTAAGTACCCTCTATTTTCAGACTTTGTTAATAGCCCGTATGAACTTGTTTTTCTATTTTGAATGGATGTCTGAGAGGCTAACAATGATGTGACTGTTGAATTTAGATGTCTGCCCACAGCCAAGTTAACCATTCTCCTTTCAAAGAATCGCATGTTTACTAAACTTTAACACTGTCTACACATATGCACACATAGATGTAAAGAGAAATTGATACAGGATTGATAAAAGGCACTTTCAGATCTTTAAATTAAGATATTTGATAATTGAGTTGGAAAAAACAATGGAGCGAACATTGACTTCTTTAAGTACTTGGGATCTCTTAAGTGATCTCTTCCCCTCTACAACTCCAAGATGTGTCTTTGACAGCAAATTTTTGATGCAGTGGGTGCAATCTGAGATCTCCAGTAAGTAAAGTATAAAAAATCTAAAAATCCCCCTTATTTTTTATTTTTTTTCTTTGCTCCCTCTCCCTCTCTGTTTCTATGTCTGTGTGTGCCAATAGAGCCCAATAAAGACATCCAGAAGCTGCTGAAGCCCTCCAGCTCATGTGACCTCTCCAAGGAGTTGTTCCAGCACCCAGCAGGGGGGGAGGAGGAGGAGGGTGGCCTGTCTGGGCACACTGCTAGCCTGCTGCACATCACTGAGAAGAGACGTGAGTACCTGCGGAAAGGGGTGAAGAGAGGGTGATATTAAGAATATAAAACAGTGATGAATATTTATTGCTGGTTAAGAGGTCTTACGGGGTAATTATGGGTGGAAAATGCCTCAAGTGAGATACCTGATCAATGGCAAGTGTCTCCAACAGAGATGGAGATTAGGAATGTTAAATGAGTAAGAGAGAGGATATCCTGCTTCTGTTAAAGAGTGTCTTATCATTGACAGTCACCGCTAGATCCATCTAAAGTAAAATATAGTAACACATAATGAATCTCAAAGGCCTGTGGAGCACTAATGCATTAGTTACACACACAACATTTCTCACATCAACAATTCTGGACTATCTACATCCTTATCCAGGAGAGTCTAGGTTGATCCCCTCTGATCTTGAATGATCACTGCCTATTTTAGGTATTCTGGTCCCACATTCTCAAAGACCACTGCAGCTTAGCCTTGGTTGAAAGGATTCATTGTGCATCAGTCCCATACAGAGGCTTCCCCTGTATGTGCCTCATTCAGAGCCCAGGGCACAGAACCACAAAGGGCTACTGGGGCTACATGAGTGACAAGGCAACCTTTATCTGCTTCACTAAGTCAACACTTTTTCAGAGAGACCGCTCATCCAGAGGCTAATGTTTATGTCTCTGTGATTTACTGTGACTCACCAGCTAGCCGTGTCACCTGGCAGGTCAGCTAAAAGTATCTGGCTATACTGTAAAGGAAAGGGAAAGAAAGGAAAGATCGCTGCTGCTTCAAATATTCACACAAAATGCTCTTCAGATCACAGAAAACATCTCATTACGGTACATTCATTCTGCCAGTTCCACCTACTGGGTACTGCCAATGTGCCCTTGAGCAAGGCACCTAACCCTTAACTGCTCCTGGTCGTCGCTATGTGGCAGCCCATCACTCCCATCTTCTTGTTCATGTTCTTCTTCTTCTTCTTCTTCTTCTTCTTCTTTTTCCCAGAAAAAAGCAAGTTGTTTTGTGGCAACTAAATGTAAAACAAAAACATGTAGTGCAGGTAGATCCACAATTACATACAAACCCATATAAAACTGCAATGCGGATATTAAGTTCCCTGCTGTTATTGTTGGGTGGTGTGCATTAATTAAAAATTTACGGTGACTGCTGTTCAGTAGTCTGAGAGCAAAAAAAAAGTGTTTATCTGTTATTGTTGATCTCTAATAGTAGAGACCAGGAGTCAAAGGGAAGAACAGATGAATGTAGGATTCAAAACATTGAGCACAGCCTAAGTTAAATAATGTCACACAGCTCTTTTCCAGTCAATTATGCCTTTTTCATCAAAGATTATAATTTGGCAAAGCTAATTTGGCTTCATCAGGGTGGTAAATAAAGCATGATGTACCAGAGAAGAGCTGTGTGACATGTTTTAATTTTGATGGACTTGCATTGAAGCACACGCTGGTCTTCTCTTCGCTGTGTGTGCAGTCTCAAAGTTAGAAATGACAGCTCATTTACCTGTCAGCTGTTGATTATCAAACATTGCAACACAAAATAACTGGACCCTGTAACTGTCAAATGGACGAGTGCTTGTATGCTCAGTCACTGTAAGGAAAAAAAAACAGAATATATTGTTAGGAGAAAATACTTTTTCAATTACTATTCAGTACTATTTCAATACCGTAGCCTTTTCTCAATAGTCCTCACTCCATCAGAGCCCAGACATCATTACAAGCTACTCAGGCTGGACTGATGACTGTAGAGCCCCGATGAGCCAATAGAGAGAGAAGGGGATTACACAGATCCAGCATGCAGGCGCATCCCCTCGGCTCCCTCTTCCCTTCTCCCAAATATGAACTCCTCCCTCTCACCCATCCTCCCTATTCTTTGTTCCTTCAGTTCAAGCTTATCTTTACCTTTCTACGTGCAGAGAGAAGAAAGGGGAAAATAACATTTATACGGAACCTCAAATTGAAAGCATGCAAACAATAATTTTTCTTAGTGTGATATTTTGGTTTTTAAAAAATCATATTACTTTTCAGTGAATTGAGGGAACCTTTATTTTACACACATTAGCTACAGAGTCATGAAAATAAAGTGTGAGATTAAGGGGTTGCTGGAAAAATAAAAAATACATCAAAAAGAAGTAGAAATGGATCTGAACGCACACATTTGACTTTTTATGGGCCATCAGGCTGTATGCTTGCTGTAAGAAGTGTTTTTTTTTTACATCATCCATTTGCGTAAGACAGAGTCCTCAGTGTTGGCGTTTTTTTTGTCTCAGCGTGAATTCTCTATTGTCAGTCCTCCCCACTGCCGCCTCAGAGCTCCCCTGATTGGCTTTTGAGATGGAGGCAGTTGTGTCAGTGTGTCTGCCTCGGAGAGAAAACGTACTGATCAATTATTCAAAGAGAAAGGGTGTGGGAGAGGGAAAAAGAGATGGGGGAGAGGTGGTTTAAAAAAACAAGCACAGCAGAATGGGAATAACCTTGTAACCAATTGAAAGTAATGGCAAATAATGCAGGGAGTGTTTTGTTTTACATAATGCCTTCATTCCTCTTTATCTACTTCCTCTCTCTTACCATCTCCTTTTCCTGTTTTACGTCTAGCTTTTTACCTTCATCTCTCTCTCTTCTCCCATCATCCTGACTCTCCCTCTGTTCTCCTCATTTCCTCCTCCGCAATTTCAAACCTCGCTGTTTCACTGCCTCCAGTTTCTTCGCTCTTCCTGAAAAGGGGGACAAAAAGACGGATAGCTCTAAGCAGGCATCTTCCAGCCTGAGGGAAAAGTTAAATCTATTCACAAACACAGTCAAGAAGCAACCTGAAGTGTTGAGGAATATTAAATTAAAAAGAAAGAGTAGTTCCGTATGGTTCTTCTCAGCCAATTATTGCATATTATGGTGTTTCTCCACTGAATATAACCAACCACTATCAGACCGCAGACAAAGAAAAAATGCTTGGTTGTGAAATCGTCTGACTGTTGACTGCTGACTGCTTCCATTGCTGCTGCTTTAATTATTTGCGGTGCAGTGGTTAATGGTGTGATAATTGAAACTGCTCAGCATAACCCTTTAATAAAGTGACATGTAGCTCTAGAGCGTTCAAATGGATAAAATATTCTTTTACATTACATCATTATTGATTTGCTTTTAATATGTCCTCAGATGTCAAACATCAAAGTGTGATGTTTAATGTGAGATTCAATGATGTAATGGTATTTTCAATTCAAATTCATTCCTCTTTTTCTTGCATCTTTCTCTTCTCTTAGTCTTCCCTTATCTTTATTGTCATTCTCTGTCTCCGTTGCTCTCTTTTTGTAGACATTAAAATTGCTAATATTGTTTCCTGTGGAGCATTTTTATGCTGGCCACATGGTCACGGGCTTTGTTAATATTCATGCATGTCATATCAACCTGGGCCATGTCAGCATGTGACCCAGTCCTGGTTATGAACGCGACAGTAAAACTGGACCGAATTTGAGGAGAGCAGAAGGTTTGGGGTGAAATAGATGACAAGTGATGCAGGTCTTTGATTGTCTTTAATTAAAGATGTCTCAGTTGTCTTATTTCTATTCTCCCATAGTCACTGCTTTTTTATTCCACGTGTCTCCTGGCATTTCTGGTGTTGAGCGTCTTTAATGTATTTGAAAGATTGCACAAGGACCAGCCACTGTTTTAGCATGATGATCAGTCTTCTTTAAATCAATATGTGTTCTATCAGGAGGACGATGCAGGGAATTAAATGTAGCAGCAGACAAAGAGCAGCAGGAGAGTGGGTTCTGCTTCTTAAGCCTGAAGCATTGTTTTCAACAGCCTGTAAAACAGCAGGAAAACACTATGGGTTAATAACAGCGTTCAACCTGTCACGTAACCCATCGTTTTCTCCACAAAGTCCCAGCCACATACAACCAGTGAAGTGTTTCATTCAGACGTTGCATGGCAGACAGGCATCCACTGATTCATAAGGCAATACAAACACACCTCCATCTGCCTGAGTGCAGTCCCCAAACATCTTTCTCACTATAATGGTAGATTAGTTCAGCTTTGTTACACAGAACTGGGTCATAGCTCTGGGTGATGCTGACAACAAGCTGATGACAAGCAGATGTTCTTGGACCTTTGGTCAACGTTATGTATGTATTACAGAGTCTTTGAATAAATTTTACTTTATCTATATTCAAAATTCAAAAGGGCAGCCTGATTGGAATGCTGAGCCTGGCACATCGTTGCACACCACATGTGAATGTGACCCTGTCGTGTGCAGCAGTAGTGACTCCTGCCTGCCGAGGAATCAGAGGCTCATGCAGAAATTAACAGGTGCAACACACCCAGGAGAAAGATGGAGAATGTGTTAAAGAAGTGGCTATTTTCATATCCGCTGACCTTATCTCTTGTTTCAATTCTTCAGTCACTCTTTGTGTTAACACACAGCTGTCACGCTGACACAGAGACAGTCACTGACTACAGTGGCGAGCACAGAAGCAGATTAAAGAAAACTACTGTGTCTGAAATATTTCTGAAGTAGAGAGCCTTTAACTTTACAAGAGATATACAGATATATATCAAAAGTGGATTAAATAGTAAAAATGTTCTTTGTTGAAATCGATTTTACAATAGTACTGCAAGAGCCAGCTATTGATCTGATTATGAGAACAATAGAGATTCAAGAGGGGCATTACTGTACATGATGGGCTGTGGAGTTCTGTGTTACGAATATTTGCAGGTCCATTTCCCCAACTTCTCTTTAAAGAACCACTTTTCTTCTGCACTGTCAGCAAAAATGAGTGTATCACTTTAATCTCCCTGTTCTTTCTCTGCCTTGTAGAACCCCTGAGTAGTGTGTCTTCCTTGGAGGTGCACTTTGACCTCCTGGATCTGACTGAGCTGACTGATATGTCTGACCAGGAACTGGCTGAGGTTTTTGCTGACTCTGATGAGGAGAACCACAACGAGTCCCCAGCAGGTAATGTCACTTGAAATTTAAATGCATATGTTTTTACATTAAAATAAAGGGAAGGGGAACATCTTTCATTGTAAAAACAATACATAGATTAACTCAAGGTTTGTGCAGAAAATAGATTATCCTCACAGCACATCCTCACTGAATTTGGACCAAGACTGCAAGTTCAAGCTATAAGTCACAAAGATGTAAACAATGTGTATACTGGTACGCGTAGACCACATGCACTAAACATTTTAAGTGTGTTGTTGAGGTGTGCAGACAGAGCTGCTGACCTATGCCCTATGTACAGATGTTAATTGCAAGTGTTAACACAAATTATTAGAAAGAACTTTCTGTACTTGCAAGATATTTTCTTTGCACCCTTTGCTCTGTAGCTTCATTAAAGCTTAGTTGGGTCACTGTGTTAGACATACAGTACAGTTTGATTGTTGAGGGAAGCATTTCCCAAATGAATTTTCCTCCCTGCAGTCCTTTACCTCAGAAAATTCATATCTTGTAGAGTTGAGAGTTTTGTATCATTACGGCCCAGCAGGGTCCTAAAAAGGCCTGCTGAGCCATAATGATTTGAAATGTCATGTGACTCCTTCAGGGACTCATCAAAAACATATTTCACAGTGTCATGGATAAACTGCCCTTACGCTAAGCTTTTCATATAGTTTCGCACTGTTTGATTCTTACGAGAAACAATATAAATCAGATTCTATGAAGTAATAACACTAAGAATCACAATTAGATTCTGTACTTCTAGAAAGCAGGAATGGAAACAATGTTGTTTTGAGCTGGGACTACATCACACCTGTCATATATGAGCCATATTAATCAAATTCAGTAGATGGGCCTCATGCACATATGCATATTAAAGAGGAGAGAGAGTTCACCCTGCACGTGTGTCACAGCAGCAGGTACAGGATAAAGACTAGCACATCTTTCTCCCGCTTTGCAAAAGGAAGCACAAAATCTTTCCCATGTTTTATTTATGACCCGTGAGCCTCAGCCTGCATGCGGACAGTGAACTCTCTCTTCCTCCGACACGCCTGCCTCTCAGCATGCACACAAGATTTCATGCCAGCTCAAGATTCAAAGGGCCACTGACACAGTTTAGACAATGTCTTACTTCTTAAGTATTGTATATTCTGTACATGTATTGTGCTAGTCAAGAAGTTCAATACATCACATTTGATGTGTGTAAAAATGTCAGACTTTCAATTGTGATACTGTCCTCAAGTATGGGTGTAGCCAGTTCGTTTGGATCAAAACAGATATTCATCATTCTGGTGACATGGTCTTGATGGTCACATGGAGAGAACCAAATGGTGGAGGTGGAGCACATGTGCCTGCAGAGATCTTAACTCTGGATTGTTTGATTCCGCTGTTTGAATCCACTGGAACACAAAACAGATGGACAACATAGATTCAGACATACTTCTCACTCTAGTTGAGTCATCTTACAACTTTATAAATCAGGGTTTCCCTCATATTTTCTCTGAATGTTGCTATCACTCTTAGTTTCTCATAGATTTCTTGTTATAGCATCTCCTCCCTCTTTAACAACATTGTTCTCTCGCTTCCTTCTCTTTGCTGTTTATAACTAATCTTCCATATCATGGCACAGCTTGTTAAGTTTGAGTTATGGTCCCCAGTGGGCCATCTGTGCTATATGCTGCTGTATGCAGCGCCACAGTCAATTATTTAAATTAAGGATGTTATATAGCGCTTAGTGCAGAGGCGCATCTTATGTGCTAGAAAGAGCAATTTTATTTGTTTCTTAGTAAAACCTTGTGCATCATTGAGTGTAGAGTCCTCTGTGCTCAAGTAAAATGTTTTACTAAAACTGTATTCCAGTTTATTATATATATATATTGTGATTTAATTACAGCTCAACCATTTTATTCCTTGTTGCTGTTAGTGTTACAACAACTGTAGTGTAAGATGAGGGGTGTTTTCCAAGATTATGGAGTTAATATACTCAACTACAAAAGATCAAAGCAACAGATTTTCTTAAACCTGCAATAAACAAACAACCCCTTTCACATTGTTTTCACATTGACATTTGATACATTGCTATTAAAATATAGATTCTAAATTATTTTAAATGCATGTAAAACAAAATAAAGTGTGACTCTGCAGCACTGAAGTTTGTTAACTTGAGATTTTAATGTCTTAAATGAAACCCTTGCAGGTGGTTGTCTAGGGTACACAGTGTCTTAAAGGAACATAGCCATTTTTATGTGTCTTAAAAAGTAACATCCAGGGTTTCATAACATAATTTCATTTATGAATTGATGACTTTATAAACAATGGGATGACACAATTAATCCAACAGTAATTTAAATTTGATGCATGATTAAATATCACTAGTATTTGATTGACTTCAGTTTAGTTTGATTAATGAGAATATTTCACAGCTTCACAAATGCAAATTTGTAACTAATTGAATGCACTTATCTCATCTTTGGAGCCAAACTTAAGCCTCGAACAACAAGAAGTCTGTTCTTTATACTAATGTATGACATATATATGAACCTCCCTTTAACACATGTTCCCACAGCCAAGTAGACTAAACAGTTTTAGCTTGTCCACCCTTTTCAGCTTTCCTCTCCAAACACCACCATACCAAGCTTCTTCAGCCTCTTGTTAGCCACAGGCCACAGCTGCTTGTCAGTAGCCAGGTGCAGGAGATGCAACAGCCAAGAGGCCTCTAGTCCAAGACATCACATCCGCTGCTCTGCTTTCAGCTATACAAGATGAAGTCCTGCTGTCAGGAGATGTACAGCTGTATACCTGTTATGATGTAAAATGTTTTGATTTACACAGCCTCAGATTTGTGAGGAAAAACAAAATCCCAACTGTAATTCAATATTTGCATACTCAGATGATTGTTCTGTTTTCACTGTTAATTAATGCAGGCGACAACCTCACAATTAGCACTGTGTGTCATTCACCCTTGTATTTTTATCTGCATCAGTCATGAATAAAAATAAATCGGCCATCTGAAAATGCAGAAAACATCTCTCCCTTGTTGAAAGTCTTTAAGCTTTCAACACAAGATGTATCATTTTGTGCAGTGCTTTTCTTTAACTTGCTTCCAAAAATGTCTTGCTTCCTCTACCTGTGAGCTGTTTTTGTCTCAGACACAGTCCTACTTTCCTTAACCTCCCGTCTCTTACCTTGTCTTCATCCTTCATTCCCAATCTCTCTCACATGTCTGCCACAGATTTGGCTTGTACAGAGGAGGGATCACCATCCCTGATAGATGCAGCTACTAAGACTGCTCTAGATTATTTTGAGAGTCTGCAGGCAAATGATCATGACATAATCATTTGTAAATATATATATATATATTTACAATTTAATCGTTTTATATATATATATATATATAAAACAAAAAATCTGATATATCGTGCAGGATTTACAAGAGGATGCTAATGCCTGATTTGCTCATTTGTTTTCCACCATACAGAGTAGTTGCCCTGCCACATCTGACCATTTTGTCGCTTGAAAAATCACTCAATCACTGTCATTTTTATTCATTATGCAACAGTATATTAAATAATATAAGAGAGCAATTCTGTATTTGACACATGAACAAAGATATTCTATTGTCGCATACATATGTTGTGCTGCAGACAATGGTGAAGGTTTTGTGTGTGTGGGAAAGGATTAATCCAAACAGTGACTTACTGCACGAATCTGCAGCTGGACCAGCTGTCCTGTTTCGTCTGGATTCCCTAAAACCTCCCTCATTACTCAGCCATGTAATTTCATGCAAGACAGTTTTTGATAAGTCTTGAACAACCCTGCTAAAACTGTAATAGTAAGATATGGCAAACAGAATTGTGACAAAGGCAGTATAATGGAATGCAATTAGGTTTATTCCATACTACCAATGGTAGTATTCATCCATAAAGTCATCAGTGAGAACAGGGTGGGGGAGAAACAAAGAAGGATTGTAATTGGATTAGTTTGTGTCAAAGTTTGCATTGCAAATCTGGTGGTATTGAGCTGTGCTGTGTGGGCATTAGACTCTATGGGAATCTGCTGAGTGTGTGGTGGGCATGTAGGAGTTGAGGGAGAGGTTAAAGGAGAGGAGAAGAGATGAGAGGAGAGGGTGAAGATGGGTGAGTGGGTTCATGCTAAATGTAGGCTCCTGAATAATTCACTGTTTTCTGCTGGAAACAAGCAGACCTTGAAAGCCATTTAAACAGTTATCATAATCTGAGTAACTACACTAGCGCATTATTTATAGATGCTCATGTGTTGTTTGTTTTGTTTACACTGCTGTCTTTCTTTTTCCAATTTTCCAATTATCCATTCCCATGTTCCTCTCTTTCACTTTGAGCTACATGGAAGTTCATTCAAAACTAGTGATCAGTTGTACTTCATAGCTAGAATCCAGAGAGCCAGGAACATGCAGTAATTACTGTTTCATCTAACGTCTCTTTCTAGGGCAGCCCCAGAGGCACAGAAACAGAAAAGGTTGACTTTGTCCAGTAGGTTTACTTTTTGTTTTTCTCTCAAATGAGCTTGATGAACCATAAAGTTTACCTACATCTATGGAAAACTACCACAGGCATAGCTTTGGCCTCCTGTTCTTTGTCATTTGCAGACTATAACCTATTGTGTTTCTGTCTGGTTGATTTTTATTTATTTTTTTACAGTCATGTCATATGAGTTGTGTTTTAGAGCTGGTATTTGATTTAAGGATTTGGCCGGGTACTTCTTCGGTAGACTTGTAAAGGGGTGAAGTGATGCAGAAAATAGGGAACAGAAACAGAAATTCCTCGATCAATCATAGTTTGTTTACTACACAGCACATCGTGTATCATTCTCAAATACATCTCTGACAGTCTATGAAGGGTGCAGTAGAGGACAAAAAGATCTCACTGGAAACACAACTCTATAATGGACACAAGCAAAAATATATCAGTAATTAAGATGCAGCCTGTTGAATTGTTTTTTCCAAAAGTTAGTATTTTTCTTTACAATCTGCAATCAGATATAAAACACCTGCAGTGATGTCACTGCTTGCAGAAGTGAAGCATGTTGTAAAGTTTCAGCCCATAGAGAAGCAGTGCAGCAGCAGCTTTTTGTCTTGTGTCATTCAGTGGCGATTTATCCTTTAGAAGCATGAGAGCACATTTTATAGACCCTCTGTAGAAGCTCCTTTGAATGTAAAAGGTCAGACTCCAGTTCAACTCACTGCCTTTGGGGTCACTCCTGGCTTTTAAAGGCAATAAAGATTATTATCTTTTTATCAGCAAAATACTTTCCCAGGTCACACACACTGATTGGGCAGTGCAGGGATTAGTTGTTGGGTGTCATGGGATGGGCATTGTCACAAGTTGTGCACATGTGTTCATGTACAAACACATACATACACAAATTTGGTGAGCTGCAGAAGTTGTTTTCCCTGTGCGTTCACAGGTTTTCCGTTGGAGAGAGAAAGTGCAGCAACATGCTGACTGAAGAATGGCTGCAAGCCAGCAGCACAGAAGGAATACAGTACATTGTCCCATAGCTCAGGCTGCTCTATGAGTGTGACATTAAGAGAGCAAGAGTGAGAAAAAGTGGAACAGCTATGTATGTTGTAGGGAGGTATGTGATCATTTTACCTCTCAGCTGTCCAAACATTCCTCTCTGTGTGTTCTTCAGTTGTTTTCCTTTCTGTCTTTTAATTAGAGAGGACAAAAACAGGAACAACAACAACAGAAATCTGAATAATACACACAAGGACTGGGAAAATGACACGCCTCACACACCCTCACACATTAAACAGTGTGTGCACATGGCAGACACATACTTATATAACTGCCTAAACACAACAGGCAGTCATCAGCAGGTGTTCATGAGGCTTCCTGCAGCACACTCCTTCATCCTGCTGAGGAGGTTGTTGTCCTTCTCATTAAAATCCAGTGGAGACGCCATCAATCTTCTGAGATCAATATGTCTTTTCCGCCTCCCCCTGTTTCTCTCTCTCTGTCTCTCAGTCTCTAATGTGTGTGAGGGTATGGATGTGGCTTTAGGGAGATATATAAACCAGGTTCTGAGTATGACCTTCACTTAAGGGACCTAACATTAGACTGATATGGGCAGTGTGAGTGTCATTTACTGTGCTGCTTTTGTTGTCCTTATGGTAGGCTGGATATCTCCACCAAGTGGTGTAAAGTGGAATTGGAAAACAATCTTTGCATGCCTAATATAAAAATATTTAAAAAGTTGGTATAAAATGGCCAGGCTATTGTGAGTTGCAGATTATTTATGGTATTTATATATTTACTAGTTTATACAAAAAGAAAGCAGCTAAAAATGGCAGATAACAGTCTCTTACCCTATCTTGTCTATTTTTTACATTCTATAAGAATACCTAAAAATGTAATCTGTGTGCTTCCAGTAATCTTGAATGACCAACAATCTGTGACCTGTCTAGAAATGGCTGGTATGTATCTGAGTGTGCAGCCATACCAAAGTATTTTAATGGCTGTAACTGTATCTTGTAAGGCCTCTGTTGCATTTCAACAGAACAGCTCAAGAAAAATGCTTAAAGCAGGTGTAGAAGTATGTATAGATGTCAGTAAACAATAAGACAATTGTATTTTCAAGCTTAAGTTGGGCAAAACATGACAGGTGTGTAGAGCGATTTCCTTGTGTCATGTTTCCCATATACATCTGTATTTATTAATAATAATGATAATAATGATAATAATGATAATAATAATAATAATAATACATTTTATTTGTAAAGCACTTTTCTAGATACTCAAAGACACTTTACATAAAAACATAAAAACAGCAAAACAACATCAAATAGTAAAACACTAAAAACACATCAGTCTGAGCTAAACATTAAATGTGTTGTTTCAAGTTACGTCTGAAACTTTTCCCACATGTTTTACATGAATATGGCTTCTCACCTGTGTGGGTTCTCTGGTGTAAAATCAATTCTGACTTGTACTTAAAATATTTCCCACAGGTGTCACATTGTATAAGCCTTTTACCTGTGCTAGTATTACGTTGAAAGTTACGGTTGGATACTTTGTTATTGTGACTTTTGCTTTTCTGATGTATTTTCTGTTTTTTTCTCTACATTTCCAGTTGATCCTGAGTCCTCATGCATGCCCTCTTTCTGATCTCGGCTCTCAGCTACATGAGGGTTGTTATAGAGGAGCTGGTGGTCACTCTCTGGTTCTGGTTCTGGTTCAATGTGGTCACTTCCCTCATTAGGAGGAATCAACATAAAGGTTTAAGTCTCCAGCTACAGTTCAAGCTGCTCTTCCTCCTGACTGCTGCAGAGTTCCTCTTGTTCCTCTTTAATCTGTGGAGGATCTGGGTCCTCTTGGTCCCCTTTAATCTGTGGACGATCTGGGTCCTCTTGATCCACACTGGAGTTCTTCCTGCCAACTGGATTCCTGTTGGTAACAAGTCATTTTGTGTTTGATTCTCAGGTTCCCACCAGCCTGTGCTGCCCAGAGGTGGGTACATGCGCTCTCCCTCGTGGACACGCTGCAGCAAAGTTGAGCCCCCACGAGAGAGAAAGCACCACAGTGACTCGGACACCCCGGAGCCTTTAATGAAGCTGGAGAGACCGAAGTAGCCATGATGTCTGATGTGAAACAGCCAGACCGCAGAGAGAGAGAAAACCCAGAGGCAGACAGACAGAGCCAGAGCGGGAACACAACGAGGACCAAGAGGCCCCCCCATCTGCCACTGTGCACTCACATACGGTTTCATGGTGCTGAACAGACGAGTTCAGGTTGAACTCTGGACAACATGCTCTGTGCTCTAACTAAAGATTTGGAGATGTGCAATACACACACTCTCCTTCTCTTTCCCTCTCCTCTCTCTCTCTCTCTCTCTCTCTCTCTCTCTCTCACACACACACACAAACGCACACAATCATTGTGTTTTTCCTGCAAGAGGTTCTTTTATGCACTCTGGACTGCCAGATGATTTTAGGCTTTGTTTTTGAATGACAGACAGGGTATGAGGTCATCAGAATAATAACAGCACCTCCATCCTTACAGCCTCTCAGGGCGGGGAACATCCTGGACAGCGAGATTCGTTCCTAAATTGTGTCCACAGCGTGTGGCCAGACCTTCCGTGTGAAGTCCAGACACTGGGATTCACATTGAATTACAAGGATGTTATTTGAAACATAATTCTGTTCATAGAGCTGTTCAAAATAAAATATATTACGCTGAGGCTTAATGTGTTGGCTTGAAAATGTGACAGGGTTTTTTTTTTCTGTTGCCTGCAATTAAGGCAACTTAATCAGTGAAAGTGGACGAAAGTAAGGCCACACTCTTTATATCCATCACACCTTCTCCATCTTAATGAAGAATGTGTGTTGTTATTATAATTGCCTGAAAATGAAAATTTTTGCACTTCTCTCACTGAACTGTATTTACCCCCCTCCCCCCGAATTATTGGCATTTGGTGCAGATGACATGAAAGATAAACAAACCAAGTAGCGAGCTACATGCGAAAAACTTTTCCTTAAGTTAATACTTTTGTTAAAGATTTGTTTCAATAAATGTTTTACAATTATCTTTTTTTTTTAATGATGGCTGCCAGAATCGCTGCTGCTAAGGTAATTCGAGTTGGTTCTTTAAAATTGGTTGTCAGATTCCATTAACAGAGATGCATTAGCCTACTTGATGGGGAATACTTGAAGCAGTTAGCAATGAACGGAGAATTGCACCACAGTCAGGTGGACTTCAATAAGCTTTGCATGAATGCCAAAAATACAACAAAGTGCCAACAATTTTATAATCATCTTTTAAAAGATGAATTTAACTGAAGATGCAATATTTCACATCTTTCTACACAAAGGTTATGGCAGATTACTTGATTTATTTATCTCATGTTTGGCTTGTCTGTACCAGGAGTGCCAATAATTCTGAGTGCTGTGACATCATGGATCAAAAGTGACACTGGGATAATAGAAGAATAAATAAAAGTCTTGAAAAAAGCAGTGTGTTTGTGTCATTTATTAACTCCACTTCAGAAAAACAGCCTAAATCTGTTCGATGTGGCGAGCGAGCAAACGTTTTAAGTGTGATGCTATATATTTACACCATTGTATACAAATCTATGGTCTTCCTTATATTTGGCTGAATAGGGGGGGACAAGCTGATGAAATGACTTTACAGCAGCAGAGTGATAGTGGGTTGAGAATTTATTTTGTGTCCACTGTACCTACTGTTATCACTGAAAACTAGGGCTAAAAAAAGTGTGCATTTCTGAAAGGAAAGCTCAACCTCTGACTAGTATATGAAATGTCCTTCAGATACTTCAGCTACAATTATGGCTTTTTGAATGTGTTATTTGACATGATGGAATAAACAAAAAATGGACACTAACAATTTAATTCTAACATTAAACAAGAAATCTAACAAGAAATTATATGTGCTGGTAAAACCAAGTAAATACAAATACAGACTGCTGGGGTATAAATAAAGGTTTAATAATACCAAAATTGCCTCACACTTTAGATGTCTCATTGGTCTTGACATCTCAATGTAAAATCAATAATCCTCACTGACAAGTATTAAGAAATCATCATCAAACAAAAACAAGAACAGTGCATTTTCAAACAGGCACAAAACACACAATATCTTTATATACAACCTTTTTTGAAAATCTGGATTTCAAAACTGGACAAAAATGTTCCAGTGTCATACTGGTCAGGTTCTTTTGCCATCCAATGGAAAACCTGATTCAAATCTAAAAATGGGCCACACTGCTCACACTGCAAGGCATTATAGTTCAAGTACATTTTTATATCAAACCTGGTCACTCATGTCAGGTGCTACTGGATTAACCATTAAGACACTATTTATTTATGGTGACAGTGTGTTACCTGTCTGTTGGACCCGATCCCAACTAGGCTGCTTAAAGTCGTACCCTTAATTGGCACTTCTTTCCTGGATATGATTAATCTTTCTTTATTATCAGGATATGTACCACAGTCCTTTAAAGTAGCTGTAATTAAACCCCTTCTTAAAAAGCCCACTCTTGACCCAGGGGTTTTAGCCAATTATAGACCGATTTCTAACCTCCCCTTCCTCTCTAAGAGTCTGGAGAAAGTAGTCGCCAAAGAGTTGTGTGACTTTTTACATAACAATAGTTTATTTGAGGATTTTCAGTCAGGATTTAAGTTCACAGAGACAGCTCTGGTTAAAGTTAATAATGACCTTTTGATTTCTTCAGACAATGGACTTGTCTCTGTACTCTCAGTTAACTCCCACATAAAGCAGACCTCTAGGACTGCCTTCTTTCATTTACGTAATATTACAAAAATTAGACACATCCTATCACAGACAGATGCAGAAAAACTAATCCATGCCTCCCTGTAAAATGTAGAATTGAATTTAAAATCCTCCTCCTCACCTATAAAGCTCTTCATGGTCAGGCCCCTTCATATCTTAAAGAGCTCATAGTACCCTATTACCCCACTAGAACCTTACGTTCTCTGAATGCTGAGCTACTTGTGGTTCCTATAGTCTCTAAAAGTAGAACAGGAGCCAGAGCCTTCAGTTACCAAGCTCCTCTCCTGAACCATCCCTTAGTTATGCTGCTATAGGCCTAGACTATCAGGGGATTTCCCATGGTGCACTGAGCTCCTCTCTCTCTCTCTCTCTCTCTCTCTGCACTCATTCATGTCCCATTAATGCATGTTACTAACTTCACTTCTTCCCCAGAGTTCTTGTGCTTTCTCGTCTCGCAGGTTCTTATTGATCCTGGTGGAGCCTCCTCCCATGGTCCTGCTAGACTGCCATTGCCAATACTGTTGTTGCTGTCTGTCTCTGTCTGTCTCTCTCTCTCCCCAACTGGTCGAGACAGACGACCACCCACCTACAGCCGAAGGATCTGTCCTAGGTTTCTGCCTTTTAACAGGCAGTTTTTCCTTGCCCTTGTCACCAAGTGCTTGCTCATGGTGGTACTGTTGGGTCTCTGTAAATAATGTTATAAAGAGTTCGGTCTAGACCTGCTCTATTTGAAAAGTGTCCTGAGTAACTTCTGTTATGAATTGGCGCTATACAAATAAAATTGAATTGAATTGAACTAACCAGCCCTTCTAGGAGAGGTTCGTTCTCAAATACATGAAATGAGAATGCTACATGAATATTTATCTAGCTTAGCTCACAGTTAGGGAAAACATTCAAAAATAACAATTTGTTGTTAATAAATGTTGGAGGAACGTTACGCTGATATGCTGAACCCTCACTCATTTGTGTTATCATCAACTACAGTAAAGCACCAAGTCATTTCATATGATCAACAACAAACAACCAGACCGTGTTGGTATTGTGACCTATTAATTGTTCAGAGGATGTCATTTTAAAAGGCAGCTAATACATACAGACACTTTGAGGTAGTGTGCGTGAAGGCTTACAAATTAGTTTGAGAGCAAACATTTCAGCAGTGTGTGGTATTTGTTAGCTTATATTTGATTCTTACTCAGCTCAGTTGTTCATAAGTAACCATCCACCTAGAGTAATAGATGTCTACATCAATGCCTACTCGTATTACAATGGGACACTGAGGAGGAGAACACAACCTACAGTACGTGTGATCCAGTAACATTTGAATTATTGGTAAGAAAATGTACAAACACTGTTTTCTAACAGATGCCTTTACTGATATATTAATGAGAATTAGGTCAAGGAAGGTTGAAGTCTGCTGGAAGACAGGTGGGGTGATAAAGTATCAATATACACTACTCACAAAAAGTTAGGGATATTCCACTTTCGGGTGAAATTTATAGAAAATGTAAAAAGTTGATGCTACAGTGATATTTTATCATGAAAGTAGGGCATTTAAGTAGAAGGTCAAATTAAGATCACCTGGAAAGGTTATAGTGCATTTTATGTACATTCTGAAATTTCATCCAAAAGCCGAATATCCCTAACTTTTTGTGAGTAGTATATTTAAGCTGACACACTACATCTCTGTAGAATTGTCTGAAGAACAATTAAAAAAAAAAAGTACAGTGAAAGTACCTTTGAATTCTGAGAAACAAGAGAAGAATCTTGGTTTCCTACTCAGGGAAAACACATTTTAAATATTTAGCTATCAACATAATAAAGTGCTGGTTGCTGAGACTGGAAGCATTCTTTTATGGAAATCTCCACCACAGACTAAAAATCAGCATCTTTATGCTGTAATTGAACAAGGCAGTATGAGGGCAATGAGCCTCAGAATACAATTTAATTCATATGATACCATGACAGTACTAGAACAGTGTGTAACTGGCCAGTACACACCTAATTAATGTCAGGTCATCAATTTTAATTTTTTTCATTTGTAACTTGAGCTCAGTTACTTTCCTGACCGAGACAATAGATTATTATGTAGGACTCCATCAGAGTGTGGGTGGAAGTGTAAAAGGCATCTCCAGTGAAATGTAAGTCACACACTGCCCTCTTCACAGAAGCCTTGACTTTAAACAGCCCTAACATTAAAATCACGAGTATTTTTTGGAATTTCTGTTGGAGTATAAAAACTACAATAACAAATTGCAAATTACATAACCACGGCCATTTAAGACCTGTGCAACTAATCACCATTCCTCCTTTCTGTAGCTGTTTATGAGAGTGCTGGCACGCTGCAGGTCTGGTCCAGGTGGTGCTGCACTTGAGAAATCTTTGCCTGAATCCAGTGGAACATTTACCTTGGGGCTGCATGTCCACCTACAGATAAAGGGCCGGTTTCTTTTGCCTATTCTGTGGGTGTTTTTCATCCCCTTTGTTCTTGTTCCAGTCTTTTAGCCCTTCGGGCAGAGAGGTATCCTCCTCAAATTCCCCCAGCCCGTCAACAAAATCATCATAGGATGACTTCTCATGAAAGGGACGAGTTCCCAGCAGCTCCACCATGTCAGCTTTGTCTAGAATCTCCTTTTCTAGAAGACGTTTTGCCACCTGCAACACATGACCAATAATAGTAAACGGCAAGCATTTTACTGATAACGGCTAACTCCATCATCAATTAATATGCAAGTGGTGACTTCAAGAACAGATTTTCTTTCAGACTCAAAACACTTGAACTCATTATCTTGAAAGTGAAAATAGTTCTCACCTTCTCCACCAATTCTTTCTTATCGTTGACAAGCTCAAGTGTTCGCTGGAAGGCAGCATCTATAAGCAAGCGCACCTCCTGGTCTATAAGCTGGGCTGTAGTTTCACTGTAGGGTTTCTCAGTTACTATGTCACCCTGCCCAGGGAGGTCAAAGGACACCTGACCCACCGCCTCGTTCATTCCAAACTGTACAACCTAAAATATGAAGAGACACTGTAAGTCAGATAAACAATGTTGCTTCACTTCAAACCAACTGCTTCTCACTTCTCAAGTGACTTCTAATTGTCAAAGATGTGGTGATTACCTGTGCGTAGGCAGACTGTGTGACTTTCCTGAGGTCATCCTGGGCCCCAGTGGTGATTCGGCGAAAGAAAATCTGCTCAGCCACTCGACCCCCCAACATCATGCACATTCTGTCGAACAGCTGCTCACGGGTAAACAGGTACTGTTCCTTAGGCAGATACTGCGCATATCCCAAACCTTTACCTCTGGGAACAATGGACACCTGAGGGAGAACAGTATAATCTAATTAATCTAATCTAATTTGGTATACTCCTAAATTGACTGTGAAAGAAGATTACACAATGGCTGCAAAAGAATTCATATCAGATGTAGATGGAGAAAAGAGGTTGTCTGACTACCTTAAGTAGGGGGTCTGCATGTTCTAGGAACCAGCCAGCCACAGCGTGTCCGGCCTCATGATACGCCACAGTGGTCTTCTCAGGAAGCTGCAGTACCTGAGTCTTTTTCTCCAGACCTGAGAACAAGGAGGATGTTAATGTCTAACCAAACTGCACTGTGTGTGTTTTGTACTAGCCATAAGTTATTTTAGAATCAACTTAATTTGTCATATACAATCATACACAGTACAATGTATAGTGAAACTATTCCTAAGTACAAGGAGCAGTGGGCAGCCAGCACAGCATCAACTCCTGATCTGATCTTCCATCATGGGCACTGACCGTCAGGGCTGATGTGCCCTTCAAGCATACAATAGATACAGTTGATGGGATGGTGTCTTTGGGTTCGTGCATGAGCCAAAGACTTTACATCTGAGTAATGTGTCAAATCACATTGTAAGTACAGTAGAATCAAATCCTTTCCGGGAAGTCTCAATGAGATATATTATTATTATATTACTGAAATGCATAGAAAGTCTAACCACTTTAATACCATTGCTTTTACTACTAACTAATTTCATTAAGGTATATAACTCGTACCCAGTAGTCATTCTCTGAGTATTGTCATAATATTAAATGCATAAATGTGGCTGTTAACTCACCTCCAATAACTCTCTCCACTGCCTGCTCAAAGTGATTGGTGCTGACATGTTGGTTGAGGTGGCGTGCAGCTATTAGAGCAGCCTCATTACACACATTAGCAATATCAGCCCCTGAAACACACACGGCGATACAACAACCAAGTTACACTGTGGTGTGATAAAGAAACAATACAGCAACAGATACAGAAAAACCAACTGTATCATCCTTTTAGACCAATCCAAAAACGGAGCTGTGCGCACACACGCAAACAGGAATATATATTTCTTGTTCTTACCAGTAAAACCTGGGGTTAGTGCAGCTAGCTTTCTGGCTAAGGCCTCTACTTCTATACTGGAGTCCAGCTTCAGAGGTCTTAAATGCACCTTAAAGATGGATGCCCTGCCTTTAATATCTGGTGGGCCTGTAGAAAGAAAGAAAACAAACATATCATGAATTTTGTGTTTCAGGACTCTTTTTTAGAACAAAATAACGATAAGCAGTGAAACAAATCTAATTAAAATAAGAGTTGCTGTAGATGTAACATCATCACACTTATAAACTGCTACAGGAAACACAAGTGTCACATTTATAAACCTTACAGACATACAGCTCATTTTCAACCAACTCACAGCTATAAACACCAAGGTTGCCTGTGTACTTTGGATTACTTCAAGTCAAACTATCAGCATAAAAGGAAGAGAGGAGGGTCAGCTATAGCTAGAAAGTCACATTAGAAAGATTGGTGCCAACAACTGTAGCATGTGTGCATCAAAGTCAGCAGTATTGAAAGACAAATCCTATGACAGCGATGCGTTTCCATGAAGCTTCCCACACAGCACAGTTCTCTTACATGAGTCTTTGAGCAATTATTACACTTGTGGCTTGGCGTGCAGGTTAAACCACAATAAGAACTAATAACCACACTTTATTTTGTTTAAAATGAGGGGCATAATAATGTAACAAGTTATTTAACTAAATACTGATCAAACATGAATTAGTAATGTGATTGTTCAAGCAACCTTTATCTGACCAATAGTGTTTACATGTAACAACAGAAATGAAAGAGGAAAGGGGACAGAGAAACTCAACAACACAGAGAGGATTGGTGTGTCCCATCCCTCACGTTGGCCTCCAGTTATCTAATCCTTCTTTTATAGAAAGCCCGCTCTCTCATTCTGACCCAGTTTTCTTTGTCAGAGAAAAAAAACTGCCCTGCCCACCATTGTCCAGCACTGCTGGTGTAAAGCAAATTAGATCTTGGCAGCCAGAAAAAGATCAACAATTTTAACCATAAAGATAAAAGCGCACAGTGTGCAACACACGCTTTTAATGATATAAGAAGTGAGCAGGTGCAAAAGAAGAACAGAAGCAAATCTAATATGCTTGAAGATAATTTGTATAGAAATCATACAGTAGGTACAAGATCAGTGTCAGTGAGGTCAAGCATAGCACCTGCATCTGAAGCAGGCAAAAAAACCCTAACAAAGTTAAATCTGGGTCTGCATGCACATTAGAGCCACTGAACTGCATTTGTTGAAGTGTGCCTGGTGTGCCGTCATAGACCACTGACCAGGTCTTGTAATTATTAGATCACTCTTCACTTATGTGGTTTAATGCAGGGACAAGAGAGCAAGTAGGTCACTTATTTAAGGAAACCGACAAATGGCAAACATCAAATGATAAAAGGACACAAACAATTGTATTTTAATAAATGTAGAAATGACAATAGATTTATTGAATGCTGAAAAAAAACTAGACAACTTTTACAACAAGTTACAATGGATGATGTAATAAAATAAATGTCATGAAGTGAAACCAGTTCTCAGGCATCCAGATGACAGCAGGGACAGCTAGAACACAACAGAGGAAGACAAGTGCTTTACCTACCTATGTATATATGTCGATCAAAACGACCAGGCCTCATCAAAGCTGGATCCAGGATATCAGCTCGATTGGTGCCAGCTAAAACAACCACGTTAGTACTACTGTTGAACCCTGTGATAACAAAAACAAATAGCATAGAAAGATCTTGTGAAATATTGCGACAGGAATGGGAGAAAAACACTGAACACAAGAAATGACGTAAATGCATACCATCCATTTCCACAAGCAACTGGTTGAGGGTGTTTTCCTGCTCGCTCTCGTTGCCAAAGTTCCCTCTGCCTCTCTTCCTGCCCACTGCATCGATCTCGTCGATGAAAAGGATGCAGGGGGCATTTTTTCGAGCTGTGGCAAACATATCTCTTATCTAATATATGAGAAAAAGAAATTACAATTCAGCATAACTTCAAACACAGAGGACAAAGTAAAGCTAGAGTGTCTTCTATATCTGTATCTTCCTGTGTATTTTTGTGTTTAAAGATGAGCATGAACTGCATGTGACCCATCATTCAGCTTCCAGACTCCTCAAGAGGCATTTAGCTCAGTACTAACCCTTGCTGGGCCCACGCCAACAAACATTTCTTGGAATTCTGAGCCATTGACGGTGATGAAGGGGACGTTGGCCTCTCCAGCAGTGGCTTTAGCTAGCAACGTCTTTCCAGTACCAGGTGGACCCGATAAGACTGCACCCTGAAAACAAAGGAGTTACTTAATGATCAATCCACACTGACATTGTCCCATCACCCTCACCCCCTCACTCTATGTCACAATCCTTTGTGATATATAATGTGACACACCTTTGGGATCTTGGCTCCTAGGTCCTGGTACTGCCGTGGGTTCTTCAAGAAGTTGACAAACTCCAAAATCTCCAGTTTGGCCTCCTCACAGCCTGCAACGTCCTTGAATCGCACGCTGATGCTGTCTTTTATTATCTTGGCTTTGGATTCACTCATGCTAAAGGGGTTTCCTCGCCCCCTACCTCCACGACCTCCAGCCATTGGTCCCTGACGTGTGGCAAACATTAAAAAGCCAACCAGCATTAAGGTTGGGAGAATGCTGTAAAGAAATGTTCTGTGGGGAAAGAGGCAGATGAACATGAACACATTTTATACGCATAAAAGTCATTTCAATATGAAAGTTCCAGGTGCTCATTAGATTAAATTCTCACCCATCGCTTTCACTGCTGTAGAATACAGGTACTTTCTTTCTGGACTCCTGATCCATTTCCTGCTGGGCCATCTCCAGATTATGCTCAAATGAGTCAACACTGCCAATGTTGAACCACAAATAGTTCTGAAACATACAGACAACAAAAAAGATGCAGTATAAAGTATATATGCTTATATTATTTAAACTTCAAAGAAAAACTGGGACACTTTTTAAAGAACAAATAACAAGAAAGAGATCAATTCTTCTACTTACAAATGAAAATATGTAATAAATCGCACCATAGCTCATTTCAGTGTACTCGCTTGCTGCTACAGTCTTACTTAGTCGGACCAGCAGCTTATGGTGGCTAAGTTTAGTACTTTGGAGCATCAAGGTTCAACTTGACCTTGGACGTTGTAGTTTGACCAAATTATTTTAACTCAAAATCCACTTACTAGCACAGGATTTTGACGGATTTTGCTCATTTGTGAATTACAATTAGAAGTACAGAGGAAGAAGAAGAATTTACCATTATTCCGTGTTTGCCACTTGTCACACTCACGGTAATCTCCATTCAGCAAAAGTTACATAGGCTTACTTCAATCTATAGGCTTCTAATCTATCAATGAGTGTGTGTATGTGTGTGTGTGTGCATTCATTAATTTTCAGGCCAACAGGTTTTTAGGAAGACCATGAACTCAGTAAAACTAAATCCTGACTAGAAACTAACTGAACTGAAAAGCAAGAGGACATAACAGAATTTTCATGCAACTAACCACTTCTGATGTGTTCACTCCATGGGCAGGAATCACTTTGACATACTGTTTATTGACCACCTCCAGGTGATCTACCTGTATTGAGAGAACAAAACACAATTTGTTCACATGACTGCAAACACAAAAATAAAGATAAAAGACACACACACACACACACACACACACACACACACACACACACACATCAACACCAAAACCAAAACACGTTCTTCCTCTTACCAAGCCTCTGCTCAAGTAGTGATGCACAAAGTCCTTCCAGGAGATCTGCACCCCTGTCTCTCGGAAATAAAAGTATAAAAAAGCTGAGGTCATGCCTGCCGCACCAATTGCAAAGTTCCGAACTACTTTTTCATCCCAGGGAAATTCATCCTGTTAAATAAAAGAAATGTTGTATGAGAGAGGAGATCAACTGATTAAAGGCCAAGCTGTGTCACTGAAAAACAAGCCACTCTTCTCACCCTGTGGCTGCAGTATTCTGCCTCCCAGAGCGGCTGGGAGCACCCTTTTAACAGTAGAGTGGGACTAGTACGGCATGTTTTTCAGGAAAATGTTTGTTGTTTGAAAGCTTATATTAATTTTTTAACATAAATGCATAACACAACACAAAATTTTGATAGGAATTCATTAAATCTCAAGACTAAAGAAATGTGAATGAAATGTGCAACATTTTACAGTGGAAAGACAACTATATCATCAATAACTATATAGTTCTATAAGAATATTATTACAGAGCTGAATATTAATTTATGTGACAAAAAGATGTTAAATTATGAAGAACTTTAACTTGCACTTACGAGTAAAAGAAGTAAAAAATTAAGCTTACATTTTACTTTCAAAGATCTCAGATTCCAGCATTTTAGAAAATATATTCCACATGATGTTGTTTCTGTATTGTGCATCTAATGAGATGCATTAACAACCTGAATAAAAGAGTTACACCTCACCTGAAAGCGTGTCCACCAGTGTGATTCGCCCTTTTTTCCTCCTCTTCGTCCTTCGTCCCCATCGTCATTTGGGATTTGAGATTCTTGCTCGTTGGTATTTTCATCTAAAGGACAACATAAAATCACTCTGATGAACTGAGAAAAGAGGACGTACCAATGCCGTTTGTGAAGATGACTCAAACCCTCCTCACCTTCAGCTGATTTGTTGGTGCCAGTGCTTTCTTCACTCTTTGGGAAAAACTTTTCAAAACCTAAACGGAAGATTTAAATTGAAACAAATGAATTAAGTGCAAATGGCTCAGACTGACCCCAAAAGATTTAGCTTGTTGTGCTCACTTATTTAGCTACATTAGTATAACAGAATTAGGGGGTACATTACCTCTTGGTGGTTTGTTTGAGCTATGTAACCGAGTGAGTTGGAAACTGTGTTGATATAATCCTCCACATCTCCTCTGGATCAGTGATGTCTTCTGAAATGTGAAAGAAAGGTAGTGTTGAATATGTTAAATATACATATACAGCAACAAGGAGCTGTATTCAACATGTTATATGGAATAGACTTTGTTGCACCCAATGCAAAATGGTAAACAGGCAATACATAATGAAACATGATAATCCACAGTAACAGGGCATCTGCAGCTATGAATGAGTCATGCAGACTAATTTCCATGTTAATATGAGAAATCTGTCCGCTACATGTTTTTTTCCCCCAAACAATGTTATTTACAGGATTACTGAAATCTCATTATGACCTATAAGGATACTGGACTGTGTAACAGTTAACCTAATTTCATTAAGTCATTACAACACTGTTTCAGATAACCCACTTATACTTGATACTGAACAGCCGCTTTAAAGCTCACATGGTGTTTACTACCGTATCTGTCACTGGTGCATAACAAACACAGATTAATTTATTATTAAAGGTTACAGACACTAATAATACGATTATTAATACTTGAGAATATTGAAAATCTGACGCTGTTATATATTTTTTTACATGCATACATACAAACATTTTGTTTGCACATAAATATATATCTGAGTAAAGATATGTTGTTGAGTTTAATAAAATATGATAACAAATAATAAATAATTCCTGAGTTTCTTTTTAATTATTATCTATGAATAAAAACATATAATAAAACTAAATTAAACTTAAATTGAGGAAAATAAGCCGGATAAGCATTACAATGCTGGCAATACAATATTATATTTGACTGCCAGTTTCTGCTCATATGTGTGTACATACACACCAATATTGGTATTGATAATAACCCAATATGTGCTGCTAATATCAGCCTGCCAGTGTGTCAGCTGGGCTCTATTTACAATGCAAAGTTCACCAGAGAGAAAAGAAATCCTACAAAATTTGTACATTTCATGTGTGAATAAATACTTAAATTGGAAGTGTCACCCCCTAATGGAAATTATGCCACCCACAGTATCTCAACTACATTTTCACAAGTGGTTGATCTGGCAATGACAAGGCAAAGTAAGTCCACTGAAGGAAGTTATCTCATCCCAGCCAGTGAACATCTATCGCTTGTTATTCCGAAGTTAAAATATGCAGCCTACCATTCAAACATACTTTTAAGTGCCAACTCTCGCACACAAAAGTTTGATTTCTATCCAACAAGTTATGTGCATGCTTTGACCTATTTTAAGACCTATATGCAACTGAATGAACACACCACCAACTGAGTCGCGCCCCCTCCAAACAAAACATTATGAAACAGAGAGAAACCCGACTTCTAAACTGGACATTATCAAACGGACATCTCCTGAGGATACAAACAACAGCAGAGACACATAAACAGTGCTGCAGTTTGTTTGTTTGGAGGTTATTTTGGGTCTGCAGGCTGCACTAAGGAACACCGTGTTCTTTTCCACGACAGACCCCAAATACAGTCGCAACACGGGCTCCAACTCCTGCAAAACACCGTCGTTCAACACATCTGCGAGAAGCTTTCGTACAATAACAAGTTTGCACTCGTGTAGTTTGAGAGGACCGCAGCGAGTCTGCACATAGGAACAGACAACAAGAACAAAAACAATGTCACCGTACCGACGCCAGTGCGCCGCTGTGGCGAAAAGTAGCTGAAACAGTGGACAAATCTCGGCTCCACGTCCGGACCGACCGGACCCGGTTCCGAAAGGGCCCGAGACTCACAGAGAGAAGCCCCATCGTGTCAGCTTTCTGTCGGCTTGGCTCTGAACTGGTCTCCGGGCCATGAAGAAGCACCGCGCTCAGCCGATGCCAGATTCATTTTTCCCAGGGTGGCAAAGTCATGTCCCCGCCCATCTCTGGCTCTGATTGGTTAGGACTTGTTGCCTCACCGGTGTGATTGGTTAGGTTCAGGCATGAGGCGTGAGCGTGGTGAGGGTTGAATGTCAGGGTATCTCAGAGTAGGACGGGACATGACTTCACCATCCTGGGAAAGAAAACATAAAAAAGAGATTTCAGATTGGACATTTTAGCCATGAATTTTGTCTCTATTAATTTTGATCTTAAATCTCAAAGTAAAGCTAAAGCATTTGGCATAAGGAAGGTGTATGGTGTAGAAAATTGTCTGGGAATTTAATTCTGGGTTGTTGTTTTGTTGTTATGTTGAGTTGACTCAATGATACAAACATATTATTGGTGAGCTCACTGTTTGTACTCATGCATGTTTGCGACCAGACCAACTGCTTACCAATATATTTTGTACAAAAATTATTACTACTTAATAGTTAGATTGGTTATAATATTTTGGTATTACATAGGAGATACTGTACTTATACTTCTATTTGAGAGTAATAGCATTTTTGGGCTTCTTTTGTTGACAATAACTTAATATAACAGGTACATGGATGGATAACCAAACGGGTCTACCAGGCAGAGATGCAGGGGCCTAAAGGGGTCAGGTCAGGTGAGGGAGGGAGCCCCTGAGGCAGTCTGTGTTTAAAAACACAGCTCATTTGTCCTGACAGTCAAATGGCTTAGCCAAAACAAGAATGGTATAGTCACTGAGTATGTGTAGATACTGAGCGTCATCAGATATTTCTGCTGCTATTCAGAAAAAACGGCAGTTTTACACTGTTTTTGTGCTAATGGGTGTAAAATATTGCATTCATCACTGAATAGGTAAAAGTTGTACTTAACTTGAACACAACACTGCAGCTTTAATGCATTTCATTACTTTATTCATGCAGTACTCCAACATGTTCTCCAACAGGGCATGGCTTTCACCAACACCACGTATGTCCATTAGTTTGAAAAAACAAAAACAAATACAGTACATCATGCTGAAAGATAACACAGCCATAACTCATTATTTTAAAACAAATACTTTAGGTCAACATTTACACTTTAAGGTGTCACTTAACAACTTCGTCATCTCTGGACAAAATGTGTTATAGGTACTTTAAGACTGAAAACATTAACATGTATTAAGACGTTTGGATAACTGCTGTATGTTACCTGACAATCTTAGGCACACAATGTTCATGAGTATTCACATCTATTTGCTATACACTGCACTAGACTGAACCAGATTAAACACAGATCAAACAGTGTACATTGAGTTCACAGTTTTGAGTACAAGGAAAGCACATTTAACTCCCATATGCCTTTTTTTATTTTTAAAGTTAAATTCAATTCTTCTTAAAAGAAAATGTATTGGTGACGCATGCTTTGATTATGTATCTATTGCTAATATGTTTTTATATTTCAAATTATGGTTCTAATGATTATATATACACCTTTCTTGTCTAACATCTGCAAGCCATGTTTTTTTTTTCCAGTATCCAGGGTGGCTAATTGATCAATCAAACTTGAAGCAGGCCTATACTGTAGAGTGAGGTGTAAATAGATTGGTCAAAAGAAATATTGCTTTAAAGGCCTGTAAATATTTTTAAGATCCTATGAAATGTTAAGCAGATCAAAAAATTATGACTCTGAAAGGAAAACAGGTAAACAGTGTTGGAACTGATGAAGGAATATGTGTAAAAAGAGAGAAAGAGAGTTACAGTGATGTTATGATCACATAGTCTAACAGATTTACTTCATTACTTATTGTAAACTAAATAAACACTATGCATCATACTAATTGGTGCTTGGAAACGACAGCTCAGTGCAATGTCACTCATTTAACTTTAGAGCATGTTTACTGGTTTTTGTTTTTAAAATAAAAACATACAATTTGAAGCTGAAAGGCAAATCTCCGGTTAATATATTTTTTGTGATTTTGTCTTTGGAAGCTGGAGTTATAATCGTATCATATATGGCAACCTTAAACTTTAGTATTCAGCAATGTTGGCAGTATAGCTTAATGCAGTCGAAGCTTGTAATAGTTAATACCGTATACAACTCCTGCATGCATAATCACCTATTGATAAGTTGGCTTTTTTTCTATAGGGCATTTATTTTGTACATTTATACAAGCAGACACACGCACAAATGTGAATCACTCACACAGACACACATACACAGTGCTCAGTACATCCAATTTCAGTATGGATTAAAAAGTTGGATAAAAATATATATATTAATTTCCAGATGGGTTTCTAAATACCCTGCTTCATTATGTAGTGCACATGAAGATAAAGACACTTCAGTAAACATATGCACAAAACAAACCAAGGACAAAGACGAGAAGCTAGTCTTCTATCAGACTGTCTTGACTGAATAGAGCACAACGCGAGAAAAAGTGCAACTTCCAGTCACATCAGGTGGTCCTCTCCAGAGTTATGCATCTTTCACATCATCGTCTTGCTTGCGCTCGGTCATTCGAGCACATCGTGGACAAGTTGTGGAGTTGTCGTAGTAACAATCTCTAAAGAGACGCATGAACAACAACAATTTGTGTTACATAATACATCATGTTAACGGTGTCCATTTGGGTAACGTGTTGTTTTTCATTTTGAAGGGATAGTTCAGTGTTTGGCCAACTGTTCTGTTTAACTCTGTATCTGGCAAACTCATTAATGCCTTTATTATTTCTCTGTATGCAGTTTGAAGGTATCTTAACCGATGATCTTAGACTAAATTAGCCCAATAACTGGACGTCTTTTAAGTACTGAGGCTTTAATATTTTGTACCTGTTACCACAAAGCTATACTTTTTCACTTTTACTTTTCACAAATGTACATTTAAACTCCTCAAAATCACAAAATGTGCTGCATTTTTGACCGGTTGGTTGTAACTAACCTGTGGAAGACAGCAGAGCACTCGTGGCAGACAGAGGTGTGACTGTCAAAAGGGAACAGGATGTCTCCTTCCTTACACAGCTCACACACAAATCCTTTGGCCTGACAACGCTACACACAGACACACAGACACGTGAAATGAGACAGAACGTCAGGGTTTCAGTGTGGTATTAAGTTTTTGCAATCAGTGTGTATTGCCTCATAGTGGATAGTAAAGGATTAAGTTATGTGTGATGCATACGGAGGCAATAAGCTTACAAACAAAAAGAAAACAGTATTGTTCTTTGTGCTTTGTGCATGAGCTCACCTCACAGTCCAGTTTGATGTGCTTAGCAAATGTGGTGTGAATCTCTGTGAGGGAACAGCTGAGTCTGCCACTAGAGATATCAATCAAATCCTGTAGTGAGTACATGTCATCATTCTCCACAAAGTGCTGGCGATCTTGTAGCTGGAGGCACAGAGCGAAAGAAAACTATTTATGAAAATGTGCATCATCATAAAACATGCAATCCACGTACCATAAGACCCAACCCTGCTGAAAATATACTACATAATTTAATGAGATCATACCAGCCAACACAATATGCACCAAAACATTTGTGAACATATACTACATGTTTTTTTTGGTCTGTTTGAAAGCCTTTTTAACATTTTCACAAATATCCATGCACACAGTTTTGAAACATTAGGAGGACAAATTGTAGAAACTATTTGCACGGACTAGCCAAAAACAGCCAAGTCAGCAGTATTTATACAAACATCACATACATTGTCTCAATTTTACAACCTTTCCAGATGTAACCCGGACTCTCCACTTCCACCACCTGGTGGTGCTGTTGTAACATGTTATTTATTGATCACATATCATTGCATGATGCCAATATATGCAATGCTTTAACTGCACCATAAAAAATCTAATTTAGTTTGTGAACAGATGCTGACCTGTAGTAACAGGCGAGCCTCCATGGCCTCCTTGCAGGTAATAAAATAGGGTTTCATCAACAGAATATCTTGACGTAGTTTCTGTAAAAGAAAAACACACACACACACACACACACACACACACACACACATAAACACCCACATTACTGTCAGTCTCATTTAATGCACAGCACTGCAGATGATTTCCAATTGCAATGCATGTGCTGGCAGTACTCTATGCAAAAACTGTTTGATTTTCAGATGATAGCACCTAATGCTAAAACATAGTAACAAAGTTTTACAACACACTGGGTGACCAAACAACTGTAACAGTATCTATAATAAAGATGTCGAGGTAACATTTTTGAGAGGGGATTCCAGGTTGAAACTGAGAACACAGCTGTCAAAGATAATCAGAACTGTGGATTTCGTTTTATCTACACGGAGAACTTAACTCTTAACTTCAAACTCCACAATTTCTTGAAGGGCCTTTACTGGTGAACTAAGCTACCCACCCTGATCTCGACCAGTTCCTCCACAAAGTTGAATAGCAGCGGGTTGATTTCTTTCAGCTTCAGCACAGGTCGCGGGATCATCAGGGCCAGGTAGCGCATTGAGGAGCGACAAACCTGAAAAAGAGACAAAGTGAGAACACAGACTGACAAAATATGCCATACTCTTGCATGCTCTTTTCATACTAACACAGTGACAGCGGGTTAAACCTGCTTTGGTGAACAGCCTGAATAGGTCAATGCGAATCATCTGACCTGGATTCACGACACTCCTCCTGACCTGAGATGAACTTGAAAGTGGTCAGATGCTGACTGGCTTTCATAAACAGGCATTTCTATCAGAGATGGGAATTTAATTTGAGGTTATTGATGTTGCTGACTCCCCTTGAGAAATGTTCTTACAATTCAAAAAAAGCTCCTCTAGAGCCACATAGTAAGACTTTCTCACAGGCTGTGTGGCACCCCAAAATTGACTCAGACATCGGCAGAGAGCCCGCTTAAGGTTATTTGATGCTTCTGTAATATAACGGTGTGCACGTCTGATATTTAGCAGTAACATTTATAATAGTACAGCTGAAGATGTGATCTCCTGCTTGCAAGAGGTATAACTTGACAAGAAGTCTCATAGACTGATATATTAAAGATTTAGGGATATATATATTATTACAGATTTTTTACATGTCGAGTGTATTTTGTTGTGGCTGTTGAGGGTACCTTGCGTGGTTCAAACTCCCAGTTGTGGATGACACGAGCTGGGACGATGGCAGTGTCATTCCAGTGGCATGTGCTGCAGTAATACTGGCCTGTGTAGTCGCACTGTCTGGCTTCACTCGGCACGCCCCCTACAAGATAAATATGGCACAGTACAGCCAAACTATCAGAACAGAAGAATGTTAGAAATGGTTATGGTATTGATATGATGATTGATATGGATATGTAGTAGATAAATAATGTTCCAGGTCAAATATGTGCACGCTCAATTTTTGTAGCACAGTAATTTCAAGTCAGCAATTTCTGGATGGCTGTAAAGTAACCTTATTCATAACTGTGCGCATGTCAACTTCAAATCAGCTTACATATTTCAACTTGCCAAACATTAACCTACACAGTAAATTTGTACTTACTCAGTGAAATGGGTGTGCGACATTCTGCACAGCGGTAGTCCTGCCGGTCCAGTCCTATTTCAGGGCAGATGCTGAGCTCGTATTCCGACTGGTGGCTGACCTTTGATCTGACACAGGGCTTCGTGATCATGTTCATACACTTACTATGGCAACGATAATAGCAACCTGAAACCAGAAAGGGATAATTACACGGCATGACAAATAATTTTTTTGTGCATTGGCAGTGGGTTTGGTATGAATGACGGATTCAAAGAGCTGTACAGATGCTTCCACTTAGGGATACTCTCAAATGAAAATTGTGAAAATATTTGGTGTAGCTGAACAGTCTCAGAATTGTAACCAGCAATCAGATATCGGTCAGATAAAATTACCATCTCTGACAGTCAGTCAGACAGTAGAATATTTTAACAGGACAGTGTGCATGTGGCTTTAAGAGAACAAGTGAGACAGCAGGATTGCACATGAATATTTGGGGAAGTACTATACTGAGAGCCTGTTCAGGAAGCTTTGAGAGCACAAACATATATAAGCAGATAGAGCTGCTATGCTCTTGCATGGAGATCTGAATTTTGAACAATCTGTGTGCCTTTAAAACATCCCAATCCATGCATGTTTTACACTTTGGGTACTAAAATGTCTCCCCACTGCTATATGAGACTGATACACATTAGACTGATACACTGTATAGTGTGGCTCACCTGTGCAGGTATACCAAGTCTGGATAAGGCCCCAGATGATAGTGCTACACTTGTCACAGGTCTGTTTGACACTCTTGCTCTTTTCCTTGGAAAAACGGTGCTCCAGTAGGATTCTCAGATTAGGCTCATCCTCCTCAGGGTCCTTTAATGGACAAAGTGTCAAAACATAAATCACCAAGACTGCCTGAACCCTCTATAAAAGAGTGAATGTGGATGCTAAGAAGCAAGCTAAGTCACTGAATATTTTAACTGAAGTGGAGCCTAATTCATGAAAATGTCTGTTACCGTGACTTAACATGGTAAGGTAACATTTGTTTGGTTAGTTTACAGTAATCAGCCTGAAACATTGCCAGCATGCCACCTAGACAGCTTTATCACCAGAGTGATAGCAGATGATTTTTAAAGGACTTGCCCCTAAAGAAAAACCTCTACTGGGGCCACAAAATCCCCAACGCTAGTGGAAGTAAATCAATACACAAAAAAACATTTCTGCAAAATGCATTCAAATTAGTTTATTTGATAGTCCTGCAAGACACTAGACTATAAGTAATATTGTACAGAAACTCTGCCATTAGAAAACATGAGGAGCTCCACAGACTTGTTTGTGACCTTATCAGTCTTTAAGAATGTCTGCAATGCTTGCTATCATTTATCTCTTGCAGAGCGATGGCTAAAAGGCTGAAAGTGATACAATGAAAGCCTTTATTTGAAATGTGTTGTTAACACACAACAGGCCCAGCAGGGTTTCTTACAATCTTCTCAATTACCTCTCTGACACTGATCTCCACCCATAACTCCTCAGTTACTGACCAACTACAACATCATGTACTTTCCCCTCCAAAACGACTGCACTCATTAAGTTATTCTAACCACTAAATTCTATGTTTTCCAAATGCATTTAAATGCAGAATTTGTTTCAGAAAATGCCTCTGCAGAAATAGAGTGAAATGGCGTTCTTTGGCATAGAATAATTTTTTTACCTGCAAAGATTTGTATACAGCGATGCATTCAACAAAATCTAATTAAAATGAGTCAGTTTTAATTTTCTTTGAAGCTTTACTGATTGTCTCACTGAGCAAGCACTAACAGCATTGATATCATGTTATACACTTCTCCATTCACTCCTCAGTTCCAACCTTAAGCTCTTGCAGTTTGAGACGCAGGTGGATAAGTTTCACCACAGTGTCCTTCTGTCTCTCCGAGTGTTCTGGCAGCTCCAAGATCAGCTTTTTACACTCCTCTATGGCCAGTTTGAGCTGTTCAATGTCGGACGCCACAAACGAACCCTGTAGAAGGTGAGCAAAGGCATATCTCAGCATAGAGTAAATAGAATGGGAAGTTCGGTATTCAAAGCACTCCCAGTTTGACAATATGAAACAGTTTCATTTCATGCGATACCTTATTCAAGTTGAGGTAAACAGCAGGAACAATGCTTAACTTACCATAGGCCTCGAGAAGTGGTCCTCAGCTAGACCAAGGTCCATGGTACGATCTGAACTGTGGGTTCTGGTCCCAGAGAACAGCTCAGACCTTGCTTCTAAAAAGAGGGCAATGTGGCATAAAGCACTGTTATTCTTGTTAGCATACGCACTATGGTCTGGTAAGTGCACTCAATCATGCCAGCTAATTTCACACACATGACTGTGGTCACTCAAGACAATCCCTACACTCAGACTCAGCACTCGAGAAGTCAAGAAGAGGGACAAAAGCTCAAAGTGGACAACTGAAGAAATCACGGGTAATTGTCTTAGCCGTTCTGGTAATGTGTAACCAAGACAGACCCCTATTGTGCTATTAAAACTGCTGCTCACCAAGCTGATTGAACTTTGAAATGCTGTGACTTTACATAATCATTCACATGAGAGGAGAGCTTATGCTTGAGGGCAGCGGAACAAGCTGAAACCCATCTGATTGTCACTTTACAGTGTATAGACCTGTTCTATTTGAAAAGTGTGCTGAAATAACTTCTGTTATGATCTGGCACTATACAAATAAAATTGTATTGAACTTGATAAAGTTTTTATGGCAAGCTGGTTAGCAAACAAGTGCCTATCAACACATACAGCAGACACATAGCAACATTAGCATTCATCTGCACACGTGTTTATGTCTACCTGACAAATAGCTCTGTTTTGGTGCAACTTGAACTTGTGGGACAAGCGTCTTAAATTAGAAATGAATATATGATAAGATAACACATAACTGGGAATAACTAAGGAACAATTGACAATATTTTTCGTATTTTACTAAGAGGACAACGTCACATGTACAGCTTAATGCAAATCAATAAAATAAACTTAAAATAAATACTACTTTAGTACAATGTACTCTTTGTTAAATCTGTGTAATATGCATTCTTCATTCAATTTGAGATACAATTTTTGGTAAGTAATTTTTCATTTCGTCTATATGAAAAATATTTTAAGGGAAAAATGAGACAACAAAATTAAAAATGGCAATGCAATATACAGCACATGGCCAACCCAAGTCTGTATGTCGAACACAATACGTGTCAAATTAATACTTAAAAGACAGTCTGATCATACCTACTAGGTATCGACAGTGTATATTGAAACCATCAAGTGTGATGACTGACATTTTGATCTGAAAAATTCAAGAACAAAAAAATTGCAAAATCTAGCAAAATTGAACTGAGGAAAGATAAACTAAAAACTAAGCAACTAAAAATGAGGGAGGAAAATAACATTTGAAATGTAAGTAAGTAAACCACACGAATCACATATTTTAACAAACTTGCTCTCCATCATACTGAAAAAGTGCAGACAAACGCGGTTGTTACCTGCATACACGTCAGAACAGAACATGTTGAATAAATTCAGCTTCTCAGAGCCAGAGAGGATAATGAAGCAGAAAAAAGGTGCTACCACTGAGATCAGCTCAACCAGTGTGTCAGGCTTGTCTAATTCCCAAATCCTAGAATACAGAAGTGTTACTAAAGTACTGCTTACACTTATGCTTTTCATTTCCCCTGGTTCAGCCCAAGTTTTCAACTTCCTTTTCCATATGCTTAGAGTTACTGGCAACAGTCCAGTGTGCTTCTTCTATGTATTAGGATCTGTTCTAGACTCGATGAAAGTGGTTTAACCTGTGTGAATATTTGAGGGAAATTATTTCTCAAAGTCATTTTCAGAAAGGATTTACTGTCCCTAAACACTGAGTGAGCCACAGCAACATGATATGATCTAAGCAGCTAGTATACGTCTGCAAATAAGTGACATTTAGAAAAGCAGAAACCATGACCTCTGAAACTCCTCCAACTGCAGCACCCCTCTGTTTAGTAAGGGAAATGTCAAGAAATCCATAAATTTACAAATTACTACACCCCCTTTCCACCCATAGATCAATAAAATATTTTATCTTTATCCTAATGTTCATACAGCAGACAGCATGCTCAAGGGGAGCTGAGTATTTTATCATCCTCATGACAGACCACACATTATTTTTTACATTACAATGGCCAATACAATCCCAAATGTCTTTTCACAGTCTACCAAACCAGACATCTTGTAACAGTGTAACAGAATATTGAAACGATGGCAGGATGTCCTCCAAAGTAGACTAGACATAGTTTCTTTGCCAAAGTGTAAATTTGCATCATCAAGATAGGAGCTTAAAGCCATTAACTCCTCATGCTCACAATTTTATCGGCTGCACTTATACACACGTCACCATTCAGTTTCTGCACGAAACTAAATGATGTTGAACGATGTTGTTGTGCACGAGTCTGTGTACTTTTAGCAGGTCCCTTTAGTGCAATGTAGCACATCACATATAAGGTCCAGTTGCAGTCTAGACTAATAATGCACATAAGGGGCGGCGAAGTGAAGTATGTGTTGCTCGGTCACCAGAATAAATTTGTATTTATTTTTCCACATGGGTCATTGTAGTGCTGATGGTGCAGGTTGACAATTAACAAAACTGTCCAAAGAATGAGGTCCAATAAATGATGTCCATATAACTTTATATTTGTTTGCCTCTTGGTCAGTAATAAGTGTAGAGAAACAGATTTGACCCTAATGCAACAATATTTTCTTTAACTCACTACAGGTGTAACAGTGACCTTAAAGGGCATATTGTACACTTGAGATGGTTGTGTCGTGATTTGCCTGTGAAGAACTTTACCGTGCTGTGGGGGCGTCTTGCCTCCTTGGGGACCATCTTCTTCGTCTCCACGGTTAAAGGGATTGAGGCGGGTTTGGCGGAAAAGTGCAAGTCTCTCATCATACTCCATTTCATCGGCTACATCTAAGGATGACAAAAATGTGTTACAGTCACACCAGTTAATTTCCCTTCTCTCGTGTTTATGAATTATAGCAGGAAGGACGTTCACAGGCATCTTTCAATGGAAGCTAGGTAACTAATGTGGGTTGTTGCTTATTGTGCAGTGCGTTGCTGTTCAGATCCCAATTCAATTGTGCTGCTGTTAACCCGTTAATACCTATTTCAACCTGGTTATAATACAGACTGTTAAAACTTTGCGGTTCCCCATCATAAGAGTTATTTTCTCTGTCTTTATAAGGCTACTCCAGAGCCACAGAAAACATCATACAACAGTTTTCATAGAGTAGTATTCCCTTTAACTAGTAAATTGATTTTGACACTGACAGCTCTCTTTTTTGCAAATGCTCAAATTGAATAATTTATTGCCATGTCAAGTAATTTACAAACTGGTCCACATCTCTTTTATAAACAAAAATAGCATGACAAAACCATGGACTGTTTCTCATAACCACAATCAAGAATGAAGGTTTCTTAGAGTTATCAATGACAAGTGGTCTTCAATTGACCTGAAGTAATTAAATGACATCAGGAAACCTCAACATAAGTGAATATCTCACATTAAACTTTGAGTTCTTGAGTATGACTTCCCAAAGGGATGCAGTGCATGAAATAAATAATAAAAAAACATGTAATTTAAATTATGCTAGTGTTTTTTGTGTCAATTAAAATGACATAGCAATTAAAACCACAGCCCTCCTATGAAAATCAATGTGCTCTATTCAGATGGACAATAACAACACTGTTCCTAAGCAGTCTGCAACGCTGGTTAACAGGAAGTCGTCTCCAAAATAATGATCCAAGGACAGACATTTAAGCCACTGTTAATCAAACTCTTACCACACATTTCATCACAGAGCTCAGCACACGGAGTCGAGCAAAAACGAAACACTGCACCGCCTGAGAAGCGTTGTAAACACAGACTGAAGCCTCACCTCAACTACAGCCAGTGTGAGCTGCTGCTGACAGTCCTCCTCTATAAAGCGGTAACCTTTATAGGCTGTTATGCTTCGAGTATTACTGCTAAACATGTACGATATTGAATATAATTAACCACAACTATGCTACCAGTCTAAAAAAAAGGGCACACCAACACCGATACACAGATGTCAACAGCCAGCTAACGCTAGCGAGCTGGCTAGCTTTAAAAACCATCCAATCATCTGTTCTGATGCTAATGTTAGCTAATGTTAGCAGGTCGGAAGCTTACCCCGTTGTTGACCTTTCTTATCGTCAAGGAGATGTACTGTTGTAAGATATGTTTTATGGTTGACTCGAGTGGATAGTATGAACAGTTCTCCCCGTGTTGTTTTGTCTCTGTCATCAGCAACATCACAAGCCAACAAGCGGCAGGTCATACAGCGTTGAAAGGCTGGTTTCCTGTAAGGATTTTCAAAATAAAACTTGACTTGACTACCATAAATAATAATTGTGTGATTAATATGAGGAATGATTTTGAGAAGTTATCTGTACATAATAATAAAAACGTCTCTCGTCTCAATGTGGCATTTAACGCTATATTAGCTTATTTGGAAGTCATGTTTGATGCTTTTACTTTTAAAATAATGGTAACTTACGTTGGGTTTCGTTTTTCTTTCAAATGTTCCTCAGAGATGAAGATCACCTTCAAAGTGTGGGCTGCATATCACGGTAGAACTTTTATTTCATTGCATCTGGTTCCCAGAACACTAATAACTTTTTAGAGATTACACTGATGATGAAATGATGATGATCAGGGTATTTACAGTGTATCACATTTTCAGGTATAGTCTATCAAGAAAGTCAGTCAAGCTACAGAGTTATAGTAAAAAAAAAAACACAAAAAAAAAACACACTTACAATACAAATGCCCTTTAGTGTTGCAGTTTTTGTCTGAAATAAGGTAAGGAAGCATTAGTTCCAAGTGAAACTACAAAAAACTGTGGATTTCTGGTCTTAATTAGGGACAAAGCAGGTTTGATGCTGCTTAGTTTATATAAAGACATGACCATATAAAGAATTATCAAGTGATTGCTGTCTGTTTAAAACCATACATTCTGCTCCTCCTGTTGTCAGAGATTCTGGGAATTTCATGCATATTACATTTAAATCTGTAAGTCTAAATATCCTGGTCAGCAGCTGACATTCTTTTTCCTTTTTCATGCTGGAGGCTGTGATCATGTGGGGTTTACATTGGAGCTTATTTGGAGCATTACACAGAGCATAAAGAGAGAGAGCGATAAGGCAACTAAAGATCAATGGATCAATGTAAAGCCAAGCAATTCAAGAGAAATCTTTGCTAAAGGGCAACCTTTGAGACAACATGTTGTACACAGATGGAGAGGCAGTCAACTTGTTACTTGTATAAAGGCAACAGTAAGTGAAGACTTCTATGGAAGCAGCCTTATCAGAATCTGCATAATAGAAACATTCACCGTCACTCTTGGTGACTAGCATTTGTTCGTTTCAGTATTCAGGATTTTCAATTTTCATTAAATTCTACACTTTTTAATATATAATATTTTATTTGTGTCATTCGCTGAGGGTGACATTGATTTCTGGTCATATGGATGACTTTAAATGATTATAGCTTGAGTGTGTTTGTTGTTTAGACGGCAGCTGTGGAGTTTTTTCCTAGCTGTGAACAGAGCCGCTTTGTGCAGCTAAATGAAAGAAGAAGTCATAACCCTAACAGTAAACAGGCTGCTCCCTGCAAATAATACAGTCACACTTTGGTCATTCTTTGAACTAATTAGCAATAATTATGGTCAAGTGGCATGTCTATGTCATGTCTGTGTCTACTTCCTTATTAATGTTTTATTTACTTCATTGGCAATGATGGAAAGTCTATAAGAGCACAAGACATTTCTGTTTTTGGCTTTAAGGGGTTAATTGTTTCTCTAAAGCCAGGGCATCATGTGATCAATTAGCCAACTGTCTCTACTGCATGCCCTGTTGTGAGGAGAAACCCTGACTTATTAGGGTTGTTTAAATGAAGTAATTAAATAAAAGTAATCGGTGTGAAAATAATTTGAATTATAAATTGTACTCAAAGAAAAATAATGTAATAATGAGATTTATTCAACATTTATGGATTAATTCATTCAATTTTATTCTTGACCAATGTCGCCTGGGTTTGGCTCCAGCCACACGAGACCCTCCAAAGGATAAGTGGTTATAGATAATGGATGGATGTATGGATAGATGGCAATTTATTTCTAAATGTATTTGGGATTTAGATTTATTATTAATTCAGTTCAAATTCATTTGTTTATTTCATTAATTTATTGATTTACAATATTGAGGTCAGGTTTGGTCTTCAAACAAAGTCAGCACAGATCTCAAGAACATGGACTGCATCTTTAATTTAAATCATAATGCATTCAAACATATTATACATATATTAATATTAATAACAAACAATGCACTTATAATTTTATGTCCTATATTATTATCCCCTTTAAAAATGCTTTTTAAAAGGCTTTCTTAAATACATGCTGGTCAGAGTGGCAGATTAGAAAGATCACCAATTATCACTATATATCATTATGAAGGGTTTTTTATTCATTTTTTATTTACCTCATAATCTTATAAAACAACAAGCACTATACCAAAAAGTTCAAAATATAGGATTATGGTAATAAACCAAACAATGGTATGTTTGTTTTAAACCATCGGTACACAAATTTAAAGTAAAAGTAAAGTTAAAAAAATCAAAAGAAGTTAAGAACATTTTTTTAAAATATATTGAAAATGTACATGTTCACATTTTCTCACTCTTGCTCTTTCTCAACTGTGAGTTGACATTTTATTTATTTATTTTCCCAATGATGCAGATGTGGGCGAACTATAATAAACCCAGTAATTTATGGAATGATTTAAAACAATTAAGATTTTTAATTTCTTCCTTGAGGACAGGATGAGGATTTATATTTGTTCCAGTTGGAAATCCCCTTCCTTTCAATGATGTTATTTACAGCACAGTTACAGAACTTGATCATGAGTTTAAAAACAGAGCATTTCAAAAACGTCTCTGTGGTGTTTTATATCAATGGTCCTTCTGTCTGCTGAAAAAAAAAATATGACAGAAATAAAGTGTTCATGTTGCTCTTAAATGTTAAAGGGTGAGCAGTTAAGTTTACATGTCATCTGTCTTCTTATTATCAGATTATCAGCAGATATTGCAGAGATACTTGTAAAGGTGTCATGAATAGAGACTTTAATACCTGTAATCATATAATGGTGCTAACTGCAGAGCCATTTGCACACTCTTATCTTGTTAAGAAACACATGAATGAAGCCTTGGTTTGGATATTTGGTCTCCAAATAGCTAGAATAACCTGCTAACTAAGCATATATAACAAGAGGAAAGATAAATATATCACAGGGGTGATCAATAATAACTGTCATTCATTTAGCACAAGCTCTTCTTGTTTTGGCCTCTTTTCTTTGAGACTAATAAATAACGTGTAAACAATTTCAAGGATTACATACACACATTCCTTCTATAACTGTACAACTTGTTATTTTTTATACCCAGAGCATTTACAATTGTTGAGCCAGGTTTAGTTTATTGGATATAACCAAGTACTGAGTGCCACAGTGCTATTACCTTAGACAACCATTCTGTACATTCACAATCTTCTGTAACAACTCCCACACAAAAAAGAAGTTAAACATAAAGTTATGAAACAAAAATACTGCTAAAACTACAAAAAAGAAAAAGTAAAGTAAGTGATCATTCTAAATCAATTGAAAAATGACACTGAAAATTACCAAGGACTGAATTCAGTGATAACAGTGGGGACTGTGTAAATGATATATTATTCAGCAGCAAATACTCTGGCAAGCATTATTCAAGTACTACAGTGTACAACAATCTACATTATTCTCAGTATTAACATGCACATTTCACATTACATCACATTTCCATCATTTAACCAGTAAAGTTTAATTGTTTTTATCTCAGACAGCCTGGTGTGGGGATCTGTGAGTCTTTTTCACTCAGTTTGGAAACAATTGTGCCAAAGCACCTATGCCCCAGGACTGTGTAATGGGAGAAACAAATTTACACTTTATGGCTCAAATACAGTAATATAACTGCCTTTCACTTAGAGTTCAAAATGTAGGTCCTATTTACATCATATCCTTAGGATCAATAAAGAATAGGATATCAAAAGAATAAGTAAAATAAAGATTAAACATGTTAGCTTCTTAATTTTCTTAAGGGGTCTTTTGGTGGTTCCATATATTTCCCTGGCTTTCACTTCTGCGCCAGTTACAAAGACAAAAAAAAACATCGGTCTAATAGCGATGTTAAAATAAAATATATATTTTACAAAAACATCCCCTGAGGCCATCAGACCTACATGACTGAAATCAGCCTCAAACCCCGTTTGCATATTTCAGAGAACCGCACAAACGTCCAGAAATAGGCGTTAACTTCGATATGCTTTCTTTCATAAACCCTCTTATGCCCTAGGCATCAGGCCTACAACCAAACGAGGCCGTTCATGTGATTTAGCCCATCCTTTTTTTCCTTCAGTCATCCGGACATTTATTTTGGGGGAGTAATCCTCACGCAAAGCCACCAAATAGACTCCAACAAGCGTTTTAAGACGCTTCGTATCATTTTAACGCTTTTCTTTCATCTGGCCTCGTTCCTGCTCTTTTTCAATACCACGCTTCATCAACTTATCCAGACCAATTTATTGCTAAATTCAATACATTTCATAATTTCATAATAAATAGTAGCTTAAGTAAATATTATTCTCATTAGAATTTATGCATCTCTTTTTCGGATGATGCGATGCGCAAATGAGGCAATTCTTTTGAAACAGTAGGAAACAGACGGCGTTCAAATGAATGAAAGGGCCCGGACAGGACAAACATCAAACACCAGACCTCACGTGGTAATAAGGCTACTTCTCTAGGCTATAACACATCACAATGTCTTTAAAGCTTGTTTTATCAAACTTCGTCGAGTTCTATTAAATGTAGTTCCCTAAGAAAAACATTCAGCTTCTGGCCTAATGCAGAGACATTTAGTCATTTATGAGCAGATTCACCAAGTCTTTATAATGTCTCATTGGCAGTGTGTCCATAAGCTAAGTTATATAGGCCATACATGCAAACACACTACATTACACCAACATTATTTAATGAAATAGAGATATAATTTAACAGTTTTCCAGTGCAGATTTTCAGTTTCTTTTCTTGATTTCTTAAAAGGTAACTTTAGAGTTAAGACAGGTCACATATTTAGACAAACAAAGGCACTTTTATATACAAGAAAACCCAAGTTTATTTACAAAGGGAAAGACTTTAAATATTTGTATTTGTTTTAACAAAGTTGGTTGGTTAGTTGAGTCCAGTGACCTTCTGACTCTTTCGTCCATGAGTTCCAATCTAATGATTGTTAGTTGAGAGTCATTACTGGATTACATGTCCAGATGTTTGGCAGTGCGTGAACCTGTGCACTGAGTGGCGTAACGCAACACTAAGTAAAACCGAAGCCGATGAGATGTACCAAAATCTTGATCAGAGACAGTCTTTGTTGTAAGCCTATAAAAAGGGCATCATCTGCCAGTTCAAGCATGCATTAGCCACGGCTTGGGCTACTTCAGCCTCTGACACAATGTTGATTCTCGAAGAAGAGGTAGCCGACATTGTTGATAACCTGATGCTTTCGATTTCATCCTAAATGTACACTGTCACACGCCGAAGCACCAAGAACACAGGACCAGCTCCTGCAGGGTTTTACGCAGCTCCTGGCTCCGGTAGGCGTAGATGAGCGGATCGATGAGAGAGTTACAGATGATGAGGATGAGGAAGAGGTTAAAGTTTCTGAAGAAACAGTTGCAGAAGGGGCTGGTGGGGCAGGTGAGGATGAGGATGAGGTGGAGGAAGAAGGGCCCCCAGCAAAGAATGAAGACCCCGAGCAGGATGGTGAGGGTAATCGCCCCTTTCATGCTCGTGGATTGGCGCCTGCTTTTGTGGAAAGCCATAATGCGCCGGGAGTGCACGTGCGCCAGGAGGAACATGTGCAGGTACAGCACGGCGTTAAACACCAGGGTGGTGCAGAAGAAGGTCACGAGGCACACGATGACGGCGTTGTCGGTGTGGTACACGATGAAGAGGATGCTGGAGGTGATGCTGGTCAGCCACACCACCACGATGATGGTGACGGCGCGCTGCGTGGTCATGATGCTGTGATAACGCAGCGCGTAAAAGATGGTGATGTAGCGGTCCGCGGCGATGGTGCACAGAAAGGAGAGCGAGGACACCACGGAGCTGCAGATCATCACGTCGATGACGTTGTCCAGGTGGCGGAGCATGCCAGGGTGCACGTCCATCAGGCCGTGGTCGTTGAGAAGCATAAACATGGTCTCCACCACGTTACTGACGCTGACCAGCATGTCGGACACGGCCAGACAGCAGATAAAGTAGTACATGGGCGAGTGCAGGTTGCGGTTCTTGTAGATAGCCAGAACCACCAGGATGTTCTCCACCAGGCTGATGAGCCCCAGCGCCAGGAAGAGCTCCTGGGGGATGCGGATCTGCACGCAGCCCAGAGAGTTTCGCTCTCCGGTGGTCAGGTTGGTTTCGTTCTCCTCCATAAAGTCATTTAGCGGGCCGAAATCCACGTGGAGGATGGAGGGGTTGTGCAGGGACCTGTTGCTCATTTCCATGTCTGACTTTTGTATGATTGCTGATCCTTTTAATACAAATAACAGCTTAATGGAAAATTGGGAGGAAAAAAATCAAGCGACTTGTCCGAGAAGTTATTCTGTTGTTGAACCCCTCAAGGTATCCAAATACTGTCAAATATCCACAAGCCGTCCACCTAACAACACTTTAATTTGTCACTTTAACGACATTTTACTATATATTTCATCCATAAGTAAATAAAAAGTTGTCGGCAGCTAAATGAACGCACCGCAGCAGGTCGTAGAATTTGCGCGTCTGTCCGTCTGAAGAGTGCGTCTCCCCGCCGAAAGTCTCTTCTTTCCTATGGATGCAACTTGCCCAGCACTGAGATCCTTAAAACGTTCTTCTCCATCAAAACATTGCGCCCTCAATTCATAGTTCACTTCACACTCATTGTGCTCCCGACCCACCCATTCACTAAACTCCCTTTATCAGTTCAGACTGATCTGACGAACATGCTGATAGTGAACAAAGTGTCTTCGGATACCTCGGGAGTTGGAGACTGTGACGTGCTTGAGCATTTCTCAAAGTGATGCTGGATCCTGAAGGACTTCGGGCGACTCCTCCTCTCACGCAAACGTCAGCTGGGCTGCGATCCTGTTTGGAATGACACGCGCGTAATGATGGAAGATGGAGAAGAAAGCAGGGCAGTGATGCTTTTGTTCAGCGTTGTTCAGCCCAAGTAATTCCTCTGTTACACGTGTGTTCGAGTAAATGCTGCACCGTTTCCTATTATTCTTTTTACAAATATGATTTAATTTGAATAGTAATGCTAGGAATGGATGCTCCCTCTACCTCCTACCGTGCGCCACAATGGCACCGCTTCACCTGACAGCCACCTCGGAGCTAGTTGCTTATCGGCTTTCTGTACACATGTTTCTGTTCCTGAGGTTTAAAAAGCACCGGTATATGCAGTTACTTTACCTTTTGAATCCAATCTAGAAGTTAAATCACTATTAAAATGATAGGCTTACAAGTGCAGTGGAGAAGACGAAGGAGATTGTTGTGGACTTCAGGAGAGTGCACACCCAGCATGCTCCACTCACTATCGACGGTGCTGCAGTGGAGAGGGTGAGCAGCACCAAGTTCCTGGGTGTGCACATCTCTGAAGACCTGTCCTGGAACCACAACACTGCATCACTGGCCGAAAAAGCCCAACAGCGCCTGTACTTCCTCCGCAAACTGAGAAGAGCAGGAGCCCCGCCTCCCATCATGCACACCTTCTACAGAGGCACCATCGAGAGCATCCTGACAAGCTGCATCACCGTGTGCCTGCACCAGCAGGCTCAAGGGCAGTTTCTTTCAGCAGGTGTGTTCTTTTCACACACTCTGAACTCAGGGACTGCACATTCCACTTTCCCCTGCTTATTTGCACTACACCGTACTACCCCACCTTAACTGTGCACTTGATTGTTGACTGTTTATTTGTATGTCTTTTCTATTACCTAATATTTCTTATTTCCTATTATTTAGTATATTGCCTGTTTGCACCGTGGGTCCGAGAGGAGTGAAATTTCATCTGTGCTGTATGTTGCACATGTATAGCATATTTGACAGTAAAGCTGACTTTGACTTTGACTTTGACTTTAATACAAAGCTCACAATATTGGTAATATTAAGCTAATGTGAAGCTTCAGCAGGTCATTAGAGACATTAATGACCTTGTACTTGACCTTGAACACAGTCACTTTGAAAGATATGCAGTTGATCTGCCCAACTCAGACTGCTGAAGTCACATAGTACCTTTGGCTGAATTGTGGAATGCATTTTTGCACAGACCAAGGGATGTGAATATGTCCTCCATCGCTTACACTGAAATTGCTTTAAGAGGGGATTTCTCTGTGGCCAGCGTGAACACGGGCATGAATCGATATGAAGCAATCCTTTAATTAAGAAATTAGATTTGCGTTTGATGCCTTCAGTTTCTTGACCTTGCTGACCTTCTGTCCGTTATGATTTAAACAGACTTGAGGAGTCAACTGGGTCAAATTCTGCAGTAAATATTGTTGTTCTGAAGTCATGCTGACATTTAAGTCATTAACAACAAACTCGTGTCTGTGAGTTGAAGGGAGAAAGCCTCAGCTGAACAAAGCAAAGCAAACATACATGAAAAATCCTTCAAAATGTGTGACGTATGCAGTGTTATTAACCCATAGAGGAAATGTATGTGGAACGACCCATAAGGCTTCTTACAAAAGCTGTCTTTTACTTACCATAAATAGGAATATATTGGTGTAAATATAAAATAATATTTGGGTATACAGTGCGAAGATATACCGTCAAACTACAGACATCACAGTGGAATCTGAGCAGCCAACATGTTTTTTGCAGCTTAAATATGTCCAAGTGTCTAGTCATAAACTAAAATGGATTGAAAAGTCATCCTAAGTAAATATTCCCATTATTTTAACATAAGCAGCCATGTTTTTCTGAAATGAATGCTGATGTAACAATAAGATTTAATGCCAAGACAGTATGGCAATCTACTTAAGAGTTTCAGTTCAGGTTTGAGGAAAAAGGACATCCAGTGTAAGGTGCAAGATTTCTATTGGAGAGTGTTGAAGGTGTTATTATATCTACAGATATTATTTATAAACAGATATTATAGTTAGTGTCCTATATTTACTGACAATTATTTGCCCTAAAAAAAAGATCTTTAAAAACTGGCCTTTTCGATTTACTGCCTATAATTAGAAATGTAATTAGTGAGTGTTCAGTCAGGGTTTTTTATTTTTAAAGTATGTTGCGCCATTAACAAAACGTAGGCCTCCATAAAATAATCTGCAGATTGAAAATCATCATAAACTGCAGCCCTACACACATTTGAACGTGAACGAATCAAATTTGCAGTAGTTTTTGGAGAAGTGAGAGTTATTGTTACTGATTTTCGGCTACTGTGATTTTCATTATTTATGCAGTTATAACAAATTGTGCAGCAGTGGTGGCAACATTGGAGTCACATCAGACGACCTCTGAGCCTCACACAGCTCCTTCTGAGGCACTGATATGAAAGCCTTTCTATACTGCCGATTGATCACATGAAAAGTTTCAACAGCCTTAACCATAGCTCCAGGTGAACTGGGAACAATGACATCATTTGACTTTGCAGCACAATCACACTGTGTTATCATGCGGCTCACTGAGTAACAGAGTTAGTGTATGGATGGCTTCAGTATGTATAGAGGGTGATTTGTTCAGTGTCTCCACAGTTTATATCCTGGGAAGCCTTTAGGTCGAATATTTTCTATCTTTAACGAAAATCTGGAGCACTAATTGTGGCTAAAAAGTAAAAAGATACACAAAAGAGATTCATGATTTTATTTTATTTTTTAAAAGAGCTCCAACTGGTATCCTTGTGTGACATCTTTTTGTGTAAAGGGTTTGATAGGAAGACAAAATAAGCACATCATGAGACAGATTCTTGCTTCTGCCAGATGAAAACGATGTAAGGGCTTCGGCCAAGACGGCATCTAATTCTGACAAAAAAACAGCAACACAAGAGTGAGAGACTGGGAAATGGTGAAACATAAGAGATGTAGGTTACAAGTGATATATATTGTTGGTGTGTTGCCACAAGTATAGTTACAGCTTCAGATTCCAAGTGGGAATCAGCAATATTGAGTGAGGTCATGAGTGCAAAGGAAATATTAAAGTCAATTTAGGAAAAACATAAAATATCTGCCATACTACTGTACTGAATATATCTTGATGAAGAGCAGCAGACTACTGGAAAAAATCAGTAAGCCAAAAATAATCAAATATTGGAAAGCCAACTCAAATTAAGATGTGGGAAACTGTTCCAAACACAGGGGCCGGAAGGAAGAGAGCATAAGAAAACAGGATAACAGCAGACACCCTGCAGTAATGATTTACACAAGAATAAAAAAACATGAACTAGAAGCCCCAAAAAATGTGACCAGATTCTCAGACCGCAGTTTTGTAATGACCATGTGACAAATGTGAGAAAAATATCAATTTAACCAGCAAATTTTTCTTTTTTCCCAGCATTGTGACAGTTTGGATTTAGTAAACAATGAAATAAGCAGGAGACAGGACTAAACAAATTAACAAATGCAGTCACAACAGAATCAGCCCTAACAGGATCTCACTAAGATCCCATCAGAAATGAATTTGAAGCAACTTTTCTGAAAAACTGTAATGCTATTTGTGGTGCTGTTTGTAGTACGAAGATCAGTCATATTATTTTATGTGTTTGTTTCCTCCTTTCTTGGGAGTCAGTTGCCATGTTTTGGAACTTTTTAGCAAGCGATTTGGTAGGAAAGCACAGAAGGCTGAGGGGTGGGTACACACAGCTGTAATTCACAGAAGAGCTTTGTGTATATTGACTTTTTAATTGATGTGTTTTACTACATATTTTGTTTTACATCAGATTAACTCTTTACAAGATGATTATGGTGACAGTGTCCCTTCAGAAATGATTCTCTGAAAAATGTTACGAAATTTCTCCTAATTGTTTGGGTGGGTTTATCTCAGTAGTCCGTTTCCTAGAAATGAAAGATCTAAATGGTGGGGTATGACTTGCTGAATATTCCCAACATGAACACCCAATTGAATTGATATCCCATTAGCAAATACACACCAAACAGATTTAAAACTATTGCCTGGCTCACAATTTAACCATGAAATATTCCACGTTCAGATAAAACAAGCGTGTTACACATGATTAATTAGCCTACAGTTTTTACAGATACTGAAAGTTAAAATGGGCTTTGATGTGTTGAACTGCTTTTCCAACGATGCACTTTAATGTAAGTGATATGAGCTGTTCAATAAGAATAAAAAGTCTGATTCTGTGGCAAAGAAAAAAAAATTCAAGTGCTGCAAAGCCAAACGTTGAATCCATGATACAGAACATCCACTCAACATGAGGACTGTTTCAACTTTGTTCTTATTTCATAAAGCAGTGTTTGTGAACATTAAAAACTCTAAACCACAGGAGGAAGTACTATTCAGTTGTCCCACTCCATCTCCTTTTAATTATTATAAACACAATTAAATATTTTCATTTTTCTTAATGTTATGACATTTATTAAGTTTATTTGTCTATTTGATTCCTCTTCATCCTCACACTTGAAAATTCCACCTCTGTCTCCCTCCTCCTCAGTCAGTCCCATTCCTCCTCATCTCTGTAGGGGTTGTCCTCTCTCGGCGGCTCTTGAAACCTGATGTTTGCCAGCATGTCCCTCATCGCCACCATTAGACGATTCACTTCCTGGTTAAGCTCCTGACCGGCTCGAGCCACTTCCATGTCATCCTCCTGCCTCAGTCCACCCTTAACAAGAAAAGAGACAGTATACAGATATCTGGAATCAAAGTACTTTCTACCTTAGTCCATTGTATCTTATCTTTTCTTATATTTCTTATATTTTATCATTTGTCAAGAGTATTTTAAGAAAATCCTGCTATAGTTACCACTAGTTCAACAATCTCACCCCACTGGAAGCAATTGATTTGTCTTGTTATTTTTTTTTTTTTATAAGCTATTTTATTTCCAATTCATCCTATCATTTTATTTTGTCTGATTTTCCTGGTTCAACAATGTAAAGCATTTTGTAAAATTGTTTTGAAAGTCCTGTATATTTTAAGTTTACTGTTATTGTTATTATAAATTATGAACTTATATTTTTTAAAAAACAATGCACCCTCAACCAGGGTAATCTAGGGTTGTGTTATATATGTTTTCAGATTTGTAACTCTATTTCTGTAAAGAAGAAAAGAAAAAGAACTCGGCAGCACATCTTACTTACTCTTAACTATATTTCTTTTATCCATATTGTATCTCTTCCTCTCCATAAGTGGATAACATGATCAGGATGGATATAACTGTCCTGATGGAAACATGCCCTGGGCCCATCTGTTAACATTAAGCATGTATAGCTGACCCACAAGATGTTCAATGTGTGGCTGTACCTGATATGTATCTTAAAGTGGCTGTAGTGCACACTGGCAGTGGACTAAAAGACCAACAATGAGAAACTAAACTCTGTAACTTCACATATTAAAGTCTCTGTATACAAAAACAGAGAAATATGCATACACAAACGTTACGTAACATTTATGATCACCTGGGTACACATTGTTTTATGTTGAAGACGCGGTCTTAAAATTTGGACATAAACCAGACTCGTTCTAGCAACAATAAAATCCAGCACTAAGTAGCATTTAAGCCTTTACATTATTCAGTACACATTATGGGCCATTTACAGACTGTTATGATGTTACAGGAATCTTTCACATTATTCTGATGGCAAGTTTTTGTTTGTAGAAAATAAAACAAACCCAGTGGAAACGGATTTGTTGCTTTCAGCCCGTTCCTCTAATACCCCTAGAAAACGCCAATATGATGCACATTGCTGTGTGGGACAGTGCCTTTTTTGTTGCTACTACTAGGGGATCAGAAAATTCCAAATTATACACACATTATTGACACACATTCAAAAAATATATATTTTCCCAAAAGACTGGATCATTCAGGTTGAAATACAGAGTATATAAACCTTATTAATATACAACTGTGGTCAGCCAACAACAACTATGGTTATGTATGGTGCTACTGCAGTGCTGTCTACTGAGCTGAGCAGCTCTGAGTTGAAATGTTTACATAAAAAGGCCACAAGTGGGTTAACAGTATGTGGGACTGTCCTGTACACTGCAAAACGTTCCATAAAGTGTTAACTGGCCATAATGTATGTACGTTAAATGAACATATGAGGTTCCATTAGACTGAAAATGACAATTCTAGATCTCGCTGTCCTACATCAAAATGTGTTTGTCGCCATATGGTCTCGGCCAAACTAAAGTCCATTCTGAGTGAACAAGGGGTAGGCAAATAATGTGGAGTAAATGAGCGGTAAGAGCAAACACTCATTTGTTGCTGAGGACAATATGCACTAAGGATTACATGGCAGTTTGATTTATGTAACATAACTAATTGGTTAATAGAGTGAATTTCTGCTATTAAAAATAAAAAAAATGCTAGACAGCTTTAGATTAACATCCACTTCTTTGAGAAAAAGAGCTTAAATTATCCACTTCTTTCTTTCACATCAAACACTCAAACACAAAGCACTGTACAAAGAGTCAAGAGTCTGTGAGAGTAGACATCAGAAGCCACAGATTCTTATGCCAGTCTTCTGCACTCAATTTTTCTTTGAATAGAATATAGGCAGCAGGTGCATGGTTTTGGAAGTCAAAGAATTCAGACCAATTCAGACATCAAAATGAGGGCCAGCTATTGTCGGAATGAACGGTTTGATCAATGATTAAATAAATGTAAATAGTGTTCAACTAACACTCCACTAACATTCCAAATATTTTGTTCCTCTAAATACAGCTAACATTCAAGAGTGGCATGAAAATGTAAAATGAATTATAATATAAATTATATATCAACAAACTTGACTATTAGGAAAGAGACTGCAAAGGCAAGGCCACAAACACCAAAGAACAAAACAGTAACAACATTCATGAAGTTGACATACCGGGAAATGGTGGACAGACTGTTAACTGTAACAAGGTCATATGCTTTCTTTGATATTTTTCAGTTGTCATCCCCTTAGGGTAGCCATGGGTGTTTAGAGGAAATATTCCATCAGTTAAGGATTTTGTTCAGATGGTTTCCCAGATTTCTTCTTTCTTTTACCAGTTCAGACGCTTCCACCAGCCCTGGAGGTTCAGGCCACTAAATGGGTGTATCTGTGTGTTATTTTAATACTCGTTAAATAGAAAACACAATATTAAACACAATTTACATTGCGCTTGTTTTTGATTTTGGAAAGTAAACTCAATAAAATAGATCAGAGCATTAAGAGGATAATTTATGATTTTAGGTCAGTTCGTAGTGAATTATTCACAGGCTCTGTGAGTTTACACAATTTGTTACAAATGAGCTTGATTTGAATGTGGGACTGTTGATCACATGATTTTCCAACATCCACACTTTGGGTTCTTTGTTAGTTTTATAGGAAGTTTTTTATTTAACACCTACAGCAGCAGGATGTGTCCTCAGACGACAGAATGCCTACAGTTCATTCTTCAGATTGAGGAGGGACTCAAATTCACAAATTATAACCGAGATGTACAGCATAAAAAAAAACATGTGAATTTAATTTTAGGTTGCAATTGCCATTTGAGTGTTTAAAACAGTTGGATTTAATTTTTTTAATTCCTGGAAGACAACCATAATGTAAATCCTTCCATAAAACGAACTCATAACTCTGTTTTCCCCACATACAAACCCTAATCATTATTCAAGACCTATTTCCTACTGGACCTAACTTGCCTGATCCAACTCACCTGAAGGTTGAAGTTTGGCAGCAACGACCGGAAAAACAGTGACAACGTGCTCTCATTGGATGCACCAACATGCTGCCTATATGCAGACACAAACACACACACACACACACAGAAGTCTCATTAAAGTGTAAATGCAAATTGACAAAGCCTGGTGGTTTGTGCACAGGTATGTGGGTCCTCCAATACCTCTCTGGTCGGGTATACGACATCACTGAGTCCAGTGGAGGCAGAGGGTCAAAGCCCATCACAGGCTGACTGGTCACCTCCTAAAGATGTCAAACAAATGAACAGGATTAGCGTCGTTTCCTCAGGGATGCAGTTCAGAGATACAGGAACACTCCAGAGGTGATCAGCATTATATTGATACTTTAAAGCCAGATGTGGAAACAATTTATCGGGCCAAGTTTCTCTAGCTTTGTTGTCCCAACAATCATACGTACACTTGTAAACACAGATTATAGGATAATCTGAAAGTCTGTGAGTTACCACTGGTTGTACATTGGTAATATATTGTTACACTTCTTCTTGGTGTTCCTTTTGTTGTGTTGCCTTGGGTGACCATAATTATGATTCAGAAAGAAAAAACACAACAAATTTATCAGAGAAAACATGTCTTTTTCCATATTGGATTGAACAGTTTGATACATCAAATGCTTTGTTGTATTTTTGTTTGTTGGCTTTGTGTTAATGGTATAAATGAATTCATAAAAAAACCAAAAAGCTATATATGGTTACATCTATGGGAAATTAAATATGGGCATGTGTAATCTCAAATTTGATCCACAGACTGGTAGTGTAAAATCTGAGTTATAAATCAGAGAGCATTGGCGCATGCAGATAAAGACCATCTCAGACTGGGACCTCGGGGATCGAGAGACCACATGTTTCTTGTAGTGTGATTATAAATTCTTTCCTTGCTTGTGAACATACTTAAAATTTGGATAGCATATTTGAATTCTGATCCTACTGATTTTACCTCTCACCCTTAGTGTCTATTGGGGAGTGGATTGAGGACTGAATACAGTGAATTGTGTTAAAGTGTGGTTGTTTCTCACTAGAGGCAGGCTTGATGTGGCTTCTTTGATTTCAGAGAGGAGAACGTGGCGATGGATGTTCCTTGGTGCACTCTGATACCTCTGCTTTCTCCTAAAACAGAGCGAAGAATAAATGCTAACATATGGAGCATAACTGCACAGAAATGTAGGCAGCAGAGTAACTATTGATATCTTACTTATTTTGGCAGTCCTCCACCTGAGGGTCTTTGGCATCAACTCGACGAAGCACCTCTTTCACAGACTCTTCCAGCCACAGCATTACTGCTGCCTCCCTCCACAGGCTGCAAGTCCTCCCCACATACAGTGAAGTAAGTTCAGCCAGGGCTGGGGGCTGCCTAGAGACATAAAGCAGGATGAAATTTCAAAGTGGGAAGAGGAAAAAAACAATACAATAGACAATAATATAATGTATTAGTTATAATAAATGGCAATACAGTATAAATTAAACCATGCTATATTAATATCACAGTTACATTTCATGGAGGTAATTGCTGGATTTGCAACACTCCACAAATGGAGAATACATTACCCTATCTGACTCTTTGGGCCAAAGAAGGCATGTGCAGTGACTGTGGAATCTGGCTGCACAGTACACAGATCCAGTAGAGGCATCAAGACTGCAGAAAACACATTTACAGCAAAATATATGTGAAAATACACATGTACAACTTCTTTGATGTGAATGGCAAGTGATACTTACTATACTGACTGAAGCGATCATGTCTAAATATTTATATAATGGTAGTGGTTCATTTCAAACCTCCAGGGAACATGATGAGAGAGTCTTGCAGCATCAGGTCAGCTTTGTGTCTTTCTTTGTTACTTTCTTCAGGATCCATATCTTCCTGCTGACTGAGATGGAAATGGCAAAGTGCAGTGGAGAATGCAAAATTTGGCAGCTGGGACAGATTCCTGTGCACCTGAAACGTAAACAAACCATTACTGTATCTCACTGAAAAGGTAACACTGGAACACTAACACACACACACACACACACAAACACAAACAAACACACACAGACAGAGGGTCCAAAATTAACACAAGCCAAGCAACCAATGAAGCAAAATTAAAAATAAAGTGGGGTCACCGGTGGCCGGTAAATAATTTGGAATAACAGTGCATTCACAGGTTTACATTGATGTGTTTTTAGATGCACTGGCTGAGACTAATATAAAGCTCAAAACGTTCTACTTTTAATTACTGTTTTTAGTCAAATATTGCATGATGCAGCTGACTGCTTGACTGCTAAACTTTCTCAGTTTAGCCAAAAAAGTTCATTTTGGACCCTGTCTGCAAATGGTAGCACACTTTACCTCCCAGTCCTGATATAACTGGAGGAGAGACTGGTACTCTCTGGAACGCAGCGTCAGGAAATCAATGAGCAGGAGCATGCAAAGTGGGTCAGAGTCTGGGTCCAAACTGAAAAGAGACCACAAGCAAATGATTACTACAAGCACCAAAACACAGACCAACCAAATATCTGAATCCAAGTTCAATTAAGAGTCTCATCCCACACTCCAGAAAATCTTGGTCACTGCTGTTCTGTCCATGAAACACACTGCTGGTTATAGCTGAGATTTAGCTTAAATTCAAATATTCCCACTTTTGTGTGTGTGTTTGAAAGGGGAGGGTGAAGTGCGGGAGTTGCATTCTACAACTACACCGTTAGAAGCCACTAAATCCTACACACTGGTCCTTTAAGTAACCATGGTGTCTTTCGCAACTGACAACGAAATAAGTGAATTAATAATGATTTTGTCAGTTATTGCTCGAAAAAACACAACAGGCGAATAAAAATACGATTGTTTCTTTTCTCTAAAACAGTGGATTTCAGTGTTAATCATATTATATGCGGGTTCAAAGAGTGCATTTTAAGATTATGTTATCAATCACGTTGGCATTTTAAGTTAACTGTGATTTAATAAGTGCTGGTTGGAGGAGGACAGCTGTCAGCTTTTATTCCCATACTGCTGCTTTACAAAAGGACCAGAACATAGCTGTCAGGAAGCCAGAGTTAGATGAAAATTATAGATAAGCATTGACCATTATATGGATAGGCTGTAAAACTAAAGCTATGGCAGACTGATGGCTGCAGTGCATGGGAATAGCCCTCAAAGTGTGCATAAAGCCTTACATAAGTAGTGTCTGTACAAGCATGATACAGGAGGTTTTATGTTATGTAATGAGGTTTAAAACACTTACAGTGACTGTTTTGTGGTTTTTATTAGCAATTTATATTTATTTATATTAACATGTGTTTCACTATGTCAGTGTTATAAAGTTTAATAAAAAAAACAACAACTTCATCATCAATAAAACAGCACACATTGGGGATGTGTATGCCTGAAACACATACTCAATAGTTTTTCACCTTGAAATAAGTTTAAGGTGTACATCATCACTCTGCACAGATAAAAGGTGATATAACCATAACCTACAACAGCCAAATTGTTACTTGACTACCCTCTGTTCCTGAACAGGATTACCACTGGCAGAACACAAACCAAATAGCTGAGTTAAGTTTCTTTGAAGACTATCTCCCAAGTCTGATGACTGCTGTTGGTGATTATTTTATTCAAGGAAATAAGAGTTCTTTTTGTTTAGCTGACAAGCCATGTGATCATATGCAATTCTTTCCTATGAGATGTCTAAACTGCCACCTTCCTTCTCTTTGTAGAAATAGAGAGGGTCAGAGATAATTGGAAACAAAGTAGACAAGTTAGTCATAAAGAGGCCGTGGCCATAATGACTGTAACTGAGGTAAAAGTTAAGTTATTGGGCAGCATTTAAATTGAGAAGCTTGCATCCTTATCTCTCTCATTTTACATTTTCCCTTTAACTCAATATACACTACTCACAAAAAGTTAGGGATATTCCACTTCGGGTGAAATTTATGGAAAATGTAAAAAGTTGATGCTACAGTGATATTATATCATGAAAGTAGGGCATTTAAGTAGAAGGTCAACTTAAGATCACCTGGAAAGGTTATAGTGCATTTTATGTACATTCTGAAATTTCACCCGAAAGCCAAATATCCCTAACTTTTTGTGAGTAGTGTATCTTATCTTTTCCCGCTGCTTGAGCTTTTCCCCTCGTACCTCAGGATCAGTTTGCAGTACTCCAAAGCCGTCCGTGGGCATCCTCTCTTCTCCAGGAACATCATGTGTTTATAAAGAGCCAAATAAAATGCCCTGCAAACAGAGATAATTGAATCATTGAATTGTTGAGTCCTGTAAACTCAAATTAACGGTCCAGTGTGTAACACTTCGGAGAATGTATTGGCCGAAATGGAATATAATATTCATTCGTATGTTTTCATAAGTGTCAAATCATCTGAAAATAGGAACTGTTGTGTTTTTGTTATATTAGAATGAACTGCTTTTATCTACAGCGGGTCCTCTTCCACAGAGGCTCCCATATTTCTACAGAAGCCCAGAATGTACAAACCAAGAACTGACTCTAGATAGGGCTACCATAGTTTCTCCTACACGTTAGGAAGGCTTAGCTATATTCAAACCATTGCAATAAACAACCTCGCCACTAAATGCCACTTAATCCCACACACTGGTCCATTAAGTTACAAATAATAATCTGGGGGGACCCAGCCTCACAAAAGCAACATGTCTGACAAAAGCAAAAAAATAGGGAAAAACCAACCTGTTCTCTGGTCTCAGATAATCAAGTCTGCAAGTACCTGAGGTCAGACTGAATAAAGGGTGAAAAGCGCACTCAAAGCTGTACAAGGCCCTCTCTGAAAAAAACAAAAAGGGAATTTATACATTTTCACAGAAGTATCAGCAAGCTGGGTATGTCACAGTATAAAGAAAGCACTACTAAACACAGGGTTGTGCCAGTTATGTTCTTTTTACAGGTCACTTCACCAGCAGGGCTTTCAAAAACACCCAAACTGAAAACCACTGTCTTTATTTCTCTGCCTTATGTTAAAGTTCATCCGATGTTATTAAATTAGCCAGGGTATAAGACAAATGCCCTTTGTTGAATGATCCCTCTGGCCTTCTTCTACATAAACTATTTTAGCTATCCGGTCAAGGGGAGGGCCCGTGATAATAAACCTAGTATTGTGCTTTTCATGGACCATGAACTTTGATTTTTTTTTTTCAAACAATGGCTGTTTTGTTGATTTGAAATCTACAAAATCACACTGACACTCAGCACAAAAATAACCACAATTATTTCGCTTGATAATCTGACAAAAATTAGTAAGCAGCATCTTTGGCATCTTATATCAATATTTTGAATAGTTCTAACAAGTAAAGACTGTAAGTGAGACATTTTTATTTATTTTTATCTATTTTTCAGATAATGTCAGAATATTTTTCAGATAATTGTAAGAATGTCGCTTCACAAGAATCTTTAAAGAGTTCACATAACCGGCACCTGAGAACTTTGATCATTATTGCTAGAGGGAAGTGTTTGCCATTGTGGTATTGCTTACCCACCGACAAGAAAAAAAACAGGATAAAAATGGAAATGTTTGGTACTTGATTTTGTATGATACCATGTAGTGCAATAAAAACATTGATATGGTCAAAATGCATTTATAACAGGAATAACTGTTGTAACAGAAAAATACTTTTTTTTAAATTGTAAGGGCAAAGGGAATGATTTGTCATGCCCTTAATGAAAGAGTATCCTTGTTGGGAGAAATTAAGAGATAAATTAAAAATGACAAATGTACAGCACGTCCCCTGGTAGTTATAATGACAACAGTTCATGTTTCTGCAAAAATCTGGTGTCAAAAAAAGTACAAAATTAGAACAGAAGGTGCGTTTGTAGTAAGCAGGCTCTGTTTATGCAAGAAAAAACTCATTTAGCATTCAACGCAGACCAATAACTTCTGGGTTAATACTTGATAACAGCTTAAAAATATAGGAAGAAATCATTACACACTCAATGGAACAAATAATACTGTTTTTTTTTAAATTTTAAGTTACATTAATCTGTTGGACTTACAAATGATTCTGGTCAAACATAGTGGATCCCTGGGTATGACTCTAAAACACTGCTTATTAATTTGATACCTGGGTCATTGCTGGGCCCTAAACTCATTTATAGTCTTGTCTTTGATTTAGAATTTATATGTATATAGGATGGGTCAAATGCAGGGGACAAGTTTATTTTCATGTATGTAAAATGCTGTAAATGCTGTATATACTGTGAAAATGACAATAAAAAGACTTTATCTTTTATATAATTAATGGAAGGAGCCTATAATTCTCACCTATGAGGTCCCTGGCCATCTCCTGATCCTCCTGTATGCGGCAGACATCAGAGAGCTGCAGCAAGGAATCAATGTGGTAGGGGTTAAGCTGTAGCAGGGCCTGGGGAGAAAAAGATGAGATGGACAAAGACATTAAGTCAGAAGAACAGAAGAAAATGTAATAAAGTTGTATGTTTATGAACGAGGATATTTTAATTGCATCTGTCCATTGTTTATACTGATGATGCTTCCACAGTGTAATTTCATGCCCATTCAGGATAACACTAATTTTATGGATCCATGAAAACATCAGTACTGAGGATGCCTGATATGAGAAATTGAAGTGCACAGCAGAGATTAACTTCTTTTTACCACAATGTTGTTGGGATCCATGGACTCGACAGCATCCAGGAACTTGAACTGTACTTGCTGGTAGTCCCGACTGTGCTCAAAGGTGAAGTACTGAATGCCATCTTTTGACTGCAGTAAGGTCATCGAGATTCCTGTAGAGATGTTAAGCAGATTTAAGAACAACACCACATGACACCACAGGCTGATGCAAAGTGAAGATATATTAAATCATTATATTTATATTAAATATGAATATATATATATATATAATTGAATACATTTAATATTAAACACTAATAGAATTGAATAATCAAGAGTACATGATGAGATGAGCCCAGCAAAAGTGCAAAAGTGTTTTATTAACATAAAAAAGTTATAATCACAAAACTAATGATTCCAGCTGTAACTTTGTTTACTTGCACTTTAACATTACTTTTAAAATTAATAAAATGATTGCCTACTTATTATAAATAAATAAAAAACATGATTTATTGAAGCTTTTGCTGCCCATGATTATTTGTTTGCTGTTTGAATTTTGTGTCTACACTGTCTGTACTAAAATAACTGTAAATCATGGTCAACAGAAAAAAACAACAGTATTAATCACAGAGAGACCCTAACGCAAGAAATCCTAGATTTTAGCGGTGATGTTATGAGTGGTAACTTCCATATTGCATAGTTTGGGCCTCAACCTTATTATAAAGGACTATTCCTGCATAATTGTCAAAGTGAGCAAATATCTGAAGTATGTACAGAGCTGTTCATAAGCACCGGCTGCCTGCCAAACAGCCAACTACTCATGCTCTACATGAATGTGAGTTTGTGTGTGTGTGTGTGTGTGTGTGTGTGTGTGTGTGTGTGTGTGTGTGGGTACATGCTCAGCTGAGGGGGTTTGTCCAGCCGAGTAGAGAGCGGAGACAAATAAAATGATGACGAAACGCATTAAGAGTTGCATTGATTGCACAAAATGGGATACCTCGCAAAACGCTGTAGCCAGCAACTTGACGATTGAGCACTAAGCATCAAAAAGTCCACCAAAAGCGCTGCATTTCCCATACACACACCACACAGACGTTTATGAGCTTAATGAATTAGCTAATTAATGACTTTATTTACACTGCAGTTTTTACAACAGAGCCGTCTCTAAGATGCATTGCAAACAACAACAACAAGTAACAGGCCTGTCATTTGAGAAAAATTTAGGCAACGTTTCAGCCTTATATATATATTATTATATGTAACTAATGTCAGATGCCCTAAATTATGCTTTAAAAATAAAATATGGTGTGATGTAAACTGCCTGTAATTTATATGCTAAAGTATATATATTTTGCCACACTTTATTAGTTTACATTAATGGTCATCCTGTAACCTGTGAGTCATTTTCTTCTGCTTTGTGTGTAACAAAGTGAATGTTCATTCTTAAATTATATCTTTATATATCATTTTGTCTTTTCTCATATCAATAGAGAAGAAAAGGGAGAGGAGAGATACCAACCAAAAGGAAATTTCAGTGTAGTGGAAATCAACAGACTCTGACGGGCTTCTTAAAGAAGAAAACTGCTGGTCAGTTGTTCAAGATTAATTAATTAATTAATATCAGAGTTTATGATTAAATAGTTGTCTTAGAATGTTCTAGAGGCCCCCCAAATTTTTATCTGCTATCCTTATAGAAAGCCGAGGATGTACTACGCGTACTGAAAGGGCAGGGTTTGTCACTTTAATAGCTACAAACATTTGTGGGAAAAATAATCAAATTTAACCATGGCATGAAAGGAAAGATTACACAATGCATCAAAGGTGACTTTCAGTATGAACACAATGAGGCAGTCTTTCTGATGACGTCAGTATTACAAAAACAACATTCAGACGATTTTATGCTGGCTAAATATAAGAATATATATTGCTACTAAGGTAGTTCAAGACTCTCACCACTAATCAATCGTTGGTTGTGCTTCCTTCAGACTACAAGGTGCATAACTATCTAAAAGTGCTGTGGGCTGTTTATGTACTTGTCAATTTTAATTATGTATAATAAAAACAGAACAAATAAAGACCTCTAAATTGCTATAATTTGCTGTACGATGGTTTAAACTAAGACTCTAATATAATAACTTAATATCCTTAAATAAATAAGCCCATATAGATAGTTAGATGGAAAGTGGTCTGAAAAGAGATAGAATCTGAAATTGTCATAATTACAATTTTGTGCGTCTGTTTTTGCATATAAATCTTCGACCACTGGGCCACCATGACGCCCATTTTTAACTGCATTAAACTACTATTTGTGCAAGCGCTTGGAATATAAACAAAGGACAGTCATTAAAATTGCCAGATTGCTTATTTGAAATTATACATTTAAAAAAAAAAATGTTGTTTTAAAAATGTCCCGATTATGAGTTATTAATGCGGCAAGTCCGAATCTGGGAATATATTGCCAACTGCCATTGAGGCGCATGCGCACTTCTTTTCTCATAATTATGACTTTTTATCTCATAATTTCGACTTATTATCTCATAATTTCGACTTACTTTGAAGATATTTTTATTATCAAGACTAAGTTTTATTTGTCTTTTTTTATAATTCAGATGACTGAAAGGAAAAGCCTACCTGGGCGGCTAAAGCGGGGCCAGCTGTCCTTGGGACTGGTCATCCAGGTGCTACGGTGAAACTGTCGGTTTCTCTGACGAGGTCTGTCAAAAGAAAACAGGGGAAAAAAGGGAAATGAGCACACGGATATAATCTACATACAGTGGCAAGAAAAAGTATGTGAACCTTTTGGAATTTTATGGTTTTCTGAATAAATTTGTCATAAAATGTCATCTGATCCTCATCCAAGTCAAGGGTATTGACAAATAAAATGTGTCTAAAATAATATTTTTTTGATCTTTCATGTCTTTATTGAGAACAACCAAAAAAACCTCATAGTGCTTGTGGAAAAAGTATGTGAACCCTGGAGTTAATGACCTCAAAAAAGCTAACTGAAGTCAGGTTTTAGCACACCTGGAGTCTCGTTAAGATAATAAGTTTGGAGGTGTGGACTACAGCTACATTGACTCATAAAAACCCCTCAAATGTTTGGAGTTTGCGCTGCACAAGAAGAACATGCTTATGTGAGCCATACCTCACACTTTAGAAATTCACCAGTCAACAGTTAGGCAAACAATCTACAAATGGAGACACTTTGGGACTGTTGCTACTCTACCAAGAAGTGGGCGCCCAGTCAAAATGACACCAAGAGCACAACGAAGACTCATCAATGAGGTAAAGAAACAACCCCGAATGACAGCCAAAGATTTGAAGGCATCATTGGAACTTGCTAACATCTCTGTTCATGAGTCTACAATACGTAAAACACTGAACAAGCAGGGTATCCACGGCAGGACACCACGAAGGAAGCCACTGATTACTAAAAAGAACATTGCTGCACGCCTGAAGTTTGCAAAAGAGCACATTGACACTCCACAGCGGTATTGGCAAAATGTTTTGTGGACTGATGAAACTAAGATTTAACTATTTGGAAAAAACACACAGCACTACATCTGGCGTAGAAAGGGCACGGCATATCATCATGAAAACATCATCCCAACCGTAAAGTATGGTGGAGGAAACCTCATGATTTGGGCCTGCTTTGCTGCATCAGGGCCTGGCCAGTGTGGAATCATTGAGGGGAAGATGAATTCCCAATTATATCAGACAATTCTTCAGGATAATGTGAGAATGTCTGTACATCAGCTGAAACTGTATAGAAGGTGGGTGATGAAACAGGACAACGACCCAAAACACCGGAGCAAGTCCACAACAGAATGGCTTCAGAAAAACAAAATCCTCCTTTTGGAGTGGCCAAGTCAGAGCCCAGACCTCAACCCAATAGAGATGCTATGGATTGACTTGAAGAGGGCCATACACATGAGACGTCCACAGAATATGACAGAGCTAAAGCAGTTCTGCCAGGAAGAATGGGCTAAAATTCCTCCTCAACGATGTGCAGGTCTGATCCACAGCTACAGGAAGCGCCTGGTTGAGGTTATTGCTGCCAAAGGGGGGGTCAACCAGTTATTAATTCTAAGGGTTCACTTACATTTTGAATGTTGAATGAGTGTTCAATAAAGACATGAAAGATCAGAATTTTTTTTGTGTTATTATTTTTAGACGCATTATGTTTGTCAATATCCTTGACTTAGATGAAGATCAGATCACATTTTATGACAAATTTATTCAGATAACCATGAAATTCCAAAAGGTTCACATACTTTTTCTTGCCACTGTATATTGAGGGTGTAGGCCACTTCCAAACCAGGTTGCAAATATTTTCCTTTTCTTTTTACCTTTGGTCCCCTTGAACAGCTCGAGCCCCAAAATATCGTTTCAGCTCCGTCTCTGGGTTGAGATTCCTAATGAATTGAAAGGGAAAAAATAACATTCAACTCTTGACAGGCGACAATGTGGGCCAGGACAAGATTCTACAACACAAATGAAACTAATCAAAGCATGATTCTGATATTGTTTTCCATTTTATTTATATAGCACCAATTCATAACAATCTGCATGGTTGCATCTCTGAAGACAGCAGCCTTCATGACATTACATGCTTTGCTACCAACAGAGATGCATTTATCAGCTAATTGAAATGACTTGGTTCGACATTGATGGTTGTGTGGCCAGATGTGCAACATGTTAAAAAAAAAAAAAGCTTTAACCAGTGTTGATTCACTGCAATGTACAGTATCCCCTGAGATGGACAGCCTCCAGATAGTTTGCTCTTCCTGTGTAAGCCAAGCGCCACCACATGGAGTGAATTATGAATCACAGAAATGTATGAATGTAAACGATGCTACTCAGTCAGCCACTGATCAAGTCAATTCAGCTGTCAAGTCAAGAGCTGTTTCAGCATTACTACTCCAATAAACATATGTATAAGTGTGTTATTTTGAAGCCTAAATTTATTTAACACAATAACTATTTGAATAATATAGTAAACTAGAACCCAGAGTCTTGTGTGCATGTAGATGTACAAATAAAATAATAATAAATAAATACTTCACCACCAAGTCAAGTCTGGGAAGTTAAAGAAAGGTATCGCCTCACCTGTGCTCCACATGTAACACTGATCTTCTGTCAGAGCCTCCACAATCCTCATTTTGCAAACTCAGACCATTGGACTGCTCCAGGTTCTCCAGCAGTAAATCAATGTTATCATCTGGTACAGCCTCCTGGAAGTCATTAAAAAAACCCACAGTGAATAAACCACATTTAATTGTTTGCTTTTAGCCTAAAAGTCAACAATTTAGTGCATTGTGTGTGCAGTACTTCTTTCTAGCTCTGAAGAGTGTTTGTAAGATACTTTTGAATATGAATAATTAAAGAGTACATATGACTCATTATATTATAGTTTTACAACTGTCATGCCAGAGCAGATAAAGATTCCCTTCTCAACACATTTACCTGCCCATCGTCTGACGTCACTTTTGTCTTCTTCTTTTTCTTCTTCTTTTTAACTCTATCTCCAGAAGATGAAGACTGAAGAAAGAAAAGAGAGGTGACAGCTTAATATATGCAAAGATGTACACTTAGATCAGCAGAACATTTAGGTCAAATCAGAGGAACACAAAAAGACACATGGCTTTATATTTACCTTTGTAGATCCTTCCTCTTGCTTCTGCTCCGGTTTCTCAGTGTCTCTGTTATCATCATTCGCCAGGCCACTTGTTTTATTTCCATCTGGTTTCTCTGCCTCTTCATCAGGTGAGATTTTCTCTGCCTCATTGTCTGCATCACCAATCTAGTAAAAATGTGAAATTGGCAAGCAAGTGTTAAATAATGCAGTGCTAAACATGAGTAAAAACCCCATATCTAGATAGAAAAAAGCCTCCAACATCAAGACAACAACATATGTTCCTTAAATATTTCCATGGTTGAAATACTCTCTGTTGTGAACTATAGCTTGTGGATCGTTTGTGGCGTGAATAAAAAGTAAGTGTAGACCAATATTGTGGTTGGTGTAGCTCACTTTATATAAAGTGAGCTACATTCTTCTTCAATCTTTATTAAAAGGCAAGGCCAGTATGAATCCACTATCAACTTTATTATCTGCTTTAATAGCTGTGAACATTCACATCCACATCTGTTTGATCAACAATGAATAGATAAATACTTTACCACAAAGTAAACAAACACTGTAACTGTAGGGGTAAGTTGCATCAGGCGCAAATTAAAGTCTAATGTTAGCTTTGTTGTCAGTGTTCAGGAAGGTGAAATAGACCAATCCCAATCATTTTCTAGTGTGACAGACAAACTGTTAGCTAACCTTAAACTACAATTGAATACAGCTGTGAGTTTGGTTAAATAAGACGAGCTAACGCCACACGGTTAGCATGTGTTAGCAAGGTCTATCAACAGTGAGCTCTAACATTCACATTTGCTTGGAGGAAACACAAACTCATGTTATGTTACAAGAAACACCCACGCTGCGGAATTACACCGTCACCTTACCAATTCATAAATGTTGCTGAAGTTTTTCTGAGCCTTGTTTTTCTTTGCTTTTCGGCCACTGCCTTTCCTTTCAGACAGGGGAGAAACATTAGCCGAGTCCAGCTGCTCCTCTTCGGCCGCAGCTTGCTCCTCCGGGCTCTCAGCCAAAGTTAGATCTCCCAGATCCAGGGCCTCCTGACCCCGCTGTTTCCCCTTGAGTCTTCGCAGAGCCCGGGTAGACATTGTCCGCTACTCGTGGGACACATACACTTCAATATTGGCGATTAAAATAGTTTTCAGTTAGCTGACAGACACAACAAACCAATGCAATGAGGGTGAATCCTAATGGTTTCTCTTTCTTCTTCTTCTACCTGTCGAAACGTTTCCGAGTGTGCTAGCGCCCTCCACAGGATAGACGGAGAATTACACCAACTACAACTATTAGTTCCTATCAATGTCGATTCTTTTACAGGGGCCAATTATATTAATCAAATCACTGTAAATGTTAGCCAAGTATCTAAGTTTTAACTATTTGATTATAATAATTATCTGTCTAAACTTAACTATGTGTCTGTCTGTCTGTCTGTCTGTCTGTCTGTCTGTAACAATAAAACAAACAGTATGTAAATCAGAACAGGAGAAACAAGTAATACATAAGGCAGCTAAACAGACTATTCAAGGATAAAGATTTAAAGTGTGACTTGACTTGTAATATGCAGATTTGTAAATACACAATGTAGGCAGCTGATACATACATTAGACACCATACATTGAAAACAGTTGGCATGAGCAGTGCCAAGACAATAGTATCCATGTTCATAATGTCTTGGCATGTAGGAACAAATTGCCTTTCAGTCGGTGGTTCTTCCTCGCCAGACAAAATACAAAAAGAAGAAATTACCAACATTTGACAATCTCCTACAGGTCTCAGGACTGCGAAGTTTGCATTCAGTCTTCTTATTCTGCCAAGCGATACAATATCCATCCTTTTACATTTGAATTACAACAAAAATAAGTTGGACATGTGTTTGTTGATATGTTTCTACAAGATTCCTTTTATATTTTAAAGTCATTCTAAATAAGCTATTCCCTTGATATTTACCTTGTGGAAATTTGTATTAGACTATATATTTTGTTCATTTATTTTAAAGTTAAAATTTGTAATTACTTTGAAACAGCCTCAGAGTATAAAATGTCTGTTTGTAGTTCTCTCCTGTAGCAGGAGGTGGCAGCATTAATCCAAAATTGCCTGAACAAGACAGACAAGTTTTTAAAATAACTTGAATTGGTACGTATTGGTATGAGCTCAGCACTACAGGCTGACACACTCAATTGTCATTAATTATTAACCAAATCTTATTGAGTTGGTTATAGGTAAAACTAATTTAAAAAATGTACACAAGACACAGGACTTTAACTAAGAACTATTTATTAGAGGCATTAAAATATATTGATGATACTCTAAATCCATCCAAGTACTGTACATTGGTTGTGTCTCACATTTCACAGCCCCACAAACTAAAATAAGGAAGTATCATTATTACCATACTACCTCTGTAGTTTCCACCCAGACTCCAGCTGCTCAAAAGGTCAGCTGTTGCCAACAAAAAGAAAACCTGAAACACGTGAAAAGACATCCCACCAGCTGGCAGAACACGTCTGACAACCTGCAGCAAAGCCAGATATATTCCATCTTAAGTCAACAGAAGATGGCAATGACACAAACAATGTGAGAAAAGAAACTCGTGAGAAAAGAATGGGAAATTCTGATGTATTGAAATTCAGTCTTGAAAGAAGGAAGTTGCAAATGTCATTACTTAAAATAATTTTCCAGAGGAAACTATTAAAATAAAACACATAAACGTACAAACACACAACATGATTCAAGGGGCATGCAGGATTTATTTACAAGACATAAAAATACAGAATAAAATAATGAATGGCTAATATCCGCCACATACATATGTGCCAATATGTTAATCATAGCAAACAGTGCTATGTAGTCCTACTGTATTTTGTTTAATTGACTTCAAGAAATACTCAAATACATACAGATTAAGAACAAAGGGTAAGTAAAAAATAAAATATATGGTGGTTGGAGCAGAAGACAGGCACTCGTTTGCACTTTTACAACAGCAGTGATCACTTACAGTCTTATGACTTGACAATATCCGTATGTGGTTGCCACTTAGCAGCTATAGCACTTACAATAATCTCCTGCGGCATGTTTTTGTTTTGTTCAAAAGTAAAATATGACATTCCCTTTAGAAACATTTTGCTCTGTTTTCAAGATATTTGTCTGCAGGTTGAGGTATGAAGGTGGACCCAACATGTAGTCCAGTCACTAGCTTCACTACACTTCAGAAAACTATTCATTTGTCCAGAATCACAGAGTCTGGTGACGCCCCACTCTGAGTGGTTTTGATGGGTTTAATTGTACCAAGATCTCAGGCAGACAGCGGGAAGGGATAGAGGGAATGGGACACAGGACCGGTTACTCATTGTCAGTGACAGAGATGGGGTTGTCATAGGCTGCTCCCTCCAGGTCGTCTACCCGTTTCCTGCGTATCTCTGCAGGAGGTCTTGGTGGTGGATTCTGGGGAGGATTCTTGATGCTCTCTGTAATAGGCTTTCGGACCTCCTTTCTTGGAAGAATGGGCTCCCAGTGTTCACCTCGGATAGCAGCCTGGAAAACAAGAATACGACGACACAAGTTAGTAATGGTTGGCCAGTCTAAGACCAAGTCAAGCCCCACCCCGGTTTGGTCAGATTTCACAACTGCAGGCTTGGCCATGTCTCAACAGAGGTACCAGTAATCTCTTCCTTGTTGCTATTTCCTTGTTTCCGTCAACTGTCCACTTTATCAAAGTTGACTAAAACCTGCTATACTGGAGATTAATGAAGTAAAATATACCAACTTACCACCAGATAGATGAGGCTGGCAATGCCGAGGCAGACACATCCGAGGACAGTAGCAAGCATAAAACCTCCAGGTACACAGATTCTGAAGAAAGACAGAAAGGGATTTTGAGGACAAAAGACCATAAGGATTGACATGGAGAGGAATGTTGTCTAGCAAAGGAAAAGTGACTAAGATAATTGACTTACGCTGCATGTAAAAATGCTCTGACATAATAGTTCCTTGTCAGTGGCCCAAAGGCCTTTACACACACAGTAAAGCAGTACTGGCCCCTGGGAAAAGAACAAGAGGCAAGAGTGAGTGAGAAGCTTCGCTGGCGATCAGTTGCCAAAAGTACAGCCAACATGTTACAAAAAAAATAAAAAGATATGAAAATGACATCACTTACGATCTCTCCACACTCGTGCCCTTGGACCTCTTGCTTCTGGGATACTCAAGTAGACACACAAACACCCCAGCAGCACTGGTTATCTGTCAAGGCTATTTTATCTTACAGTGTTCCACTAAGACACATAATGACAATGAGAGGACATTCAACGGAAATTTAAATCAACGTCTGCAACCCCGAGCAGGCTCAGTAGGTAAAGAAAAAAATGGAAGGACTGATTTCCTTATACGCCGAATATGGTAAGAACGCATAGATGAAAACTATTTCTAGCATGTTGTGTTGTCACTAGTGTAAAAATATGATGACTCATGTATGGAAATGGGAGCAGACACACTGCAGAGACTTGTTATACATTGATCGAAGCCATGTACTTTTAGACTTGTGACTTATTCATCCTTACGCATGCAATTAAAGGCTGTTATAACAGCAGCGAAGCATGTAGGTGTTAAATTCCTTCTGCACAAACCTCAGTTTAGGTAAATTTCACATTTATGATTGTAGATATTTGAACAGGGACTCTGAACACATTTTCAGAGAGAGACAACTTGATATTCTCTCAAACTCTATCGTTTAGGTTTCTGTAAAGTTTAAAGGATACACTGCATAAGCAGCAAACTGCCAGCCTCTGAACTGTCCAGCCACCCCCACAATGCCTCCAGTGAGGAGAACTGAAAGGAAGAAACAGGAAGATTAAACAAAAGTTTTAAATAAACGAAACACCCTTTATGACTGCACTCAGAGCGAGAAGCCCATGATGAATTGCATATCGACTAGACTCTGAAATGCAGTTTATTAATCATTAATTATTCAGGATTTATGTGTTATTAAAGCAGTTGACTCAAATGATTGTTATTCTGTAATAAAATGAATAAGCAGCATTAATACAATCAATAAGCTGGAAGCTAAAAAACACAATTTCCTACTAAGTCTCCTGTCTGAATTAAACTGCTCGTTAAAAGGACGTTCATGTCCGATTCATTGATGTAACTTTATTTTTCTTTTCTTTTTTTTTCTATCTTTAGAAAATGTTTTTATACTCACTAAGTCCCGAAGCCAGAGCCTGCTCGTTGGCCCACATCGCCCACTCTATTTTCCCCATCGTGTTCACCTAAACAAGCCCTCTGCAGTCGGCTGTCACTGTCCAGAGATGGACTCACTACTTTTGATGCTCTCTACAAGGAAGCAAATGTATTTACGTGATCCGAGGTGCACAGATGAGCATGCTGGGGGCGGGGCTTATTGGTCCTCGTCATTTCCGGTACATGTAGCGCAACAATCGGAGAGGACGGGCCAACCAATCAAACTCACCCGACAGGTAAGATAAAGATAGAACAGGCAGGTGCGGTTCGTGAATACCCTTGTTAATTGTCTTCGGGAAGTGATTGAGAAAGTCTATAAACAAACGTCAGATTTTTTTTCCCATACAAGAATTATCTTTTAATGTTGTCATAGTTGACTCAGGTGTTTTTTTTTAAATACAATTTTAAGTGCTTGCTATGCTATGTGTCATTCTTTATGTTTCATTTTTTGTTGAAATATAAAGTTAGGAACCTACTTAATGTTCCTAATTTTAAAAATTAAAATATAAAGAATGAAGGGAATTCTGTCTGATTTTCATTTCCTTTTCATACCTCTGAGTCTGTCCCTGAGAAATATAAATTCTAAATTGCAAAAGACGAATCAAAAGAAACAATTATATTGTCTAAAATATATTTATTTAATATCACAGAATTGACAGAGAGATGAGAGACACGTATTGATAATTAAACAAAGACATTAGCATCCACAGTGGTGAGGAAAGTACCTGCTGTTGCTGTGATTTGTAAAAACCTAGTTATATATGACTAATGCACATTTTATCTCTGCTTTATTATTGCTCAGTGGGACTTTGTCCATTCAGGGCTGCAGAGCATCACGCAGTTTTCTTAGGCAACCCATCAGATCCAAGTAGATGCTGAGCGGGATCTTCCACAACACAAGGGCCTGGTCCAGCCTTGAATACAAAACAAGAAATCATGTCACTGACTTACACCAAAGAACACACAGATCCTCTGTAGGTGTGTCTATGTGTTAACATCTAAAACTGCATCAAACTTCAAATGCTCTAATAATATTTAACCTGAATAAAGAGTGCTGTACAAATACTGGATTAACTGTCTAGTGTAAGGTCAGTAGAGGAGAGGAACTACTGTATATCACAATATGTGCCACAATTTTCAACTGAAGTCATGCAACATGATGTTATGTAAAAGGAAATGTGGACATAAATCTAACCTTGTCCCACAGAAACAGATAACGTTGATTTTAAGTTGCTGTTTAAGGTAAATTGATAAAAGAACTGAGCTATGGAGTGATTTTATCTGTGTGTACCTTGGTACTAATAATGTAGCTTATTCCCTTTGGCATGGGCTCTAGACCAATAGCCCGTTTCAGCTCCTCAGAAAGAGCAGCATGGTTAACTGGAAGACCCTTAATAAACCTGCAGAGAAGGAAGTAAAAGTCATTGACTCATTTCAAAGTGGGTGAAACACACACATTAATAAACAGCAGTGTATAACAGCTTATTTGGAGCCAAACAACAAACACCCATCTATGTTGTAAATTTATGTATATAATTTAAGTTTCTAGCTAAATTAATTACTTTGTATGTAAGCAGTATTTAGCAGAAAGCACTGTGCACTAAAGCTAAGAAGGTCTGGTAACTGTCAACTCACTGTCCTCCATTGCTCTCTGGGGGGAAGAAATGTTGAACTGCCTGAACAAACTCAGGAACATGCTGCTGCAGAATGAAGATCACAGCGTTGGGTCCTGCATCAAATGTGTAGGCCGCCTAGAGAGAAACAAACAGAATGTGTATAAGGAGAGAGTTTTTTCTGTTCCCCAGTTTGAAAACCACCCCAAGTTTCACATCTTCATTACACCATCTCAGAAATTCAGCTGCATGAACTGAGACAAGACATTCCACTTTTTCACGGCAGCTGTTACCATTCATTTTACTGTACAAAGAACTGAAACTATATTATTAACATTTGAATTGCTTTCTTTAATTGTCAGAGTTGTGTTATTGTTGTGTAATAATGCACTGAGAAGCATCTTCTTTCAAATAAACAATGGGTTAACACACTAAACCAAGAAGACTACATAGATATTCTTCTGCTCTCTCTTAGAAACAGAAGTGTAAAGTCGCTCACCCTTGTCTCCCCGTGGTGTCTGTTATACCGATGCACCAAACTGATAACCTGTTGAGACACATTGTTGAGGTAGAAGATGGGAGGGTATGTGTCAAGGCAGGTGGCGTGGAACTGGTTACTGTCTTTCATGGTTAGTTCAGCAAATGCAGCAAAGTCCTTTCTTTGCACCGCTTCAGTCATCTCTACCATCCGGCCTGGGACAACAGACTCAGCCCGGTGCTACATGCAAACACACAAAAAAAAGATTGACATAGACCATAATAACCATAAGTTAGCTTTAGCCTTAACAAATGTAATATCCACTTTTAATAGTAATGACAGTAATGTTAGTAGACTGAATAATGTATGTTTGAACACAGTACCTTTAAGAGACAGCTTGTTTGTACACTGGTTTGCATCCCAGAGGTGCTGCCAATTGGCTTCCTCTCAGCACTGGCCTGTGACAAAGTGCATTAATTACTCTGATATAACTATTTACTATTTTCTATTAAAGTATGCATTTTGTGCCGCTAGTTGTGACGCTTCCTTTACATGTTACACAAGAAATGATCTTTCATAGAAGCAAGAAATACATTTTGTGACTTTCCAAAAATGTGCAAAGATGTCGCAGACTCGCACCATTATGGAGTTCGATTTGTGTCTTTATTACATGCGAGAAAATAAATGATCTGAGAGGAAAAAAAATGTTTGAGAGAAGTTTTCATACCAATAGCAAAAAATAATAATATTTGAGACCAAAAAAAGTTTTGAGAGAAAGTATTTTCTCATAGAACATAAAAAAATATGAATTTGAATTTTTTAAAATTATTTCTGAGAAAAAAAAATCTCTCTCAAAATACTTTTTTTAACTCTCAAATATATATTTTTTTGCCATCAGTGTGAAAACATTTTCTCTCAAAAAAAATGTGTTTCTCTCAAAACGTTTTTCTTCTCTGTCTCAAAACCTAAGTCTTTGCTCTGCATGCAATTTCTTGTCAGGATTTTGCTGTCGCTGTGAAAATAATGTCATGGGCAGGGCCTCGTTCCTATTGGCCAGTCGGATGAGAATCGTCTTGGGAGTCGAACTGAATCATTACACCATTGTCGATTCACTGGCATAGATGCGCTGCCTTAGTTGAGCGCGGAGACTCCAATGTTTGGGTAAGATGATGACACACACAAGTCGATGGGTAGCTAGCTGAGAAAGATGGTAATCAAAATCATTCCCATTATAGGAATGACTGTCCAGCCCTAACAGGTTAGAGAGTAACAGATCAGAGGTATTAAAGGATGTTTAACTGGTTAGTAATGTGGAGTTCAGCTCAGCTAACATCACTGAAGATTAAACATTAAATAGGCTATCCTAAATGTAAGCTGGTTTGCCATTACTGATGTGTTGTCAGATTGTCATGGACAAAGAATAGGTAGAAACTAGCTCACTACTCACTAAATAAGGAGTGAAACTATCTAAATCAATATAGTCATTTGGCATTTGATTTAAAAATAGTATAAACCAGGTGAGTTTGCAAGTTTACCTAGCATGATGGCTAATTAGCGATTAGCGCATCTATGCCAGTGAATCGACAATGGTGTAATGATTCAGTTCGACTCCCAAGACGATTCTCATCCGACTGGCCAATAGGAACGAGGCCCCGCCCATGACATTATTTTCACAGCGACAGCAAAATCCTGACAAGAAATTGCATGCAGAGCAAAGACTTAGGTTTTGAGAGAGAGAAGAAAAACGTTTTGAGAGAAACACATTTTTTTTGAGAGAAAATGTTTTCACACTGATGGCAAAAAAATATATATTTGAGAGTTAAAAAAAGTATTTTGAGAGTTTTTTTTTTCTCAGAAATAATTTTAAAAAATTCAAATTCATATTTTTTTATGTTCTATGAGAAAATACTTTCTCTCAAAACTTTTTTTAGTCTCAAATTTTATTTTTTGTTATCAGTGTGATAACTTTTTCTCTCAAACATTTTTTTTTTTCTCTCAGATCATTTATTTTTTCACATGTAATAAAGACACCAATCTAACTCTATACACCAGTCTTTCCGTCTCTCTCTCTCAAAGTCAGACACACTGACCTACCACGAGTACAAGGATTCTGAGCTCAGGCCAGTGAGTCTCTGGCTCCACCTGCTGGGCCAGACTGTCCTTGCCATCGTCTTTCTGGCCCATGATCCACTGGACAAACCCTCCGTACATACTCCGGCATGCGCTGCCTGAGCCCTGCCGAGCAATCCCAGACAACTCCCCTTCTATGCCAAACACCTGGGCCAGAGTGTAAACTGCAAGAAAAGGGATAAAAGAGGAGACTGAATAAAAAGTAGATGTATAAAATATGAGATAGACATGGCATATTGAAGAATGAGCACAAACAGGTCACATAATATAGTTAGAATTTTTCTCATTCTATACTGAAAAGCAGCTGTTGAGCTTTCAATAAAATTGCTATCGTAGTGTCATTAGTGTGATTTCAGACATGCTCTGAAACAGAGCTTACACACACACACACACACACAAACTCACTCACCCAGACAAGCAAATCCAGCAGCTGAGGAGGCGAGGCCAGCAGCGGTGGGGAAGTTATTCACAGAGCAGATGTGGACTTTATGAGACAAACTAGTCAAATCAAAACCGGGGTCCCCATCACTACGTCTCTTCCTTGCTAATCGTCGAACTAAACACAGAAACACAGAAAAATGACATAGTGGCGTGCACTGTCTAAGCCAGTCTTTGACCTCTCTGTGCTTATGAAAATGAAAAAATAACACAGACAGGACTCACTCTCTCTCAGACAGGACTGTATTCTTGGATGGTTTATGTCCTCCTCTTTGCCATTGAGCCATATTCGATCTTCCTGAAATGATCTGCTGGTTGCAACTGTTGTTGTTGTTTTCAGCTTTACAGGAGGGAAATGAGGCAGATCTATATTAAATGCAGCCATCTTATCACTTATACAACACCAGATTTAAAAACTTTAGCCTCACACATCAAATATGACACAATTTATGCTACCCATCACCCACAATTCAACTGCAAGGTCGATATTTTGTATCATGCCTTTGCATTTTTTAAAGAGGTACTATATTCTAGTGCAAACTCTGCTACAAAGTTTGTCAGTGTATAGTTCACAATGCATACAATAGTCTAAGTGAATATAAATAGTTCAAGACTGACCCAACATAACACAAACATGCTATTTTCTGTATATGATGGTAGGAAAACACAGGTGTAGCTCTCCTGTAGAAGCTCACAGGAGCATAAAACACGTTGAAAGGCTGAATTATCCTACAGACACAAGATTCATTGTCTGATTGATTAAAGAAATACCTGGTCTTGATGCAATGTGACGCTCAACGACGAGTTAATGGGTAGAATTAATTCTTCATTTCTCTTGCCCCCTGAAAGTTTCAAACACAGTGCATGACTAAGGTATTGATACAATGAAACTGAATGAATATGCTCGACTATAAGACCACAAACACCGGCATTCAGTGAGACATGAAACCCAAGTATCGACGATTAGACAGGATTTAGCTTCCTTTGAGTCTCAAAGCTACAAACCTACAGTTACTGTACAGCTAATGAGTCGAGGTGATACTTACAGTATTTGATGACCGCTATATTCACAGGAGCGGTGCATGTAACTATGTTTGACTTGTCCATACTATCCTCAGGCTTTCCTATTATGTAAACTGACGTTTGAATTGATAAAAGTGTACCTGGATATCCTAAAAGACACTACACAAGTCGTGTTGAGCCAGATTCAGTCTAGCTAACACTAGTCGACCATAGTAGTCCACCTTACTATGACATTTCCTCGAGGTCTCTCTCGATTGGCTGGTGGCGAACATGTGGCTAACCCCACAACCAATCAGAGCCGAGCCGTTGTGATTAAGCAGTTGGGACAGCCAATCAGAGATCATCTGACCACGGTCGTGCGAAAATGGGGCAAGGATAGAGACCACCCCACAAAGTTACTGTGAATGTATAAGCATTACAGAATCCATAAAACATCACAGGGAAATACATGATGATTGTGAAATTAGAAAACAAATAATCTAATTGTCTGTAAATAATGTAATGAAATCTGTTGTAAGTACAAGTTAAAAAAAACAACAACTCCGTGTTGGAAAGTAGAACTCAAGTTCTGTACTTCACTACATGTTTTTAATAACATATTTGATGAGCTTATGAACTGTGCACTGCTATACTGTAAATTAAACTACCAAGCAGTATAATAGTTAAATTAGCTTTATCAATTAAAACATTAAAATGCTGCTTAATTAGAAGTGATTATCCAATAGTTTACAATGACAGGGGCTATCTGGCCTGCATGTCTCTACCTTTGGTACTTACATGTGTTGCAGATAATACTTTACTTTAGTAAACCTTTCAAATGGAGGACATGTTTAAGACTGTGGTGTTTTTGGCTTTTCTTAACTCATTCAACCAAAGGTGATAAGGTAACAGTTTAGCCATCTACTCCTCTTCCACTTGTCAATGCAGGTACACAATTGTTCAAAGCAATGATCAAATTTAGAATATAAAAGTTTTTAAAAAAGTATTACTCAACTGTAGTGTTTATACAAGTGAATGCCCACTGTAAAGCCCTGCTACCTGCAGCTAATTCAAGACAACACCTTAATATATGTTGATTGTGGAAACAAAGCTTGCTTGTTAGCTGTAGTGTTATTGGACTTGACAGATCATTTTTTACAACATAAAAACTAAAATCGCATTCCTTCTTCAACATTTTTATTTCAAAAGTAGTTGGATACATTTGGGAATCTGTTAACTCTTGTTTCTGAAATGAAATCCAAAATATGAGATTGGCAATTGAGAAAAAAATGTCAGTCATCTATAAAGAAACAGTCATTTTTTCATTTCTCTAATGATGAAGATACAGTGTGTAGATGCTGCAAAGTTTCCTATTCTTGTGTTGAGCATAGTCACAACTGTGGACCGAATGGAACATAAATTGTGTAAAAACCCCAAATGGAAACCGTATTCATACAATAACAAATAATTTCATAAATGGTACACTAGAAAAACAAACTAGAACTAGAATTTAAGGCCTTTTTTTTTGTTTTCATGTAAACTTTTGATTTCAGCAAAAAGAAAAAAGTGTAACATCTAATGTGATGCAGACTTTGAATCGAGAACAATGTATTCCCAGAACAGTCTAGATATAACACATCAACAGTGTAGGTTTTGCATTTTATCTAGCTTCTTATGTTTGAAGGAACAGAAGTCGACCATGGTGAAAATAAAGAAACGTAGTAGTAGAATAACTACCGAGAGGGAGTAGAGGAGTCAAACAGTGCCATGAGCTGTCAGGGATACAACACAAGCAGTGCACATTTGTTGCAACTTGATTGCAAAAGAACACCTTATTTGACACTGAGTGTATTCTACCCCCCAACACTTATATCACAAGGTCGGCTCCACTTTGCTGCTCTTCCCTCTTGGTATGTACTTTCCAGAGACACACAGAAGCAAGTGTGGCATCCCAGTATTCAGCTAGTCAAAGATGCTATCAGAGTCCCAGTAAAGCATATCCTCTCCCGATTTCTTGGGTCGTTCCAGGGCTCCCGTCCAAAGTTATTAATCTTCCTCATCATCTGAGTCCAGCACCCTCCGCCTATTGAACTGACAAGTACAGAGCACAAATAATGTAAGATGGACAAGGGACTCATAATGAATCAAACATAGGGGACGTTTCAGTTGAACTTACTGTGACAGTCGTCTTCTTGTCCGTTTGCTGACTGACTTTTTCTAGAATCTCGATCAAGCCCGACTCTGAAATCTGACAAAAGAGAAAATCCATTCATTGCACTGCTGGCATGTGGACGAACATCAACAACGTTAACGCTTCGAGCACCAGAGGTACACTCTCTTAACGTACCTTTCCTCCTAACTTTCCGAATCGAGCCATTTGAATGAGATAGTTTTCAACTGCATTAGCCTTCTCAGGCTTCACCAAAGCAAGATTGCTCACTGAAAAAAGAAAATTATTTTATCACCTTGTGTTCACATGTGAGTGGTATTTATAGGTATTAATCACAATATTCATCACACAATATAGTTTTCATGGAGCACTGGACCCTTTTTCACAGGAGGGTTACACATCATGGATAAATCCTGTATGACACCTTTGATTAGAGTGAATAACATTTTTAATATGCCAAAAAAAAAAAAAAAAAAACCACATTTTAAATAATAGCTTTTGTTTCTATAGAAGCATCATTCATTTCCAAAGGGATTCCTTTCGGCAGGCTCAATAATGAATCTGAGAGCACACTTACGTCTTGCACGGGCAGACTGGTCGAGGACTTGAGCCAATATAGTATTTCTCATTTCTGTTTCTCTGTAAATAAAAAGTAACAATATTACCACGAGTGTACTACCGGCTACTGTTTGGATCTAGGACTGAGAGCAGTAAAAAGAAAACAGAAAAATACATTTAATAAACTTTTATCAGAGCACCAGCTTTGTCCCACAGCTCCACTAACAGGTTTAATATTATTGTGTTCAAAACTTTGTTTTCATATATACTGTGACAGTGTGTAACAGTAATCCCATCACAGTACTTTGTAGATAATTCAGTGTACAGTGTTTAAAGGTCCAGTGTGTAACATTTAGGAGGATCTAGTGAGAAAAATGGAATATAATATTCATAGGTATGTTTTCATTAGTGGTATAAACACCTAAATATAAGAACCTTTATGTTTTTGTTACCTTAGAATGAGCATTTTATATCTGTAGATGCAGCAGGTTGTCTTCCATGGAGTTCACCATGTTTAACTGCCATGTTTCTACAGTAGCCCAGAAGGGACAAACCAAACACTGGCTCTAAATAGGGGTGTTTTTTGCAGCCAGGAGTTGCTATTTGCAACTACACTAGTAGATTGCACTAAATCCTACACAGTGGACCCTGGAAGTCTATTTATTTGAGTAATAAAGAAACTGTACTGTACTTGCATGCTTTTAAATGAATGATCATTACATACCTTTGTTTGGCCTCCTCTCCCTGCTGATTATTTGAGGCATCCTATAAGAACATATGTGAGACAGCACAATCACATATAGCTTGTATTTCTGCATTCAACCAACTTGGGGATGTATAGTCTAATAAGGAAAACATTTCATCATACCAGCCAATAACTCCGGTAATGGCCTCACAAACTACCTTTATAAATGCCAAATATAATATATACCCCCTATATATAATATATACCCCCTATATATATTATCAGTTTGATTATTTGATCAAAGTAGAGTTTTCTGAAACAAAGCTTCAACCACAACTAGAGCGTAAAGTTTGGCTACAGATTTATTGAAATTTGATGAAAGACCATCATCTGCAGTGTGCCAGTATCTAGGCAACAGTTAACAGTGCTCATGTCAGACACTATTCATGAGGACCAGGTCTGATAGGTTCAAGACAATGAGCACAGTTGTAGCAAAGTGACATCTTGAGAGTCCTGTTGTCATGCTTTACTGTATTTTATCTACCCACTTAACATCTGGAAGTTCGTTAGCTATATATTAATGTCTGTTATACATGTATGAAAAGGTTTATTATTATTACTATTAACTTTTCTGGTTTTTAGTTCCTATCTTCTAATATTTCTTACACTGAATGTCGGATGTTTAAAGTCTGTGAAAACGTCCTATTTGGTCCAAGAACTGAAAGCTGGGGAGAGGAAGGGATCAAGAGCCCTGAGCACTAAAGCAAAACCAATAATGGATTACTGAGGATGACACAGTTCAATATTTAATAAGACAAAATCCTATAACATTACACAAGCTAATATATATATATATATATTTTAAACATGTGTGTATGATTTTAAAAGACATTTTTGAGACAGAGTTTAGTTATTAAGAATTGTACTGACAAGAGATATGTATCGGGTTAAACACAAAATACCAAAGCAAACCTGTCAGAACAATGCAGCAGTGACAATGTTTCCAAATTACCATAAATATATTTGGCCTCTCTGTACTACAATGTCTTGTTACTCATCTGCCAATATATACACTGATAGCTGTTTATTTAATCTATTAGCCTTACATAAACCAATCAGGTAATCTCATTGAAACACAGGGTCTCAAACAGGACCATCACCAATACATCACAAAGTTACAGACAGGACATTTAATACAGACTCTAAACATAAAAGTGGTTAAAATATTTTTTTAACATATAATGTAAAGAACAAATCCTGACAGAAAGTATCTGTGATAAGCTTTTATAGTACAGATTAATGGTCCATCCAATCCATGGCTGAGGTCCAGTAAACGGACTGTGAGCAGCACTGACTGAAATCTACTCCAACAAAGACAGATTCTCTCATTTTACTGATACAGGACGCAACTATGTCATGGTTTAGGTAAAGTATAAATACATATGTATTACTGTCATATAAGAAAGTAGTTCATCTTTATTGTTTTGGTCGTTGTTCAGCCTATTATAGTGACATTAAAGACACACTAAATGAAACTGTGCAGCCTTCTCACTGAACAAAGAACCAACAACAGATCACCTTAGACAATATCTAGCCCCCCAGTCTATTGTCTACTTGTGTATCTGTCCTTAATCACTTAATATCTGGACATGTTTAATAACCCACGCTGTCATCATTATCAGAGGGGGTGTGCGCTGTCCGGTCGAAATTAAGCTAGCAGTGGCAGCGAGCTGATGTTGGTTATTACTGGGACCAATCTCGCTAACTACTGAGTTTATTACAGTTCATTTACACTGACCATGCTGCTCACCACTGAGCTATGTACATTCCCCCCCCTTAGTGACCGTGGAGTTATGTTGCGGTGACTAGTTTAGCCACACTAGCTAGCAGCATCTCCCTATAAGGTGAGCGCTAACACGCTTCCCAGCTCACGTTTTGGTCCTTACCCCGTGTTTTGCCCGTAGTTCCGCCATTCTTGACTGCCTAAGGGCCTCCAATTCTTCGTCCGCCATGGTTTACGAAAGTGGTTCAGACCGAAGACAGCAAAAAAATGGATAATGTAACGTAGTATAATGTACTCTCAACTCCCATCAGAGGCAAGGCCCTACCTAGCTCAGGGGAGTGTAATCAAAAACCGATCGAGCGCTCAGGGCAAAGCAATCGAGCACAGAGACAAGGCTCACACCAGAAGAGGAGGCTGTGCTCGTACTTGACAGATTTATATTTGTAGAAACATATAAAACAAATGCTCATTATATTGTGCCTATATAAGTTATCATATATATTAGTATATATGCATATATATTCCCATTTAATTCATATTTTGACAGAAATGTAATAATGCTGTTGGGGAATGGCCTCAAGACTCACTGGAACTGACAGGGCTTTTTTTGTGTACACTTATTAGATTGTATTTAATGGTATTTATACAAAATTTGAATTGAGAAAAAAGATTGATGCAGATAGATTCACATGCATGATTACAAAAAAAAAAAACAAATTTGACAGTAAATACCTTATTTAATAGGTTAATGTTTAATTGCAAAAGTTGTAGTGATGATAACACCAGTATTGAAATGGAAGAGTCAACTAAATGGAGCATTGTGTCTTGTCAATAGGCGTGACAGTTCAGTTGGTGCTGAGGTTCTTGGTGGAGTTGACTCTGCCTGTGATGTGTTAGACGGCTGATAGATGGAGGCAGCCTCAGGAGGTTCATCATGCTTTATCTCTAACTCCCTCTGTACGTACTGTAAGAGAAACGACTCAGGAGAAGAGGGACATGGTATTTTTGGCCAGGGTCATTTATAGTGAAGACAATCTGCAACAAAACAACGAACATGAAGGAGATCAACAATTACAAGTAAGACTGATACTCAAGATCATTAACAGTGTCATGCATATGATACAAATTCACTGATCTCTTTACACAAATAGCAGCAGTATGCCCGAGAATTGCAGCTGAGGATATCAACACAGAACATTTCCTCACCTCAACATACGGGTAAAAGCTGGTCTCTCCAATACTCTTCCAGTACTGAGCAGTCTCAAAACGAATTTTGTACACACCAGATGTAAACTTTTGTTTTGTGATGAGCCCTGGGCAGCGTCCATCATCATTAGTGGTCCTGTTGAGACAAAAAACGAGTGAAGACCTATGAACAAAGACATACATTGTCCAGTAATGAAGATGTCACTGTGATTATACTGTGTGACTATGTGTGTGGTATTTTGTGTTTGGCCTTGTCCTCAGGTTTTTACCCAGTGGTTATCAAACTCCAAGCATTAGTGGAGGGGTCTTGTTGATAGAGACTGAGGGCCATGTTAGAACCAGGGACACCCATCGCAGTGTTGAGCACATGGGTGGTCAGAGGACTAGGTGAGCCTGCCATTGCTGTGATCTAAAAACCAAGAAAGTAAGATTTTAAATAGATAATATGTTTCTGAAGCAATCACATTAGACCACAATATTAAAAGTTCCACACATTACTTTTTTTAGTACTGGCAAAAATCATACAGGGCTATTTTTCTTAAAGCAACACTGAGTTCACGCAATGTTTAATTATCTTTGGCAGTTTATTCCAACTTAGCAAAATAAATACATCTGAAATGTATATAGGACAGCTCTGTCAAAGATTTCAGACAATCACCATGTCAAAAACTAAGATAAAATTTGGCATATTTTTGATTTATATGTAAATTTTAATACTATGCATTCTGTTCCCTTTATCATTAGTAAAAAGTTAAACATTTAAAGAACCTTCACTAGAGAAAAAGAATATATGAAACAATGTATCACACATACTGTTGCTGATGTTGTTTTATGTAGATTTGTTTAGGGTATGCCATTTATTGAAATTTGAAATACTATAAATCCTCATGATTATCAAATGACTGGACATACAATTACTGTTCCAGTTACACTGTTGTTCCTAAATTTTAACAATTAAGTCAAATTATTTGTTTTGTAAGAGACTGGACTATTGACTCCTCCTGTTGTTGCCTCTCTCACCTCAGCCACAGAGTTCATGTATGTAATGTAACATAATTCTATATCACTTTGCATTTAGTCTGTTTAATCAAAAACCTTCTATTTTATTATATATTTATTATTCGTTATAAGTTTTTTGCTTACCTTATTTTCAGGCAAAATATGACCCTTGAGTTGCTGCAGCCTGTACGCACTCATGTGCACTGATGAATATAAAGTCTAAACTGGGTCAGCAGTTTTAACCAAAAAATGCAATTTTATGGTAAATTTAACGGCATCGGGTGTTTGTAACACTGTCTTCCAATGTCTGAATACTGAATGTCATACTGAATAGGACACTGTCCTATTCAGTATGACATGTGCTTATCTTTTTGTCAACAGAAAACTGGTTGTGCAAGAGCTCCTTTTGTCACACTTTGAACTTTATGATTGAAGTAGACAGCACAGAGGCTGAAGCAAAGGGGCACAATTAATGGAATTAAAAGGAACAAAGTCTTTTTGATTTTCTGACATTAGTATGTCTGACTGCAGGGTTACTGAACTCTAAACACGCAGCTCACAACTTCCTGCTTGAATTCCACAAATTAATCTACTGACACGCTGTGATTCTTCCTCCTGCCCCAACAAACTCTCATTATAATGAAATTCAAACCTGAGTGTTCAATCTAATATTTGAGGGACGTTTTGGAGCTAAATGTTGACAACATGCACAACTCTGTAAAGAAATTAAACATGGTGAGTGTTACAACAGATGGTCTACTGGATGTCCTCTTTGAAAGCACTGATGTGATTTCCTGTAATGTACCAAACTGTGGTATAAGGCACATGCTAGTGGTCCCAAGCAGCCTAATGTGCACCACTGATCAAATTATGAGGAAGAAATTATTAAAAACTTTGAGCATGAAATAAACTGATCTGGAAGGACTAACTTCTATTTCTGATCATACTTTATTAGCTGAGAATATCCTAAACAAGCCACTTGACTCTCCTTTAGATGGTTCTTCTTGTTTAGTGATCAGTTTTTTTAATCACACTGTTATTGATAAATAAAAAGTGATGCATAGGGAGTACCTTAAAATTTTGACTGTAAGTGTCTCATAGTTTTTTCTTTTTAGATACAACCGTAAGAAATCTGTGACATAAACTATTGAACACTTCTGTGGTAAATGTCCTAAAAGAAAGATCCATTTACGAAGCTGTTCCCAGAGCTTTTTACCGTATTCCATGACCTTTATCAGCAGACCAGGCTTTACAGACTACATTTCCTTGATTTGTTACAGACTGTTTGAATCAAATATTTTCCAATTAATTAATTATTTGATGTAATTAACTTAACCTAGTTAAATTTATATCAATTAATGATAGAACATATTTTCTCTCTTGATTCAATTTTATTTATTTTGCCCCATAAACATTTTAAACTCTGCACAAATTCCATCTCTCCTTTTATGCAACACCAAAATAGTGTTGAAACAACTTTTTTTTAATAAACTCTGTCAGTCTGTTCCTACCTCATTCATTTGTCTTTCTCAGGCTGGCTTATCAGAGAAACAGCTGGTGGTGGAGAGGCTGCAAGAGGATTTTTTTTTTCCAGACTTGTGTAAAATGTGACTGATTAGTGAGTCAGCATATGCTGTTGAAGAGAGTAACAGATTGGGAAGATTGTTCCAAAATCTTTTCTTTTTTTTTAATGACTGAAAATGTATCTCTTGATCTGTTTTGACCTCGTTGTTGTTACTGGAAAGTTTGGATGGATTCAGCAATGGATGACTTGTTCTGAATGGAAACTGCTGCAGTCTGGTCTGTTTGTGTGGTATCCTCCTTAACTGAGTGTGCAGCTGGGCACAATTTCACACTGACCTTTATTCAAACTATCCATGCAGGAAGAGGAAGAGAGATGTTGTGGGTTCAAAGACACCTGATCAAATGATCCACATGGATCACTTTGACTCCCAGCAAATAAAGTGATAATTATAGTCCTTTGTTCCGTATGGACTGTGGCATGTATGGTATTGTAGTATCATTCATACAATTTGTGGAATACTGTAAGTATTTGAAACAGCACTTAACTATTAACTAAATGATAACCATTCATACTTCACATTATTTCCCCAAATGTTTGTTTTTCTTTCCCTCCTTTCCTCCGTGTCTGTCTTGCTCTTTCAGAATAAAAACACACTCCCATGTACTGTATTTATACTCAATATGAAAATACTTTTACTACTGTGACAATGAGTATTTCCACTTGGCTTATCTTAAGAATGCAAACAAAAACATGTAACACCATAGGAATTATAATAACACCATTATTTTCTTTAAAAAACACATGAGAAGTCCTAAAGCAAGATTAAAATCAGACAATTTGACAATCACAGTAAAGTTTACAATAATACACAATATTACACACGGACCTGGGTCTTTCCACATCTTAAAGTACCAAACACATGGCGGAAGAGAGCTGTAACATTCCTCGAATACATTTAAAGTAGAGAAAACACTTGGTGTGACATAACAAGGTCATTTGTATAACATTTCTTTCAGAGAGTTACACTCAGAGACGTAGCATACTGATATTTGCAAGCAGAAAACAATCGGTTTCTCTCCTGAATCATCAGTGTGCCTATCTGTCAAGGATTACTGTGATTTACTTTGAATAGCTAAATTCTGTTATCTTATAAGTATATAAAAAAGAGGAAAAAAGTGAGTCGAGCCTAAACAAAAGTCCCTCTTGAAGGATCTAATTTGAAAGCGTACAGATTTCTTCAAAACACTTCCACAGACAGGATTTTCATTTAACAGTGCATGCACACAATATTCCAGTTACATTCTGAAAACGATAATACTTAAGCAAGCTGCTTGTCTGGTTTATAACCCGTGCTTCATTAATATCCCTGGATCTATATCATTTGTATTTTTATCTAATTAAAGGTCCCTTATAAACAGATATCCAGAATTTCCTTTTAATGTTGTATCCCTTTGCTGTTTCTCTGTTGGGAGAAACTGGTGAAGTAGCAGAAACATAGCACCTCTAGCTACACACATACTGCCTGTTTCAGTGGAAGGCTTTTAATTTGAAAACGATAAACTGGTAAGCAGCTTACATAATGTTTTAATCAGAGAGCCCTATTGTCTCATTTGGATTAATAAAGCAATATTTGGATTAATACTGGAATATTGGTGTTCGTGGAAATTCACTGCTTAGGCAGGATTATAAAAAGTTTAATTCACCACCATGCTTCCGGGTGTCCTTTGTAATTACTCTCTGAATACTCTCTCCCTCTCACTCTCTCATAACATAACAAATTCTTCTCAGTCGGATTTGCACGTACTCGGTGTGTATACGTCACCTGTGTCAGTGTTTTTGTTTTGCTTGAAAGTACAATCAAAGAAACTGAGCTACTCTGATAGAATTAAATGTATTGTTTTCGGATATGTACACCCTGTTGGGAAGTTGAGCCTCTGATATGAATGTTGGCTCAGTGGATTGTTGGTCTCTTCCTCCATGTTTGGCACTTGATCCACATCGTCTACGTGTTCTCATTTTCCTCCCTCATATTTCCTCCTCAGGGTCAGAGCTGTGGTTGCTCATCTGTGACAGACAGAAAGACAGACAGATAGACAAGTGAGAGACAAAACAAAGAGATATTTCATTAAACTGCCAGGTCAGAATGACTAAGTGAAATTTAATCGTGTACTATGAATGAATTGATTTCACAGTGGTGGAGTCTCTGTAGTTCCTGTCCATGCACCTCACATGACAGAAACGTGGTCGTCTTGTCTGTGTAATTTATTAGCCATTTTTAAATAATGCCAGTGTAAATCAAATTTAAAATTCAAATCTGGTCTCTGGAATTTGAGAGAAATTAATATATTTTATCCACAACAAATAACCACTGCTTAAGACAACGTGACAAAACGTGCTGCCACATAATTTCTCATAATAATAATAATAATAATAATAATAATAATAATAATAATATTGATAATAAAAGCTAGTGCTCACAGACTTGGGGTGTATTTACCGTGTGGTGTTCATCCTCGGGCTCCCTCAGGTCAGGGCTCTCCCTGTGGATTCGATGGCGGGAGCTGGGTGGAGAGAGGGAGGAGAGGGAGTGCTCGGGGCTGCTGGCAGACAGAGCGTACGGTGAGCCAGCTGGACTGTCCTCTCTCAGGGGAGACCCTACGACACAGGAAGGAACACAGGCGCACACATGGAGTTTAATGAACTTATAGGTCAGTGTAAAGAAAATACATGTTTACTGTGTGCCAGAGACAAAAAAACGTCTGTGCACATCCCACTGACTTTGTACTAGATGACAGGCAGAAAACAAGAGTGGGAGTGACAGGATGAAGGACAGATGAGGAGATAGATAGGGGAAGGAGAGAGACAGCAGAGCTGGATAGTGAGGGACAGGGGGATGAAGTAGAGCCGAAGATAAATTAATATGAAGATGAGAGCTATCAATCACCCAAGGTCATTCAAAGTACATACACCGCACACACACTTTTCTGAAGGTATAGCCACAGGACACACTCTCCTTTTAGTACACTGCCTATTTGTACATTCAGCCTCATGTTATGATAATGATTTCTAGGTTCAAGGTTAAAGCACTGTCTGTTTTTTTCTTTTACAAGAACCTTTTAATGTAGCAGCCACTGAGGATTCAGTCTAGTCGTTTAGTTGTAAACTGTTTTTCAGTTTACGATCAGTTTAATTAGGATTGCAGTAAAGCCAATTTTCAGTCTGGAAGGAAGTCAGGAAGGATGCTTTGTCCTGTTCTTTGCCTGGGCTGTTTCTCCTGGTGGCGCAGGCACAGTAACTATATTGTGTTTAAACGTCCACATGAGGGCAGCAGCCGCTCTTTCTTTCATGTACACCAACCTGCTGTTGTTCTCAGTCCCTCATCTTCCACTCTTTTCTGAGTCTTCATCAGTCAGTTACTTCAACCACACTGTTTGTTCAGCATGTTCCATAATGTGCTCACAACCATAAATCATGACACCTACACTCCAGTTAGTTTTGGCCCTGACTGAACTTTTTAAAAAGATCCTGACTGGATGAAAATAATTGATTTGTCAGGTAAAATAGGAGTGGCTCTGGTGGTGCAGTGCATTCCCATCCCCCAGTTTCCCTGCAGCACAGATCCTGAATCATTTTGATTGGGGTTGTGACTGTTGGAGCTAATCAAGCAGAAATCGGAAAGTGGCATATTGCTGGAGTCCGCCTTAAAATGTTCTTGATGTGCGGATAGATTATCTATCATTCAATCTCACACCTACCTGCCTCCACTGTCTTTGTGAATGAGCGTCTCACCTTTGTGGTCGTTCTTCTGTGTGTCCATCCTGTCAAGACTGTCAAGCAGCCCATCGATCTGCGTCTTTATCAGAGTCAGCTCCTTTTTAATCACCTGCAACTCTTCCATGCCCACTGCAGGGACAGACAGAGAGAGAGAGAGAGAGAGAGAGAGAGAGAGAGAGAGAGAGAGAGAGAGAGAGAGAGAGAGAGAGAGAGAATGTAAAGGACATTAGGAAATTACACAACCTGAACATTTCTTTAGGCAGGGCTATATGGAATAGTTAGACATATTGTGAAATGCAGTTATTTTTTTCTTGTAGAGAGTTAGATCAGACGATTGATATCACTGTCATGTTTGTATAGTAAATATGGAGCTACCCCAAGCAAGTGGTTAGCTTAACTTAGCATAAATACTGTTAACAAGGGGAAAGAGTTTGCATGGCTCTGTCCAAAAATACCAAAATCCACCTAACAGCGCCTTTAAAGCTCAGTAATTATCACATTATGTTTCATTTCTTCAATCAGTAAAAAAAAACTGAACTGTAAACATCAAGGACCGTAAACTGGGCGCAGTGACTTCCTGAGGTCTTGTCGTCACTGTGAGGTTGCTAGGCAACCCGCCGAAATTCGAAACAATGACATAATCCCCCCCCAAAAAAACTCGTTTTTTCCTTTTCAGTTAGTGTATGGATTAAACAACTGAGTCATGATTTGTTGTTTTGTGTGCTTCAGAGGTGGTTCCTGTTTACCTTTTGACAAATCAGGCTAGCCGTTTCCCCCTGCTTCCAAACTTTATGCTAAGCTAGCTGGCGGGTGGCTGTAGCTTCACATTCATGATAGAGTAGAGATATGAGAGTGGTATTGATCTCATCAACTTAAGAAGATGCCACTATGAAACAAGAAAAGTGCATGCAAAGTTAACTAGTTTGAGTATTTTATATTAAAACAGTGTATTGTTGGCATTATCTTTGATGTTACGAACTACTGGAGCAGCACGTGCAGAAATTATTTGCATTTCTGATTTGCTACTCAGGCTCAGATTTACATATCATGCATCTGTGGTTTGAATACAGCTAATTTTTCCTACTGCATCGTTTGTCTCATCAGAGCAGCAAGAGAGGAAAAGAGGTTAAAACTGTTGACTTTTCAATACCTACAAATTGTGTGCTGTGAGTGAGATGAGAGGCAAAAGATATAAGGATCCTAGCTTTATATTTAGCATTCGATTTTTCTTACAGAGACAAACAGCATAAATCTGCAGCATCTAATAAAAGACTTGTGTCTTGTGACTAAGTCCATTCATATTACTCACACTTGGCTGTAGATGAACTAGTGGAGTGGGTTCTGGAGCTTTTGGAGTGGGTTCTGTCTCGACTGCGTCTGTACCCGGTGGAGTAGGAGGAGGAACGGGATCGCTTGGCCAGGCTGGGTCCCAGGGGAGGCAGGGGAGACAGGGATGCTGGCACACGCTGGTAGTCATACACCCTAGACATTCAGTAGATACAATTTTAAAACAACTTATCTTTGACTGTGTTCTTGTAGCAAGTTTGCAGAATTTATAAGAAGGTATTCCCTGATTTTATGCAGTCCTAATGTTTGTCTGAAATGGGTGCATGAGAGGGTGTTAGGAACAACATAATTAGCCATAAAGTTATTGGTGAAAATGCATATAGCATATATAGAGCATATGTAGATGAAGAGCAGAGAAGATGATTATTCTGCAGATAGTTCGAGCTTTACACAACCTACGTTGTCTGATTATACAAAGCATTTACACAACCTACGTTGTCTGATTATACAAAGCATTTAACACTCAAACTAGGACGGGTATCAAACCTTAAAAAAAATTTTGTACCAACAAAAATGTGTCTGTAGCACAGAAAACCTTATATCAGCAACTGCCACGCAAGGATCCAGTTGTCCTCGCGTGGTCAGATTAGTCTCATTTAATTATTCTTCGGTAAAATGTTTAGACTGCATGTTATTCCGGTATGACTGCTACTGTTTGAGCGAGAGAACCCTGTCTAAATTATCTAAAATAAGGCATTAAAAATGTATTTTGGTATCAGTATTGATATTCAGGTATTGTATTGGCACAAATACTGAAAATGTTCAAACCAAGTCCAGGCTCAAACAAGGGGGTGTTACAGGCTGAAAAAAATAGATATTAAAAAGGAAATACTTGACAATGAAGAAAATGCATCTGTTCAAGCATTTTATAGATAAATATGTGTATTTGTATTCCGTATTCCTTTGTCTTTTATTTTCCATCTCTGTTTCTCTCTCACGCATGCTGGCGTTGCCTCCTCTCTGTGGACAGCTCCATGTCTCTATCTGTCACTGAATGTAATTGGTTCTGTCAGGGCCAATCAATAGTTCCCCGCCAGGCTAGTAGTGCTGGTGACAGGGGGTGTATCACAGTCAAACTCTGTAGTGCTTACAGAAACTAGACTGTGTGTTTGTGCACGTGTCTTTGTGTAGGTTTCAATAGAAATAGAGGTGATGTTGTGATTGAGGCAGAGAGTGTTTTGACCTCACATCTGACCCTAACAGTCACTGATCCAATGACCTGGCGAAACACAGCTAAAAGATCAAAACCAACCAATCGCCAAAGCTGCAGGAAGCATGAGAACTAGGGCAATCAATTCTATGAATGTATATTTTTCTATTTAAATGCAGCAGCTGTATTTGTTGCACCAGATTGCATGTGATTTGGATTTTAATTTTTTTTTAAAACAACACGTATAGCCAAGGTTGTGTTCACCAGTCAACGGATGACGAAAAACCAGTAGGAGGCCCGCTGTATATAAGAATAATAGTACAATTAATCACTTAACATGAGTGGCATAAAATTATTCCCTTTTTAAAAATAATAAATAAGTAAAATACATATTTTTTTATTTTGAGGGATGAGCTCTTTCGCTGCTTTAGCTATTGCATAGTGACAGTGTTTGTTTAGGTGCTGATGATGCTGACCGAAGCTCCACAAAAAAGGTCTCCCATCGCACCAGCCTCACTTAGTAGTTTATGGGTAACATCTCCCCACAGCAGGAAAGAGAAAATATTGAAGACCATTGCAAATTAAATCGAAGACTTGAATACATTTCAAGGCCTTTTTTGAGGGAGCTGATTTCAGTCCTTTCTAAGATCTGTCATTAACAATTTATTGGTAATTCTGATCAAGTGGTCAGTGCAGTATAATTTTAGACACATGATGTTGATGCTGTGTGGAAAAAACAATCCATCTCAACCGAATCTAGTCACAATCTGGGTATACCTGGATTGAGCACAGCCTAAATGGTTTCTACAAAGCCAAAAGCTTTGAAACAAGCCCTGCTGTATATCACAAGCCAACAACCGGGAGGCAAGCTGTCAGCTGCAAGGACTTGGAGTCGGATGGTAATGTAGATTTAGTGATTGAGCTGTTGGCCAGTCAGTAAGACGCAGCCCGGCTTCATGAAAAGTTTTCTCTATTGTTTTCCGTTCTGTTATATTCTGTGAAGCTTCTGAACTTGATACAGAGATTTGTGCACAGACTGTGTTCTTAGCACATCCAGTCCTCACACATAGACACATACACATCCCAATGTCACATAAGGATGAAGTGTATTAGGCCACCATAAGTGTGTGAGATTAGAGGCTTTGAGGGTTGTCCGTGTGTAGAGGCACAGAGACCAAAGACTTACGGGAGTTTAAAGTCCTTTAGAGCAGTTTGCAGGGGCATATAGACAATGTGTTGTTACACCGGCTTTGAAGTGTCATCTCTGAGAATGGAAGCTCAGACAATGAATGACTGTAGACGAGTGAGGATTACAGAAAAGTGTGTGAGTGTGTGTGAGAGGGAGTGTTTGTCTCTATGGATTAGACCCCACACGGAAAGCAGCTTTGTCAGCTCGAGCTGTTATCTGTGTGCTGAAAGACACTTTTCTTTCGTGCACGCACAAGAGGACAGCGGACAAAAACAGTCATTTCTCTCTTTCCCACATATTGATGTGCACAAACAACAAACACACACACACACACATTCCCCCACGCACTCACACCCAGAGGCAATCACATGTGAGTACGCATATAAGCATGCACACATCAATTCACAATTCCACACACACACACACACACACACACACACACACACACACACACACACACACACACACACACACACACACACACACACACACACACACACACACACACACACACAGCTGTCAGTAGTGCTAGCAACAGCATGGGGAATAATCATGCACTGTGTTAAAAACAAATTGAAAATCAGTGGTTAGTGTTCCCCCTGAGCAAAGATAGAAAAATGCAGAGCAAGGCAAACCATATGAAAAAAAAAACAAACAAAAAACAGAAAAGATGACAGTTAATACTCAGACCTACAGAGCATGATTGTGTGTGTGTGTGTGTGTGTGTGTGTGTGTGTGTGTGTGTGTGTGTGTGTGTGTGTGTGTGTGTGTGTGTGTGTGTGTGTGTGTACTATGTGACCGCCTTATTTTATTCAGATTTGCTGACTGGAGTGTTTATGAGTGAGGCCTGGGGGACGTAGGGAGGTCCCTGCGCAATTTCAGTGGAGGACCAATAACACAGAGCCACTCTGAGTGGAGCTACCTCCTCTAGGTACACATACTGTAACTGTACACTGCACAAGAGTGTATTCTACAGTAACATGGAAGCGGTAAACACACACTGCAAGCTAACTGCTGAGCCAAGTCTCAAACGATACACTCAATTTCAGTGTTTTTAAGGGGCGTTATACTGTACAACCCCAATGTGTGATTGTTGTCAACCTCATCCGGCAGCTGGTAGCAACTGCAAACTTACTGAGAACTTAACTGTACGTGGCAATAACCTGTAACCTGTGACATTTTCACAACAGATCATGTTGGGCAGTGGTTTTTAGTTTTAATTGTAGTCTTCTTAATCAGCTTTAGTCAGGTATAAATACCAAACAAAAATATAAATATATAACAGAGTATTTGATCAAATATATTCAATCAATAATTTCAATTTAATTGTTTTTTTTTTCTTTTTAAGAGAATTGTACAACAACTTTTCCTTCACTGTCAACACACTGACAGACACACATTGTACAAACACATTGATAAAATATCTATATGTACCAATACTGTCTCATATGAAACATTTTGCTGTGTATTGGTCATTGGCTTTAGTTTTTATTTTTTTTGTGAGATGCTCAGATAGGACCACACATCACAAATCTACGGTCCGGGTGTCTTTACACCAAGTGTGCAACTCTGTATGTGGAAAATATATATCTTTGAGTGGCTGTGCATTTGTATGTCTGTGTGTGAACATGATGGCTGTTGAGTAATAACAGGCAAAGACAAGATGACTGACAGCTGTGTGGCAGACAGCAACAGGGAGCGGAGACTACCGGGGACAGCAAGGATGAAGAATCCGCTTTAGCCTCTTGTGACACACAGACAAGTAATAAGGTGTGTGAGCTGCCACGCGTAGCTTTCTGACAGTACCTGTCATAGTAGTCCTCGTGGTAGCTGTCATAGTCCAGGTCCAACTCAGATCTGCAGGAGAGGAGATCGAGGAGGTAGTTAGTAAAATATCTGTCAAAACCACATGAGGCATTTTTTTTTTACTAACCAGTTTTATTTCACTTAAACAGTAAGCTTGGTTGGTGAGTCAATGTGTAAATGTGAGTCTCAACAGAGTCGCATGGTACAATCACTTCATCTGGAAAGAATGCAGCGTTCATGATCTCCAGCCAGCCAGAAAAAGACATTGGATTTGTTCTGCTGCAGCATCCAAGGTGGAAAATCCATAGAAATTGTCTTGTGTTCCAACTGTACCACTCACTGAACGCCTCCATGTGTGAGCTAGGTGAGGCGTGTGTGTGTGTGTGTGTGTGTGTGTGTGTGTGTGTGTGTGTGTGTGTGTGTGTGTGTGTGTGTGTGTGTGTGCGCGTAAGCGAGAGGGAGAACCATGTGAGTGATGTGATGGGAATGAACTTATATGGGCTGGTAGCTGCTGTGTACCTGCAGAAAAGGCCAGAGGAAGCGGAGGAGAGAGGAGTGACACTAAGCCAGAGCGGGATCACAATTTGGTGTGTCAGACCTCAGCATTCCTCTCTAATCCCCACACACTCGCTAATAATCCCTCCATGTTGCTCACCCTCCCTCTGTCTCTCTTTATCTCTCACGCTGACTCACTCCCTCTATCTGTCTTTGTCTGTCTTTCATTTATCTGTCATGGTTTCTCTTTCTTTAAAATGACCCATCTTTCTCCAATTCTATCTCAATCAGTCTCAATTGATTCAGGTCAATTCAAGACAGTTAGTGACAAGATTACTCTACCATATATTCATATCCAAGTACCAGCCCGTGTTCAGACAAAATATTGGTAAAAAGAATTTGACTTTTCAGGACACTTCAACATATTTTGGGAAACTAACACATCCACAGTCCTTGCCATCCGCTTATCTGACGCTCAGGGAAGCGGTGAGTCTCCTCATCTCAAAGAAGAGATGTTTTTTTCTGTACATCGGGATAAACAGCGGGGGACAAAACTGTTCTAAGAATTACACACAAATATACACAAACAAATATCACAGGGCTGTGAGAAGCGAAAACCTCTGAACCTCTGCATGTGGGTCTCTGAATCTGAAAGATAGATTTATTTGGGAGTGGACCATAATCACATCTCCTCCAGCATTACTCTTCTCCATCTCAAACCAGCTGGTTTTCAGAGCTCAGGAGACAGGAAAGCACAAAATAATTCATAACAAGTGCTCATGTCTGAGCTGACCAGAAATGGAAAGCATCGTTTCCATCCAGTTTAAAGACTGCCTTATGTTATTCTATTTGAAATGGAGGTCTACAAGTTGTTTTAGCTCGTTCTGCCGAACCAGTTGAAACATCTTGGACTTGAAAGCGAGGGCATTTTTAGCGAATCCTCCCTTTACATCCTGTACCAGTCAAGGACGCACTTAGAGGTAGAAGGACAAAGAACAAGAGAAACAATAACTCCTCAGCTGAGCTAAGCTTTCTGTTCTCCAAGTGAATTCAGCCAGAAGAGAGATAGAAAATAACAGCTATTCACCAAAATCCTCACTGAGGGGGAACTAAGCTGCTGTTCTCTCACTGTTTGTTTCTTTCACATTTGTGTTCACTGGTTTACCTTCCTCGTTTTACTATCTGTAGGGCTCTGTGACAGACAAAGTAAGACTGTTTGTAATCTTTAACTTTTTAAATTATTTCTGTTGGCTTGTCTGTCGTTATTTTTAACCAACTTTACTTTTTTCACTGTTGATCATTTATCTCTCTTTAATGAAAAGCACTTTCTTACTTTGATATATAACAGTGATAGATAAATGCTTACATTTTTCCTCTGTTCCAGTTCCTCCTCTCTTTAACTAATGCTAAATGATACACATCAACATTTTCACATGTAAATTGTACAGGTCCTACATCAGTGAGTTGTTATTTAGCCACTGAATGTTGAATAATACATATTTGGTTATTCATTTTGTAATTATGATCACGTTGTTCAAAATGTCACTGTAGTACAGTAACAATATGGCACAAATATGATTTAGTGACAATAAATCTGTGACAGGTAGGCACAACCCATTTAGACTGTAATTAGCAGCCAAGTGCCTGGGTCACTGTGTGTGTGTGTGTGTGTGTGTGTGTGTGTGTGTGTGTGTGTGTGTGTGTGTGTGTGTTTTTAGCTGTGCTTGTGTGTGTGTGTGTGTGTGTGTGTGTGTGTTTTTAGCTGTGCTTGTGTGTGTGTGTGTGTGTGTGTGTGTGTGTGTGTATGTATGAGAAAGAGAGAGAGAGAGACACACACACACACACACACACACACACACACACACACACACACACACACACACACACACACACACACACACACACACACACACACACACACACACACACACACACACACACACACACACACACACACACACACAGATGGACAGCAGGGTCACTAAAGGCTAATTAATTTCTTTTCATAATTTCTCAAGTGCCAAAGCAATCCATTAGACATGGCTGGCTATAAATCATCTCAGCCTCATGGTTCCTGTGTGTGCATGTGTGTATCAGAGACAGAGAGAGTGTGTGTATGTGCTTATGTGTGTGTATTAGGCAAAGACGGGTTTCTTTATGTGAACAAAGCATCACAGAGATTTCCCCCCACATGCACACTCAATACCCACCGTAGGCAGAAAACCATCAGTTTCACAGCAAAATCTATGGCAGAACTTCAAAGGTGTATGTGTGTGTGAGAGAGAGTGTATGAGATGAATTATTAGAGATGTAGTCCAATTGGCTTAGAGCCTTGACAGATGCAATTTAAATCTCACTGACAATGAATCAAAGTGACATTTTATGTGAGATTCTTGTTTTGTTGATTGTGGTGACATCTTCGGTGATAAATAATCACTGCTGTAGTCTTTTGTCCTGCACTTCTTTACAATCAATTCACAACACTGTCAACAGTTCTTTGTAGTTCTTTGTTTAGTTATCAGGCTGGACAGTTAAAAAATACTGAAGTTAATACAAATATATACAAATTACAGTACAAATAATGTCAGTTTTGTCTAATCTATAGAGATGGTGAAAATCTATAAACATGCCATAAACAGCACCTCGCTACCACCACTGACAATAATGTAGTCTTGACATAATATGATAATTCCTTACAGTATAACATTATTAAACCAACGTAGATATAAAAAGCAGCAGCTAACCTGAGTAGATTGCAGCTAAAAATAACAAACATCTGGTCCACATGACGAGCCACACCAGTATTCATCTTTAAATGTCTTTAAAAGGTTTTTCCCTTTGCAGTAGCTAATGACAAATTAATCTTTTTCTACATGTACATTATGTTCCTACAAATTAGGTGCGCACTGACATATACACACACAGATACTGTAGTCACACAATCCATGCGGCAGTGTCTGCAATAAACTAAAATTTCCTAGAATTAATTAAATGGAATAACAATTTGATATCATTCGTCATGCATAGTACAAAGATTTGTAAAGCACGCTTGTAGCAGGAAAAGAAGGAATTAGTTCCAGCTACTTAATTTGAACACCTATTATGCACTCTCTCTCCTTCAAAAAATGGGGATGGTCATTGGTTTACATTTGCATTTACAATTAGATGACAGACTGTTTAATGACTTGTCTTGTGCTCCTTTGAAAACACAGAAGGCAGGACAGAGTGCAGGTTTAGATAAATATGACAGAATCCAATACTGAACGATTAAGGATGGTCTTAAAAACAAAAGAGGGGTGATCTTTATGTGGGTTTGCAGATTATTTGTGTGTGCTAAGAGTAAAAGTCTTTCCTAAATCAGTTCTGCAGGGTTTCAGAAGCAACAGCCAGCCTGATCCTCGTCAGTGAAAGTGTCAGGGGATTGTTACAACACAGACCTTTTGTAACACAGCACTGCTGCATGTGCTAACTGTACTAGCTGCTGCCACTAGCTAGTTAGCGGTCCTGTTAGCGGACTGTACCCGTACTTTGAGCTCGAGGCACAAATGAGCACCAGAGTGGGGGCGATTGGGCAACGGAGCCGGGCTCAGCAGCCTCCCAGTAATTCCAGCCGAGACTGAACACAGGCGATATACAGCTGCTCCGACCAGGACTATGACTCCAGGGACTATGAAGACACAAGTTTTATTTCAACTAGTCGACTAACGGCTTGAAGTAACTAATGTTAGTATACTCCCTTATAATATATTGTGGCTTCCACATCTCACCTGTTGGCACACACTTACAAGCAAATGAAGTTAGATGGTGAGTGCAGTTGTGTCTACAACTGGTTACATGCCCCCCAATGTGAATACGAAGTTGCTGTGTTCATGGTGTTGCTGTTACCAACAGTGGAGCTGCTGAAATCTGCCCTTAAATATCCAAACCCTTTTTATACTGTCAATTGTCTAAACTCATAAATGCACTCCTGTTTTTCCAATGTAAAGCAAAAAACAGATCAGCTGCAGAAATAATACTTGCAAGAAAAAAGAGTGAGAATCAACATCAGACCTTGGAGATTGCCCCCTTTCTTTTGCTTTTTACATCCCTTAAATCCTGTCTGAATGTTTTCACACATATTAACAAACTTGTTCAGTCATGCTTTCTCCTGTTAAGAAATAATTCTAGGATGAGACATATTCCCTCCTTTAAAGTGCTGAGAAATTAATCCATGCTTTTGTGCCTTCACGCTTAGATTACTGTAATTCTCTATATGCTTGCCTCAGCCAAGGAGCTGCAGCTCTGGTCAAAACACTGCAGCTCATCTCCTAACAAAGAGAAAGCACAGGGAGCACATAACTCCAATGTTGGCCCACCTCCATTACCTACCAGTGGAGTTTAAAATTAAATACAAAACTGGCAATTACCTATCAAGTAATACTACAGGGTGAAGCACCCGAGTACATTTCTGAATTGTTTGAGCTTGTGTTCAAATGTTGCAACTTTTAAGACAGCCTGTACTTAACCAGTTTACCACTCATATGAGAGCATCCAAATTAATTTCTATTGCTTCTTTT